TTTCTCTTGGCGGAAATGCTTGAGGACATCGAAGTGACAGATTTAACAAATGGAAAAGGGGCAACGGATCGAATCAAGTCGGTTCAAATTGTATTGGAGCCAGCAGAAACCGGAGCGTGATCGACGTCATTGTCGTTGGCACGACATTTGGTTAAATTATGGCCAGAGCGCAGCGTTGACCAAACGAGGACAGTGGGGGCTCCACCTAGCCCCGCTCCAAGCCATGTCCGAGGCTGTGACTGTGTCGTGGGTCCAGATTGAAGCGGCTTCGATTGTTTTGGCCGGGCCCAGGCGCGCTCTGTCAATCACCAGATGTGGGGGCGAGTGTGTGCGGCATTACTCCATCTACATATGAGACTGTAATATACATGTATTCAGATATATGTGTAGAGAGGGAGATATATATGTTAGGGGCGTGGCCGACCCCAAAAAGCCAAGCCGCAGCCAGCTACTTGCTGTTGTTGTCTTTCATTAGTCGTGATTAGTTTTGAAAAGGAGCACAAAGTGTACAAAAATTGGCAATTTGAGTCTGTTGTTTGCTTTGCCACCAAATACCGATTGCCAGCGGAGAATTTGGAAAGTATTCGACTAGCAGAGTACTCTGTAATTTGATAAAAGTAAAAAGTAAAGGTAATTCTCTTAGATTTATCCAGAGAAAAGCTACAATTTGTGTCCTAAAATAATACTTTAAAAATAATAACTATTTATTTATATTTAAAATTTTATTAAATCCAAGATTTAAATAAGATTTTTTTATAATTGTATAGTCTTTCCACTTTAGTATGTTTTATATTTTCTTTATATTTTTAAATATTTTTTTTTTAAATAAAAAAAACGAAGTATCTTTGGAGTCACAACATTTTTTCCTTCACCATTCTTGCATTTTTTGTTTTCTTAATTCGAATTCGCGCCACGCGCCACATACAAAAAAAAAATACAAAAAAAATACAAAAAATAACAAACACGCCACTTGGACTTGACAAATTGCGAGCAACGTTTACAATTGAAACAATTTAATCAAACAACCGGCCAAAGAGCGGCGGGGGAAAGGCGAGCTGGGGGAAAAACGGTGGCAAATCAACAGAAAATCGACGCTGAGTTGCACTTTTTGTTGCCCCAGCGAACCAGGGAAAATAAATATTACAAAACCATGTACACAAATTGCTGACAAAATATACTATGCCTGAGCTCCAGGTGAAAATTGCAAAGGGAAAGGCTTAAAAAAGAGGCCAGAAAGTATTTAGGATCGAAGGTTAGACCAGAAGGAATAATTATTGAATTATTTTCCCTTTCTTGATTATTAAATACAATATATAACAATCCAATTTAGTTAATATTCTTAAGTTAAGTAGATAATTAAGCCATCAGCTTGAAGCCCGGCAACTTGGTAACTTGGCAACTGGTTCATTCAATAGAATTAATAGCTGAAAATGCTTATGCGACTATTTTGACCCCCTTAACCCGCTGGTTGCCCCTGTTTAGTACCCTCTAGTCGTGATTTGTAAAGTATATTGTCTGCAGAGAATAAGTGTATGTATTATATATATTTTTCTTGAAGTATAAAAAACTATAGACTAAAGATTTGTACATACCTCATTTAATGGTAATATCATATTAAGGGTATTATTAGGGGTATACAATAGGGTATTATAATTTTAGTCAGTGAAGGAGTCATTTCCGACCCCATAAATCATATATATTCTTGATTTCTTTCTCTTTTCTTCTTTTTAAAACAAATTAAAAAATGTAATTAAGAAAAAAATTTATTTAAATGAAACATTTATTTTTAAAAATTATTAAAAATTGACTAACAATTTTAATTTATTTTTAAGTTTTAAATTAAGTATGCAGATATATTAACTTCCTAAAAACTAACCCAACTATCAGTTTTCCGATTTAAAATGTAGTCCTTTTTGTCACAATTATAATATTTTTAAATGGTTTCCTCTTATAAAAAAAATTAGGGTAATTATTAAAAGTTTTTCAATATAAAAAATCATAATATACATAATTAAAATGATTAAAAATTAACAAACAATTCTATTTTTTTATTTCCAGGTTATCAGGTATCCCATAGTCGGATATTTCCCTCGATAAGTTAAGACACAAACCCTTTGGGTATTTCAACGCGGAATCTTGACGCCTGATTGTCAGCGTGTAAATGGAAATTCGCAATGGAAATTAAAATGGAAATGAAAATCAAAATCGAAATAGAAATGGGAGAGATGGTCCCTTGAACAGATCGGACTCGGCTGCTGTATATTTAAAATGCCGATGGGCAAACACATGTCAACTGCTCCTGCGAAGGTGAGTGATTAATGTGCATTTAATTGCGGGTTGGAAGAGGTCGCTCTGCGAGATAAATTCGAATTCGATAAGCTGAACTGTGGGCCGCTAAATGTTCCCATTTATTAATGATTAAATACATATATAAGCCGGCAAATGGCAAGATAGCTAAATAAATAAATAATAAATAAAGTAAACAACATCGCGCACCGATCAGCGATCCGCGATTCGCGATCCGAGCCCCCATTTGCATATCAACTTTTCGCATTAAATTCAATTGAAAGCTTTTCTCACTTTAGCATCATTTTGAAATTCAATGAGCCGCCCTCGCCCTGCGTTCGCTAATGTATTTATTGCCATTTCGATGCGAGCACAAAATTTATGATGGCATTAAGCTAATGTTAAATGCAAAATAATATATTGTAAGGCCGCTGTAAGCAATAATTTAGCAATTTATAGTGTTAGTTGTAATTTACACGAACCGCAACATAACCAAACCCAACCCACCCCCTTTGCCCGCCCGATTCCCACTCCGATTCCCATTCCGGGTCTGAATATCGGCGGGGAATTAGCATGGTTAATTGTGTGTTCGACGCTGTCACTTTAGTTGAAACGCATTTATATTTCACTTCCCACTTTTTATTATCGCAACAAGTGTTTTGTTAATGATATATATGCCGAGGCAGAAGGCATTTCGGATCGTGATGGATCGCTTTTACGTTGTAAGTACAAGCCCCCTGACAGGAGTCGAGGGTTATGGCATATTATTTTCATTATTATCCCGATTTTTTTGTGACCTTCCGTGGTGTCTATATGGGTTTTCAGAGAATATTGCCCTTTAATTAGACTATAATATACAAATTTAACGAATAAAATGTATTACAAATATTATGTAAAATTGAATAAATTATATAATTATATATCATAAGAAGGAATCATTTTATAATCGTTTTATTTTATTATTAAGTTTAATTTTAATATATTTGTAATTAATTATTACAAAAATTAAATTAATTAAAATATATTTATAATTAATTATCATAAAAATTAATCATTTTATGTTAATTAAATTGAATTTGAATGTATTTATAAATATTTATTATAAATATTAACAATTTTATAATCGTTTTATATTAATTAAATTTAATTTTTATATATTTAAGAATGATTCTTAATTTTGTTTCCCACTTTACACCGGTTAGACATTAACCAGTGGCGCCCTCTATGCTTTTATATGTGAAAGCTACCAAAATGGGATACTTGATAAGCACGCTAGATGGCGCTTGGCAAAAACAAAAACCTTTTGGCGCCTCTGTGCTTGCGGGGGCCTGATTTTGAATTTTTTTAACGGAATTCAATGGAAATGAATAAGATTTTAATCTATAACATAATAATATCAATAAAAATAATAATAAAAATATTATATTATAATCAGAAAGAAAGCTATCCTGACTCTTACAATTTGATCATAAATCAGAGTTTAAATTGATCATATTAAGCCAATAATGCATTAATTTCAATTCGGAAAACTGTTCTGTGTTAGATTTAATATGGTTAATAAATCTGCATACATTATTAAAATTTACAACAAAATTTTAATTTTACACAATTTTTTTTTAATTTTAATGATATGAGGGATAATGAGGGATAACCTTATGAAATTTTGAAAAAATGCCTAAAATATGGTTTTCCCTTCGGACAAGGCTTAAACGATTCGGATGTTAATCCTGATCAAGAATATACATAAATGATTTATGGAGTCGGAAATGACTTCTTCACTGCATTGCAAGCTTCTGACTAAACATAAAAATATATAATACTCTCCAAATAACATCATAATTTTCTTAATATTTTTGGAAGCAATATTTGGTTTATGCATTCTTCTTAATTTGTGCTTTTTGTGTTTTTTTTTTATAATTAAATTGAAATTCACTAAAAGAATTCCACGAAATCGCAAAAACGAAGCAATTAATTCCGTTGGCCACATGTTGCCACGCCACAACACACACCACACACCATACACACCACGCACACCACATGGCGAGCCCAAGAAGACACGCAGCTCCACTGATAGCGACGCTTGTGCGATGAGCAAGCCATCTATCAGATACAGATACGCACAGCCCACTCTCTCTCGCCCTCTCTCACACAGATACAGATGCACAGACGCACACAGACGGCTGGTGCAAACACAAACAAACCGAACTGTGACACGGTTTTTGCTATATTTTTTACTTAATTTGTAATTTAAAAACAAATATTTAAAAATATTTAAACAGAGAGAGAGAGAGAGAGAGATTTATATTTTTTTTTAGCAATATTCTAGCTGAATGTTAGCAGCCGAAACAACCTAGACAGGTTCATCTTGGCTCTCAATTTTAAAATAAATTATCTTATAGGAAGGCCAATAGGAAAAATAATTAATAAGAAGTAAATTATATATTTTAAAGTTGAAAAGCTTTAACAAATATTCTTATTTGAGTTCTTCAGCAATTTTTTTCGCTATATTTTATAGAATAGAATAGAATATTTTATTTCATCGAATTAAACTAAAGGTCTCTGTGATTTTCGGTGACTTTCCGTGATCACTGGGACCTGTGCGCATCTCTGACGTCGCGCAAACACAGCTGGCGGAGAGAGCCGACGACCAGCGACAAAAGTATCTGAGAGATACTCGCACTTTCGCAGCGCGCAAAGGTAGCCGGTTGCGCTGCTCTCTCTCTCTCAGTGCTCTGGGATCGCCGCAGAGTTTAGTTCTTGGACGTAATTCAAAGTTTTTTGACGTTTCTCCTCGGCAAGGCAAATAAAAAAGAGCTCTGCTTCTCTCCTTAAAGAAAATAAAACCGAATTGTGTAAATTAAATTGCTGCAAAAGAAATAAAAATATATATATATAGAGAAAGAGCGAAGATGGTGATATTTTGTTTGTTAACAACAAGTGGCTTTTTATTATAATAATTATTATTATTATTGTTGTGCGTGCTTGACCAGAGAGTTTTTATTATCTGTTTTCTTACGTATTTGATTTTTGTGTGTGTGTTTTTGTTGTTGCCGTAAATCGACCTTTGCGAACCTAACGTCGTAACCAGCAAAAAAAAAAAACCAACAACAACAACTGGGCAGCTAATAATAATTAAGCAGCGTGTTTTGAGACAAGCCAGCGCGCGTGTGTGTGTGTGACTCTGAGGGTGTGGTGGTATGTGAGTGTCGACTAATTGTCAACAGTCCACAAATTGCAGGCGAGCTAGCCAAGAGATACGCGCTCCTATCCCTCAGATACTACTCAGTCCTTCGGTATTCCAAAGCCCACCAAATCCATATCAAAATCGATATCCATGCTTCCCGATCATCCGATCGGCCACCAGTAAGGCCAACTTCATGTGGCGATGGCGAAAAAGTGCGAAAACTGCTAACTGTGCAATCGAGGGGGCAACGCGATCAGGTAGAGGAACACAAACACACAGGTGAGTGAGTGCTTTAAAACCCGAGAGATACTCGTGTAAGCTAGCTATTTCCAGGGGGAAGGTACTGATATAGTAAGGGTTTTATATATAAAATATAGTTTGATATATAGAATAATATCTATTTTAGATATTTCATAAAAAAAATGGAGGTTTAGTATATATTATACATCATAGAATATAGTATAGTATAGTATAGTATCATCTGTATTTAAGGTATTTCATAAAAGAGTTTAGGGTTTGAGACGCAAGGCCATCAAATGTCGCTGATTTTTAAACAAGAAAAACTTAAAAAATAGCCCCAAAAATCAAATTATGTTAAATAAAAATTCAAAACATTTTCTAAAAAGGTTTTTACGCTTTCAAAAGACTCCGAAAAACCCAAGAACATTATAAAGAAAAACTTGAAAACTAAACAAAAAATCAATTTAAACTAAGCAATCTATAGTTAACAATTCAGGCAATTAAAAAAAAAAGATTGTAGAAGTTTAAGTTTACCAAGAACTTTCCAAAACCCTAGGAAAATCTTTGAGATACTTTTGAAATTCACAGAAATTAAATTATAGCCTGACGAAAATTCTCAGTTATTTCTTTATGGGTCTCAAATTATTCAGAATTTTTTCAATAACTCTATGATTCATAACCATCCCCCAATATATAGTAAATATATATATTCTTATCAACGCACCCTAAAAAAATATTAAAAAATATATGCACACGCCTTGCACACAGTCTGTTATCAAATTCAGTCAACATTTAAAGCTTATATTGGAGATGCATATATATTTTCTTTAAACTGGGCTTATGGCGAATTTAAATTTTTAAATTAGAAAAAAAAACACTACATATAGATTAAAAGCCTCAGCCTCAGTTTCAGTGTCTGCCTCACTCGTCGTCTTGCTTAAATGCCTCAACTTGCTGTCAAGGTCCGAGAATCCAAATTCAAATCCGAAACCAAATCCAAATCCGACTCGCCTCGCCCCGAAACACTTGTGGGGCATTAAAAAAAAAATAATAATAAAAAAAAGATCATTAAACGCAGGCCCTGAGTTCAGCGGCGTCTGCCTGGACTCTCGTCGTACCCTTCCACTGGCCATGTGGCTGATAAGCCTCAGAAAATGAAAACCAAATTCAATAAATCATCGAGTAGAGTATTTGGGGCTTATCTCTAGCTCTCTCTCTCTCTTCCTCGAGAATATAGAACCAAAAAAGGGAGAGCATAAGTTGCATAATAAACCACAAAAAACCCCCCAAAGGTCGCGCACCTGTCGACAGGCATGCAAAATGTGCGTCAGCTTGTGCGTCAACTACACGGAAAATAAATATTTACTAGCACTTAGATTGACTTCTCTTTGAGGTTCTTTGAATACTATAATTTATAAAATTTTAATACCAAACGTGGGTTTAAATTTAGCTTATTTTAAATATTTTTAAACCATTAAAGATACTTTACCAACAAGCAAAAAGAAGGATTTGAAACTTACATAAACTAAGAGAGTTTTTTCTTGAATTTCCCCAAAACTGAGAGTGAGAGTTAACCGTCAGATATTTTCCAAAGAAAACCCCAAGTACTTTATCTGTTTTTCCTTAAAAAGAAAATCAAATAGAAAAGCTAATGGAATGGCAGCAAAACACCTTTTGTTCCGCCTTCAAAATGTGTTTGTGCGTGTTCCAGTTTACGTTCACCGCCAGCCTTTGATTTGTAAACCAAATAGTTTTGCCAAGCTGTTTGTTTATTTAATTATTATTTGGCTTTGGACGAGGCACACACCATCTAGATTCGAGATTCGTGCTATCCAAGAGATACGCGCTCGAGATCCAGATCCCCTCCTCAAGGTGTCCGTCCGCCTGGCGTGCTCTCAATTGTGCCGGACACAACAGAGGTCTCTCTGCAGTCCAATTTACCGGATCGCCTCAATTTAAAAATAGAATTTTGTACGCTGTCTGCGTTTGAGACTGGGACTGGGCTTCGGCGTTTATTCTCGATCTGGGCTTAAGTGTCGCGAAGATCGCGCCCTGCACCGGACACCCAGTGCGTCGTAATGGAGGCTCCAACTCCAATTCCATCTCAAATATTTGCCATCGGATTTCAGTACATTACACACGCAGCCATTTCGAGTGGCGCAGTGTAAGGAAGATGGAATCGGATTTCGTAGCAAACCATTCAGTTTCTAGGAAACCATTATAGAGGGGAGCTCTTAAGTAAATGATAAGGGCGCATGGCATATTATTATTTTTATACATTAGGCATATTTTGTTTATATTTAATTAAAAATAAATAATTAATAATTATTATCTAAATGTTCCAGCATAGTTTTACACATACAAAAAAAAATTCGATTTAATTTTTCTATTTTTCCTAAATTTAAGTCGATTTCCTATGTTTAGTTTCAGTTTCAATTGGGGGTTAATTTTACTTGTTTTGCTGGTAAAATTTCTTGCGGAAAAATATTTCACATCTCTGCACTTATAATTCCCAACTGGTTCTAACATCCCCGGAATGAAGTGACGGTTGCCGGCCTTAGGTTTTTGCAATGGCAAGTACATGTGGCTGTGTACATGATTGTGCTATTTCATAAGTGCTATTGAATATGTGCTTCACATAGTTACTCAACCTAAAACTAGCCTTTGGCTCTTCTTTACTTACTTACTTAAGTATAAATGTTGTTTTAAATATATACTCATTATATCAGTTTAAGTTTTTAAATTTTATTTACTCAAAATTCCCACATTTTTCCCTGAACCCATACCCCTAATTGTATTATTTAAAGTCTATTATTATGATTAATAAAGCAATGTTTACGTCTGGTAGGGTCCATAAAATAGGGGAAATATTTTTCCTGTGCCTTCCCTAGTTCAGATCCGATGAGTAATATTTAACGGCACGTGCCACCAATTTCACCAACGCTCCCCCCATATGTTTTCCTCCACAGAAATACATATACATACAGAGAGAGAAAGAGATTTGCTTTTCCATGAACGGCGCCTGAAGGAAATACCTATTTGGTTTTGGGATTTTGGGGAATTATCTCCGAACAATCAGCCATGCTGATGACGCACACGATGACGAAGCGCAAGACGCTGATCTTTGCCTGCTTCGGGATCGCCCTGGGCCTGTGCATCGGCACCGTGCTGAAGAACTACCGGGCGTTGGAGTACGTGAAACGATGCAGTTTGCGTCCCACAAACCTCAAGTCACCGGCGGAGATTATTGGGCTGCGGGAGGAGGACACCATCCAGAACTCGCAGCGGAATCTGGTCTTTGTGGGCGTAATGACGGCCAAGAGCTTCCTGGAGGGCAGGGCGCGAGCCGTGTACGATACGTGGGGCAAGGAGGTGCCCGGCCGGATGGCTTTCTTCAGCTCCGAGGGCAGCTACTCGGACGACCTGCCAGTGGTGGGGCTGCGCAACGTGGACGATCGATATCCGCCGCAGAAGAAGTCCTTCATGATGCTGCACTACATGTACGAGCACTTTATTGACCGCTTCGAGTGGTTCATCCGGGCCGACGACGATGTCTACATGGAGCCCGATAAGCTGGAGCGCTTTCTGCGTTCCATCGACAGCTCCAAGCCGCAGTTCATAGGCCAGGCGGGCAAGGGTAATACCGAGGAGTTTGGCCTGCTCTCCCTGGAGTTTGACGAGAACTTTTGCATGGGCGGTCCGGGGGTGATCCTCAGCAGCGAGACGCTGCGCCGCGTGGCCCCACACATTCCAACTTGTTTGAAGAACCTCTATAGCACCCACGAGGATGTGGAGGTGGGCAGGTGTGTGCAAAAGTTTGCCGGAATACCATGTACCTGGAACTATGAGGTGGGTTTAAGACTTTGTATTTTATATTTATATCCTTTTAAACTTGTCATTTCCATAAGCATCCCTATCTTGAACATGAATAATGTCCATAAATGATTGTCTTGATGATTTTGTTTTATATTTTATTTTTTAATTATATATTTTATATCCCACAGATGCAGTATATATTGCGTCACAACTCCAGTGGCCGGAATGCGTACACTGGAAAGCTGAAAAGAAAGGAGATCCACAATGCCATTACCCTGCATCCCATTAAGCAGGCTCCACTTATGTATAGACTTCATTCCTACGTGCAGGTACGTTAGGAAGCATATATAATAAAGATATTATAAAGATATTATCTAAATATTATATAGATAATATAAAGAGTAGATTCTTTAACTGCTGCAATCAGAAAAAAATAAATTCAACTATTCTATATTTTGGGAATTAACTAGCATTTGTTAGCATATATCTAAGAATATTTTGGTTATATCTAAGAACATTTGTCTTGACAGGGTCTTAAAGCCGAGGAGATGCGTCAGGAGTCACTGCTTCTGCATAGAGACATCAAGCGTATGGCCAAGTACCTAGAGGTGCCGGACGAGAGCACCTACATGCTGCCCAGTGCCTCGCCCGAAAGCGACACGGGCAAGCGGCATTTCCAGGATCACAATATATTGGGTAAGACCACTACTATAAACCATACTATAAACCATACTATAAACCCTACTAACACCCCTCCCATATCCCCTATATCCCCCATAATATATATCCTTGAAAAATGGTATTTATTTGAAAGAACTACACACACGAACAACACACAATTTACCAAAATGATCGAAGGACCTAAGGCTCCTTCTGCTTCTGCTGATCCTGGTTGCAGAGTGTCACGCCCGTGCCCAGGCAGGCAGCATAGCCCATTAGGTGGGGCAGGAGATTCTGCTCCATGACGCCGCCAAAGAGATGAGCCTGCGGGCCCATGGCAAACACGGCCACATCCTCGCCAGCATGGACCCCCTTTCGCCCCTTGATATAGCTGGGTGTAAAGGAGGCTGCAAGAGAAGAGGGTCAACCAAAAAGTCACATCAAGATCCCACAAAACGATGGCTCTCACTGGGACTCAGCTTATTCCTGGGACTCGTCCTTCGACCAGCATTGTCGGCGCTTTGCCATTTGCCCACTGCATAGTTGAGGGTGCTGTAGGGCACACCATCCACGTCCCGCTGCTGCTCGTCCATGCCCAGAATGGGTGTGCCACGCACAGCGCCGCCCGCCATGGTCAGCGTGTGCGAATGATCGGAGGTGACCACCAGCAGAGTCTCACCGGAATCGGTCATCCGGACAGCCGTCTCCACGGCCTCATCGAACTCTAGGCTCTCGTCCAGGGCATAGCCAACCCGCGTCTCGTGGTGTCCATGATCGATCCGCCCGCCCTCAATAAACACAACATAGCCCTGGCCATCGGCCCGACTCTGCTGCTCCAGTTTCTCCAAGGCGGCCGCTGTCATGTCACTGAGACGCGGCTGCTCCTTCGTGGCGGCCAGATGGTACGGCATGTGGCTATCACTGAAGATGCCCAGCAGGCTGCCATCTCCCGAGCAATTCTTCAGTTCAGCTAATGAGCGGCAGAAGCATCCTTGGGGATTCGATTGACGCCACTGGTTCAACAGATCCTTGCCATCCCGCCGCTCTTCGGCAAATTTGCCCAGGCCACCGCCCAGGAGCACCTTAAAGTTACGTCCCGGCTCCTCCTCCACCAGCTGTCGAGCTATCTCCAGCTCCTCACCACGCCGCCGGACATGGGCATAAGCACCGGCGGGACTGGCATCTGTTAGCCGTGTGGTGGTCACCACTCCGGTGGCCTTGCCCGCCAGCTGGGCCCACTGCATCAACGAGTCCACCGGCTCACCGCTGGCACTCTGGCCCAAGCAGCCAACCCGAGTCTTTACACCGCCCAAATAAGCGGTAGATGTGCAGGCCGAGTCGGGTATCTGGGCATCGACGCAGTACGTCTTGCTGAGGCCGGCATAGGGGAAGCGTTCCACAGCAAGTAGAGCCTCCTCGCCGCTGCCGCCACCGCGCTGTCCCTTGAGGATGCGGGCAGCCGTGAGTGTGGTAATGGATAGGCCATCGGCCAGGAGCACCACCACATTCTTGGCGCGGCGTCGATCCACAACAGAGTCCTTGGTTCTGGCCAAACGCTTCTGCAGCTGCTCCTGTGCCTGACCCATCCAAAAGGACACCAGGTGCTCCGTATGCGGTTCCTCGGTTACCTCGGGCTCACCAGTGACCAAGACGAAGATGACGACGGGCAAGAGAGCGATCAGCTTGGGCAACATCTTGCTTGGCCCCGGGAAAAAAATAAATAAATAAAGCAAAAGTGAATAAATGCGAATGCCAACTGACAGTCAAAGACGAGGCCTTTTAAAGGCCAACTTAGACGGCGGGGGGGATGACTCCCTCCTGGGTTTTGGGGAGAAGATAACCTGGTTTTTAGCCCAACCAAGCTTAAGCTTTAATACATTCCATTTTCTTTTTTGCAGGCATCAGCCCGGAACTAAATAAATTCGTGCCCGGCAGCACCGATGACCTGCTGGACTGGTCCTTCATTGCCCGCAGCCTGTACTCGGCCAGCTCGGCGAATCCCAAGCAGAAGATCGACTCGGCCATGAGGGAGGGTCTCGAGGATGTCATTACCGAGGTGATGGAGAATATCAACAACTATTCGCGTCAGCGTGGGCGTGTCATTGAGTTCCGGGAGCTGCTCTATGGCTACCATCGGCTGGATGCCTTGCATGGTCAGGATCTGATTTTGGATCTGCTGCTCATCTACAAGAAGTATCGCGGCAAGAAGATGACGGTGCCGGTACGGCGACATCTCTATGTGCAGCGCGCCTTCACTGGGATCTTTGTCAAGGAGTTTGATGAGGACTTTTACAATGTCACCCTGCAGCAGAGTAAGAGGATCAGGAGGGAACTTCTCCTGGAAAATATAAATATCAAGCCAATTGTATTTATTCCTTCCCTGACTTAGGTCTCCTGGGCAGCTTGTTCCAGAATGGCATGGCCCGACTGAGCAATCACTTTACCATGCCCAGCGGCCTGCTGCCGCCGACGCAGGACAAGATTGTGTTTGTCCTGCCCATTGCCGGACGCCTGGGCACTTTTGAGCGTTTCCTGGGCACCTACGAGCGTGTCTGCATCCGGGAACAGCAGCACTGTGACCTCCTGGTGGTGATCTTCGGCTCGCCGGACGAGCTGGGCGATCATTTGCAGCTGCTGCACGATCTGCACGCTCGCCATGTTTACCAGCAGGTGAATTGGATCCAGCGCAGCAGCACCTTCTCACGTGGCGTGGCCTTGGATGTGGCAGCACGCTCCTCTTATATACGGCAGGAGGACATCATTCTGTTCATCGACGTGGATATGGTGTTTGAAGTGGAAACCTTGCAGCGAGTCCGGATGCATACGCAGCGCGGCAAGCAGGTCTACCTGCCCATTGTGTTCAGCCAGTACGATCCGCAGAGGCGTGGCAGTGGATCTGGGGGAGCAGGATCAACGGATGAGGAGTCGGAGTCGCCGCGAATCGACGATGAGAGCGGCTATTTCCGGCAATATGGTTTTGGCATCTGTGCCATCTACAAGTCGGACATCCTCGATGAGGACATCAATGGCTTCGATAAGGACATCACCGGCTGGGGCCTGGAGGATGTCAAGTTTCTGGAGAAGATTGTGCGCGTGGGCACACGGCAGCGTGGCTTTCTCACCAACACCGCGGAGCTGCCCTTTGACTACAACGAGGCCGCCGAGCAGTGGCGCCGGCTGAGCGTGTTCCGTGCCCCGGATCCCACGCTGGTCCATATCTACCATGACATTAGCTGCGACATCCAGTTGGATGCGCCGCAGTACAACATGTGCCTGGGCACCAAGGCCAACTCCCTGGGCAGCACGCGACTGATGGAGCAGCTCTTCCACAGCAGTCCGCAGAATGTCCAGTTTGCTGCCGACTTTAACCGCCAGAAGCAACAGCAGCAGCAGCAGCAACAGCAGGCCAGGTGATCCGGTCCCATCTCGATCCCGATCCCGATCCCTATCCAGTGATCCCGCCAGCGTTCCTGCCACATAGTATTCCCAGCCAGCATTTAAGCACACTTTTCGAGCCACATTCGAGTCTTTGTCGACTCCTCTATCTGATTATATTCTATGGATATCTTATATAGTCACAAAGGCACTCTAGGAGCATCCAGTATCCTGGATAAATAGTCGGAATTCAATCCAAAACCATGTCAGAATCTGGATTATCTTGGGCTTCTTCAGCCCGATTTTAATCCCTTGATATATTTGTTTAATTTAATCACGAATAGTCTTTAATTGCTAAATCGTAAATATTATTAAATTTCGGTTTTGTTTTACTTAAACTTTCTAAGGAAAGATTTTTTTTTTTGTATACTGTTTTAGGTTAGAAATCGTTATTTAATCATAGCATATTTCTTATAAATAATAAATTCTATAATCATACTCACATTTCAAAAAAAAAAACTGCAAAAAATTGGATCTGAAATTCGGAAATATTAGAATCCGATTTTGATTGTGATTACAAGTCATTTACGAGTCTTTTTTTTATCATTTAAACCCCTTTTAATTTTATTTCAACGAATCACTTTTTTATCGTATTCATGAGTCATTAGCGAGTCTTTTTTGTATCATCCAGAACTGCTCTTACTTTTATTTTAAAAAATTATTCTTTTTTTATCATAATCACGAGTCATTTGCGAGTCTTTTTCCATCAGCAAAGGGGACTTGAAAAAAAACTCATCTAGGTATTTTTTGTATTAACAATCTTCCAAATGCTGGCAGGGCTGGTTTTTATTTAATATATATATATTTTTTTTAATTACTTTGTATGTGTGTAAGGAGAATTAGTATTAGTAGGCGAAGGAAATCCAAAACCTTGATTCCCTTATGTAGTCGATGTGGGTTCCTCGGCAATGGCCACCGATGAAGGAGGAGGAATTTTGCTAGGCGGCTCCCTGAGCATTTTGAGCAGGTTGACCTTGTGGCGCTCCATGCCATCATACAGACCGTAAACCTGGGAAAAACCAAAATATGCGGCCACAGCAGCCACACCAAAGATAGGAACCATAATGATGAAACCGCCCAGGCAGGCGAAGAACACCATCGACACAATGGTTAGGAGGGTGCCTGCAATGAGATGCGTTACATTTATAAATGGAAACAGGAAATTCTTTGACCAGAAACCAACCTTCTAGTACCAAAAGGCCAGTGAATGTCATCAGCATGGTGGCTATACCGAAGCCAAAGATAATAAGGAAGGGCAGCACAAAGACCAAGCCAGCGGCCAACAGGCAGATGGCAATGTGAGGATTCCTGGCACACCAGGCGGCCGTGGACTCCACGATCTCTCTGCCGCCCAGCTCGGACATGACAAACTCAGCCCAACGTCGCACTTGTAGCCCTGAAAATTAGTTTTTAAAAATATATACTTTACCACAAATGGTTTATACTTAAGTGGGGGTAAGGCAATTCGGTGAAAAACTGGTCACTTTTCAAATAAAATTTGTGGCGAAACGTCTAAAGTTAGCTTAATGAATTAAATGCCATATAATAACACAACATTTAAAGAACTTTTTTTAATTTCCGTATTAATTGTAAAATATTTAGAGGTCTAGGAATAATAGGGAATCTCCCAAGACCTCTATAAAGAAAAGGTGGCTTATGGTGTACATCCTAACTGTCCATAAACTCATCCAATATCAAGAAACTATAATACATTTGTTAAAGGATAAGTGTCCCAAGGTACTCACGTGGCTTTCCTTTTTTTAAAATTTTTCTTAATTTTTTCATTAAAATTAAAATTCAAAAACCAGATTTTTGACTAAAAAACAAGTTAATTTGTTAAATAAGAATTATAATAAATTTTAAATAAATAAAAGCTCGACGTGATTACCTGTAGAATTAGTTAAAGAAGTTATATTCCGAATTCCAAACCGATCGTTGTAAAACTTGGACACAATATCCTTAAGATATTAAGCCTTTAAAATAAAATAAACCAAATTTTCGAAAATAGAATTAAGTACCTTACCCCTATCCTAAAGGTCCTTTCTTGTAGGGTTTACTTTTATTTTTAAAAAATATATATTTTTTAAGTTGTTTAAAACATTCTTTGAATATTTATACGACTTTTGCTAAACTCTAAAAATGAAAAAAGTAATATCAAAGTCCAAAGATCTGAATACAAGTTAAATTTGTAATAAAACTCGGATTTCAGTGGCGGAACCTTTGAATTACAAAAATAGAACACAAAAAAACCTGCTCATCAGCTGTTAAAATTTAATTAAAATAATTATTTATACTAATTAAGAGACTCTAGAAAACCCGTTTCATGGCATACATACACGTCTTGTAGAGCATCTGAAGCAAGGACTCCAGGAACTGGTCATGACCGTTGCTCGTCTCCTGCTGCTGTGTGTTTTTCTTTGGCTCCGCTGAGTCCTCTTGCTGAACCTTTCTTGGCCCAGATGTGAGCTCCTGCTGCTGCTGCTGTGCCTTCCTGGGCTCCGCTGTGTCCCCTTTTGATCCTCCGGCCGATCGCTGGGCAGAAGAAGCATTGGCTTCCCTGGCGGCCGCTTTACGCGCCTTGCTCGAATGGCCCTGCAAATGGAGGAGGTGGAGATCATCATCGCGAAACCGAAATCGATAGTGATTTGCTCTCCATCTGAGGCCATCAAACGTGATGACCTTTGGCACCATTCAGCATTCCTTTTTCCCCTCTGGAGAGCAGCCGGCGAACTGCACCAACACACACCCACACACACACCTACCATGTTGTTGGCCAAGTCAGATCTCAGAGAAGGACTGCTGGGCTCATTCCAGTTGGAATCCGTGTGGCTATCTCAGCTGCGTGTCCGGTTGTAATCCAAAAGCAACAGCACCAAAAATCAAAATCAAAATAATGATGAGAGCGGAACGTAAACATTCAGGGAGGCCTGCCAACTAGTTGCTTGGGAATGCCAACTTAATCGTATTTCAAATTAACCCTCGAAATGCTAAACACAAGAAGTTTTCTAATGTTAAAATCCTATTTTAAAATATAAAATAATATTTTTTCTGGGTGTAGCAGTCATTTCCGATCCCATAAATCATATATGTATATTATTGATCAGCATCACCAGCCGAATCGTTTTAGCCATGTCCGGAGGGAAATCAATTTTTTATACATTTTTTTACAATTTTATAATTAAAATTTATTTATCATTAAAATTTTCAAAAATTGAAAAAAAATTGAATTTTTTAAATTTAAAATGAAGTAAGCAGATTCATTAATTTTATAAAAACTAACATAGAACAGTTTTACGATTTGAAATTGAGGCCTTTTTGGCCGAGTTATGATATTTTGAAATAGGTTCCTTTTATAAAAAAATTAAGTTAATTATGAGAAGTTTTCAATATAAAAATCCTATTTTAAAATATAAAATAATATTTTTTCTGGGTGAAGGATAACTCCTTTGCGACCCCATAAATATATTCTTGATCAGCATCAGCGCCGATTCGTTTTAGCCATGTCCCGGGGAAAGCTATATTTTAGCTATTTTTCGTTTAAATTAAAAAAATTATATTTAAAAATTTTTTAATCTTATAAAAACTAACACAGAGCCGTTTTCTGGAAGAAATTAATACTTTTTTGGCCGAGAATTAACTTCTTAGCCAGTTTTTCATTGATTGAAACACTAATTTATATTATTCACTTTTTATATACTTTAATAATTTGATTAATCTATGAAAAAAAAAATGCAATCTTTAAAGTGCATTCCTTAAAAGTCAGTTTTCGTTTTGGTTTTGGTTTTGTTGGGCAACTTAATTAGTTCTTAAGGCTTCAAGCTAACATATAATAAGCACAGAAAGCAGTCTGTTTGAAAATCGAAGTCACAGTGATTGAAAAAGGGGTTAGTGGAGCAGGAACCGGAGTCCGTTGAACGGTGGCCGCTCCGTAATCCTCTCCGCCATCAAACGCTCGCCGTGCACAGTCATTCCGCAGCGCAGCTTGGGCGCATGAAGGAAATTCAAATCCGAGGCACGATCACGACACGGAAGCGGCAGCCATCCGTACACCTGTGACTCCAGGATGGGAACACCTTTGGCCAGCTGATGTTGGCGCATCAGCTGCTTTTCTGGCCAGGTGTGGGGCAGGTAACGCAACGGATTCGGCGGCTGGCGTTGCTCAAACTGGGCGTAAAACTTTCGGGTGAGGGGATAAACTGGAAAGTTAAATATTAATTAAAATGAATTAATTAGTTAAGGAAGCAAACCCAAATGTGACTAGATCGTTGGTTCTGGTAACGCTTATTTTTTAAGAATTTAAAAGTACATTTTACCTTGGCTCACTGGCACAAAGGTATCATAGAGCCTGATGTGCCGATTGGATTTCTCGATGAGCTCCTTTTCAAAGTCGTAGGGCAAAGGTTTGGGATCCCCCTCATGATGATCCTGGCCCTCGCCATCCTCCTCGCCCTCGCCCTCGTCATTGGGACCCTCGGGACCTGGCTTCATGGTGTGGCTCCTATTTTCACTTTCTGTGTGCTGCGCTGCTGCTCCTTCTATGCCTGAAGGAGCACCTCTCTATACAAAAGTATTTCGTCCGCAGTCGGTGGCGTGCTCGGTTCGTTTGACTTGGCTGCAGCTAGAAAGGACAATACCAGGGGCCAGGTCTGTCTGCTGCCTCTACTGCCGCCTGTCTTTTCACTTTTGCCTTCATTTGGCAGCAGCAACTTGTACTCATTAAAGTTTTGCTATTGTTGCCGGATGGCAGGCAATGTTGCCAGCACGGCATACGTACGCATCCCCATGACGCACCCACCGCCCAAGGAGTCACAGGGCAGACTCAACGGGTGGTGTGACCCACAATCGCAGTTTTGCAAAAAACGTCAGAGAAAAGGACGAAAGGCTGGGGTGTCGGAGGAGATGGAGTAAAAGCAAATGCAAAAGCAGGAGCAGGAGCAGTGTTTAACCCTAAAAAATGGCAAGTTCCTTGGCCCCCCACCCCCAACCATATATATTGGCTCCATTTCATGTCGTTGCCGTAATTCGGTACAAGCCCAAAAAACCGAATCCTTGAAGTAAAACAGCAATTTCCGAAAATAAACCCATTTTGGGGGCGATTGGCGTTGCGTGTCCAAACAATCGCAGCCACAAAACCAGGAGAAAGCGGAGAGCGGGGCAACTACCACATCCTGCCTGGGTCGTAATCCTCGTTTTTATGCCCCCGCAGTTGTGCAACCTGCTCAATGTCGCCAATTTCCGGCCTAATCGAATCTAATTGAATGCATAAATACACAAATAAATCAATTTAATTACAATCCAGGCTTGGCTGGGCACGCACACCCGCACTCGGCAGGACATGTAGAATGTATAGGACCTTAAACAAGTAATATATGTATGTAAGCCCTAGCAATGTCTTGAGTAAGGATATACAAGAGTGCGTAATAAATTAATTGCGGCGGGGGGTATTTACACAGAGGCCTGAAAACCTGTTGCTTCTTTAAACTAATATATTTATTCTTAAATAATTGTTAAGGCTTAAAAGTTTCAAAAGAGAAATGTACAACATTTTGAGACTTAAATTTTAAGAAATCATGGGGATATATACCCTTCAGAATCAATCGAAAAGACACTAAATTTATCTATTTTGTTAAACATTTTAATTTAAAAACAAGCTAAAAAAAAATGCATGAAAGGCCAGTGTTGTCTACCACCTTTTCCCAATTAGCTGAGGTATTTATCCATACCCCAAAGAGCAATTAAATCTCTGCGAGATGTCTGAGGATTCTCTGCTTCTCCCAAAAGCCAAGCCAAGCCAAGCCAAGCCAAGCCCCTTAACTTAACTAAATACATATATCTACATATATCAGTCGTGTTTAGGAGGTGTCATTCTACAGGACTACAGGGCATCTGGATAAAAGTCCCGATAGGCAAAGGCCTCGATATACTCCGGCCGATGGCAGCCAAACAGATGATGAGGCAACTCCTTATCGGCATATTTCTCCAAAGCCTTGCGCGTCTTCTCTAGAAGGACGGCCTCATCGAACTTGACCCGCTGCACGGTGGTCTTACGCAGTATGGTCTGAACGAACTGCGACCAAACGGAGCCGGTTTCCTCGGGCTCCATTTCCAAATCAGCAGCAGCAGCAGTAGTAGTTTCCGTGAGCTGCTTCTTCTCCTTCTGGTGGTTATGGGGCTTGGACTCATCAGGCTGAGCCGTCGTCATGACCTCAAGCGCCTTGGCTTTGCTATCGGCATAGACAGTGGCCACCTCCGCTTGGCCAGATGCCTGATGATGGGCATCCTCCTTAACGGCAGCTTCCTTGCTCTTGGCGGCCAGTGGAGTCTCCTGCATCAGGGTCTGCAAACGGTCCACCGTCTCGGCCATGCGTTTTCGGAAATCAATAATGCGTCGGGCGTAGCGAAAGAGTTCACGCTCCTCGGCCGGCTTCATGGGCCTCAGGCGGTCCTCCTGACGCAATTCATCGGGCTCCAGCAGCGGTCGATAGCGTCCCGCTGCATCTGTGGTGCCAGAGAGGTAGATGCGTTGGGCAAACTCCTGCATGGCAGTGGTATTGACTATGGCCATGGCATAACCATTACGTGCTTGCAGGATTACTTGCCGGATATCGGTCAAAGGCATTGATGGGGAGGCAGATGAGGAGGAGGAGCCATTGGTCTGCACTTCCTCAAAAGATGACGATCTGTCCAGGCTCTCTAGCACATTCGCCAAGTGGCCATGCATGCGTTCGCCGTCCGCCTGGAAACTGAGCAAGCCCAGGCCCTGGATTAGCCGAATATTGGCCGCATACTGCTGCTCCAGTTCGTACAGCTGCCAGAGGGATCGCATGCGCGACTCGTACTCCTTCTGGGCACCTGGACCCAGGACACTGCTGATGTTGGTGTCATAAAGCTGTAGTCCCCGGATAAAGGCCACGTCCATGGTAAAGTTACCCATGAAGGAGAGCACATAGTTGAGGGCTTCGGCGGCGCTGGCAAAGTTCTCCCTTCGCTGGGCAAAGAAGTCGTCCAGGTCACTTACAGTCAGCTGATTGCGCGGCACCTCGCTTCGCTGCAGACTCTGGTTCAGCTCCCGCTCCTCGCGTATCCGCTCAAAGTTGCTGACCAGCAGATCGCCGGCGGGCTGTTGGAACTCATCGAACACCTCAATATCTACGGCCATGGTTGTGGTTGCCGACTCGCCATTATCCTTGCCAGCAGCCTTCTCCGTCTTCTCCCCGTCCCTCTCTCTCTCCTGCTCGTAGTAATGCTCGTAATTCCCTGGATGACACTGTGGCGTCCACTGTTCCTGCACAGCCACCTGACGTTCTCTGCTTCTCTCGAAAATGGAACGCACACTGAATCGCTGCAGATCCAGGCCGGCATATATGTCCTCCTTGTGGGCATGGCAGCAGTGCAAGGCAGACATGTCCATGGGATGGGCCTCCGTGTTAAAAATATAGGCGCCAGCCTGTACCACACACACATCGTCTTCGGTGGATACCAACTCACCGCCAGAGCCGTCGTCGTGCAGGAAGTTGTCCTCATCGAAGAGAAGATACAGGTACTTGCTGGTCTCCGCCAAGAAGAACGACTCCATGCGGTTCTCCTTCTCGTGGGTGACCACATTGCGAATCTAAAAGAGAAAGACAAAGAAAGCATTTTCTTAAATATCCTAAAATCCCCCAACTATTTATCACAAAACCTTTGACTTCGACTCCCCTTACCGTGGCATATCCGCACTTGGTCTTGGCACTAAACTCAATCGTCTCCAGCATGTGCTCGCCCAGCTCCAGGAGATATTCGTTGCGCGTCGCCCGATACAGATACATGGCCGACTCGATGAGCTCCGGCCGCAGGGGATACACCTCGCGATTGGGCGATGCCTCCCCTGCGGCTATGTTGTAAAACTCCGGCAGGAAGCCGTACTTCTTCCACACACCAATGTACCGTGAAATGGTGCGCAACGCCGGCTCCGTGTCACCAACTATGCTGAGTATGCCGGGCCAAAAGGCCTCCAGAGACTGAAAAACGGGCAGGGTGACGTGGCCCTTGTTCATGCCGACCCACACGTACCAGTCCTCCTTCCGCATATACTTGTCAATGGCTGAGCGGGCCTCGTGGAAGAGTTCCAGCAACTCGGGACGGTTGAGCAGCATGGAGGCCTTCACCAGGTACTCGAAAAGGGAATCCACACCGGCGCCGATGCCCGAATCAAGAGCTGTCCAGCGTCCGCTCTGGACATCGATGTGATTGCCAAAAAGACCAATGGAGGAGCGGTGAGCCCAAAGAGCATGGACCGCCCGCATGGCCACCTCCTCGTAAATGCTATTGCCGGTCAGCCGGCTCAGAGTTCCGAATTCAATGAGGAAAGTCCCCACTCCAGCCGTGCACGTGACCGAAGTCTCCCCCTTGGGCACGCCATAGCGCAGGTTCACCGTTCCGTACGGCATTCCCGTGTTCGTGTCAAAGGCGGGCAATAACCGCCGGGCCACGTCCTCCGCCATACGGAGCAGTGGTCCTTGGCAGGGCCAGCCCTGCTCTAGATCAAGACCGGCCCGTTTAGAAAGGAGATGGGCGGAAAGTAGGCCACCAACGATGCGGATGTTTGTCTCGAACACGGACACATTGATGTCCCGATCGAAGTTCATCTTCTGCTCCAGCAGCTGGGTGACTCGCTGGAACTCCGTGAAGTTACCCATGACGGCCAGCGTGTCCAGGGCGTCAATCAGCGTCAGGGAGTAGCTGCCCCAGGTGTCGTGGCCATCGCAGGTGAGCGGACGCAGCTCGTCGTAGTTGGAGGCGTGGCGCAAGTAGCCCTCGTAGGCGTGCTGGAACATGCGGCGCACATCCTCTCTGGAGAAATTACAAAAGAGAGGTTAGCACTGGCAGTTGGGTTAACTCCTCCAGGAGGAGTACCCACCTCAGCTCCAGTTTCCGGGCCCTGGTGAAGTGCTTCTGACCGCTGACATCGCTTGCCAGCAGCAGCAGGAGGAGGAGGACCGTGCAGAGCAGCAACTTGTAGACGTAGATCCAATGCTGCATCGTTGCTTCGGTCGGAGGAGGAGTCAATCAGTGGCGCTAATTCAATTATGGGCATGGTCAGTGCGCCATAGCCAGCGTGGATGTGGGAGAAGTCGTCAAAGCGGCTACGTTGTCGCAAAAACCAAAACACGGCAAATCGCGGGGCAGTGGCATTAATTCGCGAATACCCTGCACGGGGTAAGTTACGAGAAGTAACAAAAATTGGGATAACAAAAGGTTTTTAGCTTGTGTGTGATTAGCTTAATTATATTATTTAAATTATCTTAAAAGTTAACAAATTAATTTTTATAAAATTAATTTAAATATAATGAAAGAGATGTTTGCATCGTAACAAAACCACTACGATAACCGCCTATGCCCAACTGTAGAGTGCTAACAGCTGTTTGTGGCCAAAGAACTATCGGACTATCGGCAGGGTGGTCGATTCGCGTGTAGATACAGGTTGGCAGTTGTCAACCAGCTCTATTTCAACCAAAAACACCATCCAAATAGCCGATAAAATATTCAAAACATCAATTTAAATTCGAAATAAATGTAGTAAAATTCTTTAAGTACGGTTTTTACGACTTTAAATGAAATCGATTGTTCGTGGCTCTATTGCGCGGCACGCGCGCCTTTTACTTTGACCCGAGTTGGCAGCACCAATCTCAGTTTCTTTGCTGGCCATTCAAAAGTGTGTGTTCTTACGGCATAGAGCTGGGAAACTATCGATAGTGACACCATTCGATATTTTCGATGTTTTGAAAACGAAAATTCGATACTATCGATAGTATCGTTTTTTTACGATTCTTTTTGCAAATTAAAGTTATAGCAATTTCAAATAGAATTATAATACTATTCAATATGTTTTGACTAAGTAATTAACATAAATATTCTATCCAAGCAACTTTGCACAAATAAAATTGTATTACCATTGCTAAACATACGCTTAGACTCTGAAGACGTGGCGTAGACGCACCCTTTCTTTTGAGATTCAGTTAATATTTTTCACCACCAACTCCAATTTAAGTTAATTTAGAATACATTTTTATTATAAAAAAAAAAATATATATATACATATATATATATATTTGTTTGCATTTTTCTTACTAAATTTCAGCAACAAAGCAGAGATATAAAAATAGTCCCGTACTATCGATAGTGATAAAAAACTATCGATGGTGGCTCAAAAAAAGGAAAAAGTCGATACCTCGATAGTACCATCGATAGTTTCCCAGCTCTATTACGGCATTGTGTTGTGTGTTTGGAATTCAAAATAAACAAGGAGCAGGCTAACCAACAATTGCAGAAACTGCACCCAGCGGTGAGTAACTCCACAAGGAGTAAGTTTTACTAAAGCTTTAAGGCCAAATACGGGGCCAGCCACTGGGCAAGCCTCTGTTTCGCCAGCAAACAACATCGAATCACCTTCGTCTTGTCAATTGACACAAGTTGAATCTTTTTTGGTGGCTATTCTCCGGTTAAAACCACCAACCAATACCCGCCAATTATCTGTCCAGACAAGGTTTATATCGTCCGGACGATCTTACCGAGCCCAGCTCCAGGCATTTCGCAATATGTCATCCGGGTGCGGGAGTAATGTCCGTTGGTTGGTAAAGTAACAACATTGTGAAAGCAGGCATGTGGGCTAGCCTTTGGAGCCCTCGTGAATGCGCCAAAACCTTCCCAGTTAATTTAACCCCCAAGTGCCTAATGTTTGCTGGCTAGATTTAATGCCAGCCTAGTGATATCTGTGAAATTATAAACAATTTGTGGAAAATATTAAATTTTTAGGGCAGAGTTGTCGCCGTTCGCAAGGCAATGGCGATACCCACGGCGCCGCGACAACTCTGCGCACACGCAAAACCTATCGAAAATTTTTTTTATGGGCCCACGGTCGATAAAACACTTTCGTGTGCGCCTCTCTGTCGTGTACAAAAAAAAATATAGAAAAATAGAAAAAGAAATCTTACTAAAACGAAAACGAAGCAACGTCTAGCGGAATATAGCAAAAAACAACGGGACAGCAACCAAGTGCTGTACACGAGTAACCGTAATTTAGCAAGTAAAGTGCAAGGAGCAGCAGCAGCAACAGTTCTACGGGAAAAATGGAAATATGCATAATACGAAAAAGTGGCCAATAACAAAAACAAATACAGACAGCGACAATAGTCAGCAGCAGCAGCAGCAGCAACAACAATAACATCAGCAGCAGCAGGCAGCAACGTGTGTGTTGTAATTGTGGAACCAAGCAGAGGCGGCGGCAGAAAACTGTGTCTGTGCTCCGACGGGGGGTGGTTGTGCTGCGCTGTTCTGGTCGTCTGCTCGCCCATAAATTAGAATCGTGCGACGACGACATTGAGGTCCGCCCTGGAATGCAGCATGTCCGCGGATCAGGATCAATAATCATCATCGTGAGCAGCAGCAGCGGGCAATAAAAAGTTCGAACCAAAAACAAAAAAAAAGAGGAATCACGCGCGCCACCCCAATACGGAAAACGGCTGAAAAATGTTAGCTAAATGCCAAGTTATCTACAATTATTATTTGTTTTGTCCCTGTGTGCGTGCCAGTCGAGTGTGCTGGCTATATGTGTGCTTTTGTGTGTGTGCGATAGCAAAAATAATAAAAAAAAATCCGCTCAAATTGCGATGCCAAATTGTCGCCGCTTCTCCCACTTTTGTCCAATTAATTGATCGTCTTTCAATTGGCGAGACATCCCATATTCAGATTATTCAGCATTTCCATATGCCAAACTCGTATCCGATGTCCGTTCCGCTCCTAGAGCGCTCCATCTCCCAAGGTTGTGCATTGTATAACTTGAATCGGAGCCGAGAGTCCGGTCCCCTCGTTCCTTGTTTATCTTTGCCGTACAGTGGAGGCTGTCACAGGTTGGCCTGGAACTCACTTTGATTCGATAAGCTCGCTTGCTGGGACAAGTGTTGTCACCTGGCATTAGTCCAGAGAGAGAGGGAGAACCCTTATCTCTGACATATTCTAATAAATTTGGTTTCTATTGGGAAACTTTTTAAAATAGCCATTACTTAGGGCCCTCGGCAACGCATTTTCCCAAGGATTAGAGTTGAGGAAGCTTCAAGAAGGCTATATATGGGTTTTTTACATAAAAAGAAAAACAGAGGACTCAAAGTATGATTATGAAATAGGAGTAGCATCTAACTTATGTTCTTTTTGGCCCTAAGAAATTAAGTTTACCCTGTAACTAGAACTATAGCCTTCATAAATCTTGTTTACCCTATAATTTCCTTTAAGCTTAACACTTGAAATTAGCTTTATATGGGGATGATAACACAGCTTTTTGGAACCAAGAAGCGGATGGTTTTTAATGCCTTGAATTCAAATCCTATCTCAGAAAATTTCCTTTACATTAGGATTTTAAAATTTTTGGAATTAAAAACAGTTCTTGCTCTTTAAAATCAGTTTTTAAAATTTGGAAAAAATATTATTGGTTTCAGAAATATTTTTTTTCATATATAATAAACGATAAATATCATAAAATAACGATATAAATTTAAAAGACAATATCTCTAATATTCATAAAGATTTTTCCAAATTGATTTTTTATACTTTAGAAAGAGCTTTTATTATGTTTGGAATTGTGAATAGTGCCTCAAGACACTTTTGGGTCCTGGACGGTTAAGTAATGAAAGGTTTCTTAGTTTAAATTAATAGCTCAATTAGTAAACAACTAGACCAGTAAGAAGGTTTCTCAGTTTAGACAGTTCTTAAGGGCCCAAATACTAGCAGAGCTTCCTAAAACCCATTTGCTAGTCGAATATAATTAGTTTTAAATAGACCTAGAATATGGTCAAGTCAACCTTGGACGGTGAGCGAGCGAGTGAGTCACTGATTAGCAGCTTTCACTGTACCCCGCACGCACTAGAACGCACACAGGCGACGACGCAACCATCTACCACACCATTGCCCGGGTGTATGTGGCTGTGGACGTGAGCAAATGTTTACTCAAGAACAATTTTTACAGAGCCAGCAGTAGCAGCAGCAGCCGGAGATCGAGGGAAGAGGAGATCAAGGAGGAGGAGCAGCAGCAGCAGTTGGAGCACGACGGTGCTCTGAGTAGGTAAAAGCCAGCCTGATCAAGCCAGCACCATGGTGAGTAACAATCTAGTGGTGCCCGTGGTCCTCTGGGGACCCACAGCCCCCACCCATTGCATCTCGAGCGTGTTCCTATCGGATGACCAGCTGACGCTAGTTACCGGCTGCTACGATGGACAGATCTGCCTGTGGCAGGTGGAGCCCAGCACATTGAAGATGTCGCCGCGGTGCCTCCTGGTGGGACACTCCGCCCCGGTATTGTGCCTGGTGCGTGCCTCTCTCCTGCCGGAGAACAGCTTTCTGGTCAGCTCGTCGGAGAACGGCGAGATGTGCACCTGGGACCTCACGGACGGCAAGTGCATGGAGGCGGTCAAGCTGCCGCAGGTTCACACCCAAATCCAGAGCTATCACACGGCCAACAGCGAGGATGTGCGTCTCTTCTGCATCGGCTACTATGCCGAGATCATGGTCATGGATCCCTTCAGCCTCGAGGTCATCTATGTGCTCAGCTCCAAGGTTAAGCCGGACTGGATCTCCGCCATCCATGTGCTGCGTCCGATGCGTCGCAAGGATGATGTGGTGCTGGCCATCACCACCACCGGCACCGTAAAGGTGTGGACCCTCACGGGCAACGAGAACAAGCATGCGGAGCCCATCTACGAGAACGAATCGAAGGAGATCCGATGCCTCAACGCCATCACCATGAACTGCTGTGCCCAGAACCAGCGAACGGTGCTCCTCGTGTGCACCAAGTACTGGCAAATCTACGATGCCGGTGACTTCACCGTCCTCTGCTCCGTCATTGCCCCCGCCCGGGAGCGGTGGCAGGGCGGCGATTTCATCACCTCAGACCGTGTCATGTTGTGGACGGACGAGGGCAAGGGGTATCTGTACAAGCTGCCTGCCAATTGCATTCCGGACAACAAGGAATTCCATTCGAAGAGCGTCGTCCGCGATGCCCCCTACCTGTACTATGTCCTGCAGCACGCCGGCGACAAGGTGCTCTCGTGTCCGCCGGCAATGAAATTGCTCCAGGGCACTGGCGGCCAGCACAATCTACTGCGCGGTGACTCCGAGGGCTATATCTCCGTGTGGAATGTGCCGGAGGTGCCGCTGGATAACATCAGCATACTGCAGGCCAAGCAGATGCCGCCGCGTGTCCTCAAACCGCATGTGTGTACCTCACTGGTGGAGGCGTGGTCCATTATGGATCCACCGCCCGTCGGCATCCTCGACCAGCTGTCGCGCATCACCGAGTCGCCGGTGAAGCTCACCTCGAGCATCTATCTGCCCCAGCAGAGTCGCCTGGTGATTGGACGCGAGGATGGCAGCATTGTAATCGTCCCGGCCACCCAGACGGTGATGATGCAGCTGCTGGTGGGAATCAAGCAGAACTTCAGCGATTGGCCCTCGCATCAGATCCTCTACGGTCACCGCGGCAGGGTGAACTGCCTGCTCTGCCCCTCAATGATCCATTCGCGGTACGAGAAGTCCCATCTGCTGTCCGGCGGCATTGATTTCGCCGTCTGCCTGTGGGATCTGTACAGTGGAAGCCTGCTGCATCGATTCTGTGTCCATGCCGGCGAGATAACGCAGCTCCTGGTGCCGCCGGAGAGCTGCAGCCCGAGGATACTGAAGTGCATCTGCTCGGTGGCCTCGGATCATTCGGTAACGCTGGTCTCCCTGCAGGAGCGCAAATGCGTGACGCTGGCCAGTCGCCACCTGTTCCCCGTGGTCACCATCAAGTGGCGCCCGCTGGACGACTTCCTCATCGTGGGCTGCTCCGATGGCAGCGTGTACGTGTGGCAGATGGAGACGGGACACTTGGATCGCGTCCTTCACGGCATGCTGGCCGAGGAGGTGCTCTCCGCCTGCGACGAGCAGGCAGAAGATGGCGGCTCCGGCGGAGGCGGCGGATCGAATGGCGCCTCCAGTGCCAGTGAAATGGGCATGGCCAATCCGGCGGTGCACTTCTTCCGCGGCCTCAAGTCGCGCAACATGAACGCCATACGGCATGCCACGCAGCGTGGCATCACGCAGCTCCAGCAGCTGCAGGGACACAACCAGGGCAACTTTGACTTCCTAATGAAGCACCGCAGCAATCCGCTGGTCATCCAGGGACTGCGTACCAATCCCAAGGACGCCGAGAGTCACATCCTCTTCTTCGACATCGAGGGACTGATCTTTGAGCTGCACAGCGAGGAGTATGCCCAGATGACGCCGGCCACGCTGGAGGCGCTCGGAGTGCACCTGCAGAACCCCAAGGACGGCAAGTCGATGCATCTGGATGCGAGCAAGAAGATCGGAGACTTCTTTAGCAAGGTCAAGAACAAGGCGGTGGATGTGGAGAAGATACTGAAGGACAAGGACAAGCATGGCCTTGTCCAGAAGTTCAAGGAAAAGACGGAGATTGTCGAGAAGAAGGTGCAGGCGAAGGTGGAGAGCCTCCAGAAGGCCGTCGAGCCGCACGAGGAGCAGCAGGATCTCAAGAGCAAGATCGCCTCCAAAATGGAGGTCACCCATGTGATGGAGGTGGCCCAGCTGCTGCTCTCGCTGCTCCATTCGTGGGGCCTCGATCCGCATCTGGACAAGATGTGCGAGACGCGTTTGGGCCTCCTGCGTCCCATAGTGCCCATCTCGTACGGCGTGCTCTCCAAGGCCGGCTACATGTCCCTGCTGCTGCCGACGTGGCAGAACAACTATGCCATCCCGCCGGGCATCCAGTTGCCCTCCAGCTCCAAGAAGCGTCCGTTGCCCGAGGAGCTGCAGCGCCTGGAGCACCTGACAGCCGTATTTACATCGCGCCTGCACTGGGAACTGAGCACCACGCTGACAACCAATCACATCCTCGCCCTGGTGGCCATGTCCAACACGCTGCTCTCGATGAGCGCTGCCTCCTTCCTGCCGGACAGCGAGAAGCACAAGAAGCTGCAGCGCCTGGCACAGCGCACGGACTCGACGCTGAGCAACGAGGAGGAGCGCGAGGAGCTGATGGCCCACCACATCTCGCAGATCAAGCACGCCTGGAGTCTGCTGGCCACCCACCATTGCTTCCTGCTGCCGGACAAGATCGAGGCCCTGGAGCCAAAGAAGTTCAAGCGGCCGCAGGTGGAGATGATGGTCAAGCGTTGGCAGCACCACTGCATCGAGATCCGGGAGGCAGCGCAGCAGATACTGCTGGGTGAGCTCACCCGCATGGGCAAGAAGGGACGCAAGCAGCTGGTGGAGAGCTGGGCCCAGTACCTGCCGCTGTACACGCACACGGAACCGATTGTCGGCGCCCAGCAGCAGTTGGCCCTGCTCAGTCAGCCGGCAGGCGGAGGCGGCGGCGGAGCTGGATCCGGTTCGGGTGCCAATAACGGCGGCGTTGGCTCTGGGTCTGGTGGAGGCGGATCAGGTGGAAATATAGGCGGCGGCGGTGGGATGGGATCCGGCGGTGGAGTGACCGGTGGCGATGCCCACCAAGACGAGGATTACGAGGAGGAGGAGGAGGAAATAATACGCAAACCATCCAGCTTGTCGGAGCTAAAACGCAAGCAGACCACAGCGGTCATACTCCTGGGCGTCATCGGTGCCGAATTCGGCCAGGATATTTCGCAGGAGTCGCCCAATCATCGCGGCAGCATAAGCTTGGCCACGGGCGCCACTCTGGCCGGCAGCGAGCGCCGGAAATCGAGCGTGGTCGAGGGCTTCGGCATAGCCAACAACCTGGCCCGCCTCACCTCGATGGCTTTGGCCCATCTCCTGTATGCGCCGCCATCCCCCAAGCTGCCACAGTACACGCCACTCCGTCGGGCGGCCATCGATCTGCTGGGCAGGGGATTCACCGTGTGGGAACCATACCTGGACGTGTCCAAGGTGCTGCTCGGCCTGCTGGAGATCTCATGCGAGGGCAAGGCTGTGCCGAATCTAAACTACAAGCTCCCACTGACACCCCAGGCGGATGCCTGCCGGACAGCCAGGCATGCGCTGCGCCTGATAGCCACCGCCCGGCCGGCGGCCTTCATCACCACAATGGCCCGTGAGGTGGCCAGGTACAATACGATGCAGCAGAATGCCCAGTCCATTAACACGCCGCTGACCCAGTCCGTCCTGCACAAGGCCAAGGGCGAGATACTGCAGTGCGTGGAGATGCTGATCGACAAGATGCAATCGGAGATAGCCGGTCTCCTGGTGGAGGTAATGGACATAGCCCTGCATTGTGTGGACAGCAATGAGTTGAAGAGTCGCGGCCTGGCGGAGCTCTGTCCCTCGATCTGCAAGTTCAATCAGATCTCGCACTGCGCCCAGACCCGGCGCATTGCCGTGGGGGCCAACAGCGGTAACCTGGCCATCTATGAGCTGCGGCAGAACAAGTGCCAGATGATACCGGCGCACACGCATCCCATCACCTCGCTGGCCTTCTCGCCGGACGGCAAGTACCTCGTCTCGTATTCGTGCGCCGAGAATCGGCTCTCCTTCTGGCAGACCTCGACGGGCATGTTCGGTCTGGGCCAGTCGCAGACGCGCTGCACCAAGGGCTACTCGACTGCTCCGATACCGGATGTCTCCCGCCTGAATCCGATGCGGCTGGCCAAGCTGGTGTGGATCAACAATCGGACGGTGACCCTGATGCTGGCCGATGGCTCCGAGACGCGATTCAATGTCTAGGGAAGGCGACGATGCATAAGGCAAGGTTATTAGGCAATCAGCAGCGCGGCTTCAAAAGCAGCGAGAACATGGAAAGAAGATGGAGAATGGTAGATGGTGGATGCAGGATGCAGGAGTGCAGGTAGCAGAAACGACAAAACAATAATTATTCAAAGATAAAACCCGGAAACGTCTGGCGTTTCCTTAAATAATAAATAAGTAAGGCAATGGAAACAAGGAAAAGCTAAGCGAAAAGTAACAGTCAAAGGACGAAACTACACTGAAAACTTGAGGAGAGGAAAACCCAAGCACTATAAGCAGCATTAAGTTAAAAAGAGAAGGGAATAGAGAGAGGGAATAGAGAGAGAGAGAGAGAGAGAGAATAGGAAACGGAAAACGGAAAATTCAATACAACACACATTTTGTTATTTATTTATATATATATATATACTTACCCTATATATCTGTATCTGTATCCGTATCTGTATTTTAATGTATTACACGATTTTAATATGCCCCCCTGTTTAAATACCCCCCCTGCTACGTCCATTTTATGATTTAGTTTCTTAACTTTTACCCACACAACACCTCGTGTTTCTGCTTTGTTGTTCGGTTTCCAAATGCGGAAGGAAAACAGAAAACCAAGTCCAAATATTAACAAAGTAAACAACAATTAACCAGATGCAAAACACACACACACACAACGCAAAGGAAAGAAAAGGAAAAACAATTAAAATTATATAAAAAAAAAACAAAGATTGAAAAGCTGTTATTATTATTACACAACTATTATTATTATTACTATTGTATGCTACTATTACTATTATTATTGATATTTGTTATGCCTAATGTATTGTTATATATATATACCTAAAGAGGAAAACCTAAACAAATGTATTGAGCAAAGTTGCGAAACGAAAACTAAAACGAAAAAAAAAACAAAAACACTAAATAAAATAAATTATATAGAGCGAAGAAGTCAGGTGTTTAATTTTTTTTTTTTTACATACATATATACATTTTTTTTGTGAACCTTACTTTTATTGTAATTCCTATAATTGATAACTTCTTCGTCTTCTTTCGATGTCATATTTCTGCTTAAGCGTGTGTAAAAAGTCTTTGTTGTTCTGTGAAAATAATACATACATGCATACTTATATACGAGATCCTTTAAAGTATTACACAAAATAAAACAAAATAAAAAAGATACGAAACGAAGCAACTACAACAATTATGTACGGAGAGTATAAAACAAAAACAAAAAAAAAGAAATAAACTCAAAACCAAACATGAGCAATTTTCGGGCATTTTTACTTTTACTTACAGTGGGCACTGTAGTTTTACTTACAGTGTACAGTAATATTTTTTTCTATATTTTCTATATTTTAAATTTCAAATGTATAATACTTAACATTATTTAAAAAAATGGTATCTGAAAAGTTGTTGCACTACCTTTTTGTAGATATACATTTATTTATGTTTATTTAAAAATTAAACAAGAAACTTGCAGAAACAAGCAAAAAAAAGTTTACCTAAAACCAGAAATGCACCCAAAAATTATTAAAAATATGCCAAAGAATAATCCGTTGTGATACCATAAATATAAATGGTTATCGAAACAAGTTTTTAATATTAATTAAATTCCCTAATAAATTATTTTCTTATTTGTTTTTTATAAGGCAAAATCGAATATTAAAGTAACTCAACTTTTGATCTTTTTTAAGTTGATGTATGATTATAATTTAATTTTAGATAAACTATTAATTTTTCTATAAAAAACCGAATAAACCATGATTAAATTTACCATTTTTTTAATTATATATATTTTTAATTTTAATTTTAAATAAACTTTTGTTTTATTTTTTTTTCGCATTTGAAGTTAAAAAAATAAATAACAAAATATTAAAGTAGTTTTTTTTTAGTTTATGTATTTTTTTTATAATTTAATTTTAAATAAACTCTTAATTTATCTTTTTCTAAAATAAAACAAGCTTTAATTTACCATTTTTTACATAATGTCGTTTCTCGGTAGTTAAAGTTGAAAAAAAAAAACCGAATATTTATGCTATCCACTGTACATCTCTCAGAGGAGCTAAGGTGCAGACTGTACTTTCCTCTGACAATTTCCTACTCCCACTTAAGCTTACTCATCCCCCTATCTTCCCTGAATTACAGCCGTTTTGTTGCTCGCCCAGTGAGAATGCCCGTCGCCGAAGCCCAGAGAGGCCGGGGAAGGAAGTCGGCTGCAGCCCGGACACAATCCGCCACCCACAGCGAGGAGGAGGAGGACGAGCAGCCGCAGCAGCAGCAGCAGCGACGATCCAACAAGGTGGAGCCAATGGACGTGGAGGACGAAGACAACAACGATCGCGAAGACCCAGACGCCGAACTCGACGAGGGCGAGGATGAGGAGGAGGAGCACTTGGACGAAGGCGAGGAGGAGGAGGAAAATGACGACGACGACGACCAGGATCAGGATAGCAGCAATGAGACAAGCGAACCGGAGGAGCAGGCAGAGCCGCCGGCCTTTAGCCTGGCCACGCTCGGGCTGCAGCGCGTGGGCAGCGCCCCGCCGCCCAAGCCCAAGGTGCAAAAGGCACCCATCCTGACCCTCAATGCCCGCGGTATGCCGGCCCGCATCCGCAAAAAGAATCGTCTGTTCTACGACGAGAACATCATTAACGATGACAAGCCGCTCCGCATGAGTCTGGCGCCCAAGAAGATGCCCGGACGACCGCCGCTCTCCGCCGGCGGAGGCTCCGCCCAGAAGACACCGCTGACGCCCTCCAAGGTGCTGAAGAAGCGCAAGGGTGTTGTCTCCCGCTACATGCGCTCCAGTGACGGCTCCAGCTCCAACTCGGCCAGCAGTCAGCAGCAGCAGCCGGCCCAGTTGGGCAGGCACAAGAAGACGCCATCGAAGGGTTCGCCGGCGGGCAAACTGCAGACATCCGGCAGGCTGGTGAAGAGCGGCCGCGGGGCCCACCTGATTGGTGGCAAGGGTTCGGCGGCAGCAGCTGCAGCAGTGGCCGCCGCCGAGGAGGAGGCCACCCAGGCGGAGGCCCATGCGGCGGCCCACAAGCGACTGGGTCAGTCCATTGGGATGCGCCTACGGAATGTCCTCAAGCTGCCCAAGGCGCACAAGTGGGCCATTGCCGAGTGGTTCTACTCGTATGTGGACAAGCCGCTCTTCGAGAGCCGGGACGAGGTGATGACCCATGTGAACGAGCTGGCGCCACGCCTGGTCCCCCGCCTGCTCACCCGCCACGAGTGGATCAACATTAGGCGGCGGATGGGCAGGCCGCGTCGCTGCTCGGCCAAGTTCTTCAGTGAGGAGCGCAAGGAGCTGGACCGCAAGCGGCAGCTCATCAGGACCCTGCAGTCCCGAAAGCCCGGCGAGCTCAAGGATTCAATGCTGCTGTCGGATATGCCCGAGAAGATACCGATGCCGCTGCCGCTGGGCACCAAGGTGACGGCCAGGCTGCGTTCACCCCAGGACGGGATTTTTGCCGGCACAGTGGCTGCCTACGATTCCCTGAACGCCATGTACCGGGTGACCTTCGAGCGACTGGGCCTGGGCACTCACGCCGTGCCGGACTACGAGATCGTGTCGGAGAACTTCCACGAGATGCTGCCGCTGCACAGCTTCACCAAGGACTTCCGGCCCAACCTGATGTGCATCTATCAGACGAACAATCTCGGCTTTACCACCAACCTGGGCTTCACGGCCAACCTCTCCAGCAATTATCTGCAGAAGAAGATCGAGAAGGGGACGGGGCCAGGAACAGGAGGAGGAGGAGCAGCTGGTGCTGGCAGTCCCCAGAAGCATCATCTGGCCAGCAACAATGCGGATGCCCGAAAGGCGCTCAGCATGAAGCTGAACAAGAGCGATCCCTTGCTGGGCCAGGATTCGGTCTCCGAAAGCCCCATCCGGCAGCAGCTGGCCCGGCATCATCATCATCAGCATCGGCACAGCTACTCGAGCACGCTGCTCGAGCACCTGGTCCACCTGCAGAAGCACATTGCGGTGAAGGCCGATCGCATCCAGCGGCTGAACAAGATGAACAGCACCGCGGAACTGGCCCTAGCCGAGATGATCAACCAGGACGAGAACGGAGAGTGCCATCGCCGCCAGATTGCAGATAACTTTCAACGACAATATGCCTACAACATTGTGTCCATTGAGAAGAACAACGTCGATCTCATGTTCGAGCTGACCAAGGTCCAGGAGCTCTCCTCCAGCCTTACGCGCAATCCCAATGTCCAGGCCATGATCTCGCCGACGTATATGCGCGAGGAGTGCCGGGCCAAGGCTGCCCTCACGGTGGACGAGATGAACAAGGGGCTGGTTAAGAATCCGCGCATGATTCGTCTCCTGAAGAACCTAACCACGCTGCTGATCCTCACCCAGAATCTTAGCGGCGACAACAAGGTCTTCGAGGGCTGTCTCGAGGAGGTGCGCTCCAATCTCTTCTCCAGCGACAATAGCGAGGTCTTCAGGAAGAGCGTGCAGGCGCGGCTGGAGTACATTACCAAGGACATTGCCAGGAGTATGGAGGAGAAGCAGGAGGACGATGAGGAGGAGGACGAGGAGGAGCAACACGAGCAGGAGGACGAGTCCAAAGACAGCTCGAAGGCGAAAACGAAAGAGAAGGAGCAGAAGCAGCAGTCGGAAGAGAGAAGCAAGGAACCTGGCAAGGTGCCACACAAAAGGGAAGACCCAGAGTCGGAGACGGAGACGGAAGCTGAAAGGAAAGAGGAGGTGAAGAAGGAGAAACTGGACAGAAGTCAGAAGGAGGAGGAGGTGGAGGAAAAGGAGAAGGAGCAGGAGCACAAGTCGAAGGCAGAAGAGGAGACAGAGCCCGAAATGGAGGAGCATCATCTGGAGCCAGAGCCTGAGCATGAGCCAGAGCATTCACAGTCACCCAATGCGGCCGCCACCGACGACACCCAGATCACCATCGAGTCGATGAAGGAGTCCGAGGAGGAGTTCCTTTCGAATACCGAAACGGAGGACGACGAAATGGCCGACGAGGAACTGCAGCAGCTGAAAATGTCGGCCGACCTCTCCGGGGATGAGTTCGTCTACGTCAAGTAGAGGATGTAGATGGTAGTCCCTCTCCCCCGTTCCCCTTTTTTTTTGTCCCCCACTTTTATTCTCCCTTAGGTTAAACAAAAAAAAAAAACTCCAACGTTGCAATAGAAGGTGCAACAAGCAGCAACCGCAAGCCTTGGCTTCCACTGTGTACACAAAAAGTGGAAGCAGAGGCCATCATCTCCCTTTGATTATCTAATGCAGAATCTGCTAAGAATTTATTAAAGCAAATTTAAGGAATGCATTAAGAGTTGTATAGAAAAGCCCCGGCAATAAAGAGTTTCAAATTAAATGTAGACTTTTCTGGATTTTGGCAAAGGGATCGATCACCTTTAAGCTTTTCAGTTTTTTTCTTTTAATTTTAATTTGCTTTTATTAATTATCTTTCGGTGAAACCATTGCATGATCTCAGGAATTTACAAAGTCACAAAAAGCAGGAGCAGAAAGTCGTTTAGAATTGCTAGCCAAAAGTGTAGTTAATCCTCATCCTCATCGTCATCGTCGTCATCCTCTTCGCTGGACTGGTCCAGCCATTGGACCAGCTTGGCCAGGCTCTGGCGCAGCTGAGCATGCTCCTGGTCGTCCAACTGCTCGTACCAGGCCTGGATGGCATCCTCGGACACAAAGTCCTTGTCGTACAGGTAGTGGACAATCTGCGAGATTTTCTCCCTGACCAGCGGGTTCTCCTCGTAAACGTCCTGAATGGAAAAAGAACAAAGAGTTACCAGAGAGAATAGAAAGAGAAGGAGATAGACAGCACCTCCAGTGCCTTGAGGCAGTCCAGCATGGCATCCTCGCTCTTGATATAATTGGAGACTACCGGTCCCAGCTGCTTGAAGGCGGCATTTATGGCCACCAAAACATTGCTGTTCGCCGGCTCCACAATGCTTTGCATGCCAAAGACGGCCTTTACCACATTGAAGTTGACCTCCTTGAGGGACATGTTGTAGGCATAACGCGACGAGTTGATCTCCAGGATAAGAAAGTCGGGATTGGACTTTTCCCGGTAGCCGCGGGTCAAGGAATCAATCACCTCGCCCAGGAAGACTAAAAAGGATCAGGGATGGTAAGTGTGAGAGAGGGAGAAGGAGAATGAAGTCTCACTGTTGGTGTCATCGGGCAGCGGCGTCACCGCCCGCGAGGCATCGTCGTCGTCTTCGCTGTGGTCGCTGCAGTAGCTCATTTCGTCCAGCGGCGCCAGCAGGTCACCCATTTTGGGTATGCTTAGAGCCTGCTGTGGCAGGAAGTCGTCCCCATCAGAGTCCTCGGGATCCCCGGTGGTCAGATCGCTGATGATGAAGGCATGAGGACCCAGAGACTGCAGTTCCACTGGAAAAAAAGAAGAGCAATTACTAACAAGAATGGAATGGGTTTCCCTCCCACCTGGCGCCTCCTGCTGCTCCTGGTCATCGGTAAGCTGTGTGGTGGGCGTGCTGGTGATCAGAGTCTTGGCCAGCTTCGTCTTTGCCGGCAGAACACTCTTGGCGCCAAGCACACAACCGGCGCTCACATCGCAGTCCTCGTTGACAATGGCACCCTCACCCAGGACGCAGTGCTCCAGCCGGCAATTGTCCTTGACGGTGACATTGGCCATCAGGAAGACATTGGTCAGCCGACAGTTCTTGCCGATGCGGCAGTTGAGCCCAATGACGCTGTCGCTGATCACCGAGCCGCTGTCCACGTGGCTGCCCGCCTGAATCACCACATTCTCATGCAGCGCCACCTTGGACACGTGCGCCTCGTGGCTCTTGTAGATGTTGTCCTTGTGGAAGACATACTGCTGCTGCAGTCTGTAGACGCCCATGTCGGGTACCAGTGGATAGGCCCAACGGTTGATGATGTCCCGGCTGACCAGCTGATACGCCGGCCAGCTGTTCACCTTGTGTGCATACTGGGCCGCCGGCAGGAGGGCCACATAGATCCTACTGTCCAGCAGCTCCTCGTTGATCAGCAGGCCGCGCACAAAGTCGTCGCGGGTCTGGAAGTCAAAGTTATCGCTGAACAGCGATAACATGGACGGCGATCCGATGGCTATCTGTGGATCGAGCAGATTGTGATGGAGCGCCACGCAGGAGTTGCCCAGGAAGATGTCTAAAGGGATTTGGTAGCGAGACTCCTTCTGGTGCACCTTCAAACGCTGATGGTAGTGCAACCGATCGTTGCGACGATCGACGGCAATGAGCAGCTCGTTGCCTGTGCGCACATTATTGGAGCACTCCTTGAACACCAGCGTGGCGGCCGTGCCCTTGTCGAACTTGGCCTGCCGCTTGTGCTGCTCCAGCACCGGCCGCAGGTCGGCATTTGTTACCGTGTCCGCGCCCAGCAGTATGAAGTTTCCCCGAATCAGAGCCTTGGCATCCAAATCTCGCATGGCATCGCCAAAGCAGCGACATCCCTCGCCGCCAATCACATGCACCGTCATCTTGAAGGACCACGAGGCGTACGTGGCAATGCCCGCCCTGGCAGAGGCACAACAAAATCACCATTAAGAGCACAATTGCATCATCTCCACCACTCACTTGATATGATCCCGGACATCCTGCAGGTAGAGGCTGGCGTACACAAAGACCTCCTCCACGCCGCTGCGGTTGAGGGCGATGAGCGCATAGTCCAGCATGCTCACATTCACCAGCGGCAGCAGAGCCTGGTCAGAGGAAGGGGGATCAATTAGAGAGACTCGTGGCCGCCGGCCATGAATGGCATACGCACCGTGGAGCCCTCGTCGGAGAGCGGCTTGAAGTTCCACACATTGTTGTCGGCAATCAGGACCGCCTGCACGATTTCCTTCTCGAACTGGGCCATTTTTTGGGATCGGGACGCTTTCGATTCGCCCCGCGATTAATGTTGTTAAGGAAACAGCTGATTGTCGTTGTCGTTAATATTAAATGAAACAATCGATTTACGATTTATCGATTCACTCTCTATTGAGAAAGGTAGGAAACCGGGCTAAGAAATATAACACTTGAAAAAGGTTTAGAAACTTAGCTAAAAGGTTGTACAAAAATACCAAAAACTACCCCTGGCTTGTTAGCTCTCTCTCTCTCTCTTTCTGTCACTCTCTCGCATTGCAAAAACAACCACCACGTGGCCGTGGCGCGCTGTCGCTGTCTCTCTTAACTCCCCAAACGCCAAGCCCCCCACCCCAAAGCCAACCTTTTCCATTCCCAACCCCACCTCCCCCTCTCTTCAAAGGAAAGCATCAAGTTGGCGGCAGTTTGAGAAGAAACGCTGAACACATCAGATTACCGCATTAAGTGCAGGTGTGTGTGTGTGTGGTTAGTGTTTGTGTAATTATGAGACGGAGAAACGACCTGTGGAGACCAAACGCAAAAGCCCCCGTATAAAAAAAACATGGTCACCAAATAAAAAACTGATAAAGCCACCGAAAAGTTGAACCTTCCTCCCGACAAATCTAAATCCCGGCCATAACCGAGCTCGAAAATAACAAAAATAACTGCGTAAACAAGTTGGTGCCTGCAGCAAATGAAAATAAAAAAAACTAAAAATATGTGAAAAAAGAAATAAAGAAAAAGACTCAAGTCGGATGCAGCCGCCAACATCGTTAATGAAGTCGAGTAAAACAGGTTTGGATAAACATTTTGATTTTGATTTTGTTTTGGTTTTTCGTTCGCGCTCCAAGCTGCCAGGGAAAGCGGGGGCGGGGGCATTGAGCCAGGGTACAAAGTTCACAAAGCACAAAACCCACAAGAAACAGTGCGAATTGTTGTGTTTGCGATTTACTTAAGCTTTGCACGCTCTCCACAGTCGAGGTCATTTAAATAGGTCAATGGGTTAAGGCAAAATTATATAATATATATATTTTTTATAATATTATTATTGATCAAATAAATCTCAATAAATTTAGAAAATAAGTTATCACAGTCGAGTTCATAGAAATAGGTCAATGGGCCAAGGGAAAATTATTTAATATATTATATTATGAATATTATTTAAATAAATCTTAAAATTTTTTTAAATATTGAAAAGTAAGTAAAGTAAAGAAATAAAATCTGGGAATCTTTTTCAGATCTTAAGTTATTGTTGAGTATAAAATAATTTACCCATTCAATAGCAGAAGTAGTAATACTAGTATTACCTATTACCTAAAGGTTCAAAGTATACACGCCTTGACAGACAACGCGTAATTACCATACTGAACACGAAAGTAGTTAACTTTGTCACATTACTATAATTATGGCCCCCACTGTACGTGTGTGTTTTAGATTTTTAGATATTCAATACATGTGCACATTGCACTGCGAATTGCATTGCCTTCTTATCCAACTGTTGAATAACAACAAGTATAAGGCATTTAGATACCGCCAAGTATAGTATATACATATATACATACATATGTATTTACCGTATATGTACATACATACATATATATAAGTCGATGCAATTGCAACGGTGGAAAGAGGAGAGAGGGAGAGCGTACATGCAAATTAAGCCTGCGAGTGAAGGAAATAGAACTATGGGAATGTGGGAGGAGAGAGCGAGAGGGCCCGGGCCCTGCCGTTTAATGGCCTTGAGTTCTGCTTACGTTGCTCTCCAGTACTTTGTTGTTTTTGTAGCTTTTCCGTTACGAATGCTTTTGTTGCTGTTGTGGCGGAACACAGTGTCAATTTCAAACGCAGAATTTCTCCCCAGCGAACGCAACTTGCGGCTCAAAGTGTTTGGTTTCGACTTCGAACACGTCTGGCACACGAGGTGAATGCACCCGGCCTATGGAGAAAAAATAAAAATAAAAAAATAAAAAAAACAGAAAGGATGACAAGACCCGTTTTTACGGGGAATTATGCTTGAAATGCATTCGCAGGTCTATTTTTTTACACATAATTTTTACGATTTGCCCTAGAATACCACAGGGTTTAACAGAAACCTTATAATGTTCACGCAAATGTATCTCAAAGATTGCATTACTCAAAGGTGAAATTAAAATAAAGGTACATAAACCATTTGTAATACTAAAAACATGTTTTTTGAGCTCAGCTAAGAATAGAAGATGCTACTATCTTTATTTATTTTATTATTATTACTATTAACTTATTAAATTCTGAAGATAAAGGATACATTAAAGATGCATATGTAAGGTTAAATAAATAAATTAGAATACAAATTATTTGAATTTGTATATTTTTAGTAGTTAAAAATTATATTATATTATATTTATACCCTTTTTTAAATGTAGGAAATTTTCATTATATATTATATATTATTATTATAAATATATATTTTATATTATATATATTTATACCTCTTTTATATCTAAATTTCCATTAATATTAATTATTAAATAATAATACATAAATGCATGTAGATTGACACTGAAATTTTTCCACTACGAAGATCAGGTATCAGTTCCAAATTCTCGGTAGACGTACAGGTGTTCGGAACGGAATCATTGGCCAGTCTTGAGTCAGTGGTCAAAGTCCCGTTAGCTGTTGAAAAATCTGAGCGATAAGCGAGGCTATGGCCTGCAAGTCATGCGTAGACATCAAGAAGCCGTTGCACAGCCATAATGATAAGGTCACAAGTTCCAAATAGGTGGGTTGTCTGGGAGGTACTGCAGGTTTTAGTGCTTTACAGCCACTGGATTGGATTATTACCGCAATCTTGGACTCGAAATAATTGCTAACAATGCCTAATAAATGGGTTTAAATGCTAACTCTTATCGGGCACTAAAATTGTAAAATAGAATGTTTGTATTTAGTATCCTTCGAAATAGTGTTATATTAAGTGTTATTATATTTTATTATTATATATTATTTAAGAGGCACAGTTTTCCCGCCAATCCAGAGATCACACAAGGTTGCATCGTTCTCTCTTTTCACTTTCGCAGATCACAGTTGCAGTTGCAGTTTGAGAGAGAGAGATAAAACGTTTGAGAGAGAGATATAAAGATACAGATATTTGAGGACACCCACTAAGAGCGGGAAAAAGTGCACCAAGTGCAGCAGGAAAATCCAATACAGCAGCAGCTGAAATTGTACTTGTACACATAGAGAAAGGAATTTAAGCAAAAGGGTAAGTTTTTAATATATAAATATTTTTTTTTTTTTTATCGCATCACAAGCCATCTTAGAATAAATATGATATAGATAGAGATACATTTTAACCTAAACTCTTGGATTTTTCTCACTGCAGGCAACCAGATACAGATACAGATACGCCAACGCGATCAAGCGGCGTTGTGTTGGTGACCGGCTGAGGGAGCGAGCGAGTGAATGAGTGAGTAAGTGACTGAGCGAGTGAGTATCCGCGGCAGGCGGCATTTACTTGGCACCGAGCCGCACGATCGCGACAGTCGCGTCTCAGCACTCGACAGCAGCAGCAGCAGTAGCAACGCAGCAGCAACAGCTCCAGTCCGGACTCCAACAGCTCCTCCGCCACCGCTACAGCCCAACTCTCATCAGCCAGCATGAATCCAGCTTCTCAACTGCTGCGTCTGCGCAGCGCCACCGCACTGGGCATGCGTGTGCCCCGCTCAAGCCGCTCCATCACGACCAATCGCCGGGAGCGGACCACAGCCAGTGCCCAGCGGGAGCGAACGCAGGGCGTCAGCGAGACGGACAAGTTCCTACACTTTAGTCCCGAGGATGGCTACTACAAGACCTCACCCTTTGACCCCGTCGTTGTGCCGAATGTGCCGCTGCACGAGTACGTCTGGCGCGACTTTAAGAAGTGGGAGAGCCGTACAGCCGCGGTGAGTAGTACTTGTATACTTTGAATAAAAAAAGAGTACCTGAAAGAACCAGAAAGAACCTTTTTAAAGGTGCCAAAATACTATAGCAAAAGGAATCTGATAGACAGCACGGAAAAGTGTCAAGTGAAGTGTCTTTTTCGAGTGATTATTATTTCCTCTCCTCTTTTTTTTATGTGTGTATCTGAGATACTATATCCCGGTGATCTTTAAAGGCAAATCATTGAAATAATATTAAAAAACGGAGATCATAGAAATATTCAAAATAATATTTAATAGAAAATAGTGAAAAAGTATTGCTTAACAAAAATGGATAATTGAAAAGTGTGTCTTCCAAAGTCTGCTGAGTCTCTTTCTTTGTAAAGATTTGACTGAACAAGAGCCTCTTCCGTTTAAAGTGGTTTATATATCCAAGACTTAAATCCTACCTAGATTTACTGCCTTCCATGGTAATCGATCATCCGGATTCACACATTAGAAATGAATTTACCTTTTTAATGATATTTACCGCTCATCAGAAAGGCCGTAAAGTCGAGCCCCATTAGAGTCCTCCCCCCCGAAACGTAGTAGAATCATAAATTTTTGGGCTATCGAAATCGTTGTCGTAGGCGCCCGGAGAATTTTTGGTTTGTTTATGCCGGTTTATTGAACCTGAGAACCTACACGTCTATATATAAAGTAGTATTTATACGTACAAATGTTCGCAGTCTGATTTGCGTCTGCCAGAGTTTTTGTTTTTCGCTCGTTTTTGTTTTCATTTGTATTTATTTTTGCAATTCTGCAGCTTTTATTGTATCCTACGGAGCTCTCCCCATGTTGGGTTCAGTATCGGTATCAGTATCAGTCCCGATAGCCTGGGGAGGGGTATGTGGGTCACATAAAAGGCCCCTGGCTGGGCTCGCTCTTATCAGACACCGCTAATGACGGACGTACTTGATAAGAGACCCCGGGTCTAGTCTTGGCCGCGATAAGAGCGAAAGTGAATGTATCAACTGTAGTGAACACCCATTAAATGGGCGGGGTTCCTCCTTCTCTGCCCCCACACAAGCACTGCAAAACGGATCCGTTCCGGTCCGACTTTCTTGATGAGAACATCGCAATCTATTGCGAATCCCGTTCCGGTGTTCCAGCTCATTGGGAGGAAATTGATCATGGGGTCTGGTTTGCAGATAAGCAAAGCGATTAAAGCCGCGGTTTAGCGGATCAAACTAGCAATACCCATTATGGTCTAAGTAAGCATATAAATCTGTAAATATTATTTTGGGTTCATTTTCGATTAATTTTTAGTTCAATTTTGGTTCGTGCGACTTTAGGAAGTGGGAGAACCCTTTTTATGCCATTGGTAGTTCATTTTGGGGTCATTTTTATTCATTCCGAAGCTTGTAAAACAGGGAAGGACTCATTTCCGACCCTATAAATCATATATATTCTTGATCAGCATCGATAGCCGAATTGTTTAAGCGATGTCCGGAGAAAAACAAATTTTTTGAAATTTTTTCAAAATTTGATAAGGGGTGTAACATCATTAAAATTTACAAAAATTGGCCAAAATTTTATTTTTTTTATATTTCAAAGTTAGTATGCAGATTTATTAATATTAAAAAAACTAACACAGAACTGTTGTCCGAATGGAAATTAATACTATTTTGGCCGAGTTATGACATTTTTAAATGATGTTTGAGTTTAGAAAAAATCTTAAATTCTAAGGGAGTTTTCAGACATTAAAAATATATCCCATTAAAGTCTGTGCTCTGTGGATCTGCTTGTAGTAGCCCCCTTATATGCCATACATTGCATTGTCCAGGCGACCTTCGCCAATTGTTTACACTTTTCACTTTTCGCTAGGTTTTCCGTTTGTGTTTGCGTTTGAGCTTCGCGCAAATCAAAGTGCAAATAATTTTCATTGAAATTTATTGCCATCATTTGTGCAGTGTGCGGAGGAGGGTGGCAACACCAGATCGTAACCAGAGCCCCTGGCAATTGTTGAATTAAATGCAATTAAAAGTGCCGAGCAAAGTTCGCTTTTTGTTTCAGCTGTCGCCTATGAGAACCCCTCCTGTAAACACCCCGAGAAGAATCGGAGGAAAACAGTAACGCTCTTCTCAAGTGCCTTTTCATAGATAAGATATGGCTTTCTAGTTGTGTCATCATTACACATTACCTTTTGTATATAACTGATCTACCTTTGTTTTGGCTTTTGATATATTAAGGTTTTGTACATATTTCTTTTGTGGTTTTATTAGTAATCAAAAGGTTATTCATTTTTATTTATTTAAAGAGCGAATGATATTTGCTGAAACTAAAGTTGAGCAACTTGCGTTTAAATATTAACGCTTTCCTAGGGGTTTTTTCTTGGGCTCTTTAAATTTATTTGTACAGATTTTTAGAAAGTTCACAATCAACAGACAGATCGATCTAGGTTCTCAGTTTAAAAATAAAATTCCTCTGGTACTCTCAGTTTGTTTATAACTAGAAAAACGGAACCGGATTGGACGTCTATAAACATCTGTTTGAAATTGCAAACTGCAATCGTAGATGACTTTCCACCTGGCAAACCTAAATTTCTATTAATAAATAAACATACGTGAGCTTTTGGGTCTCTTTACACGGGTGCTTTCTCAATTCCGTGCAAATAACTTACTCTTCTGTAGGTAATACGTGTTTATTAGTTGGGTTTCTGAGTTTCTGCCTAGAATTTCTCCATTTATTTGGCATTCTACAGCTGCACTCATGAGTCATCAGTGCAATCTGTCAGTTGTAATCAATTTCCATTGGCTATTACACAAGCAAACACATGTGGGCAGTTGCTCAAGTGTTTTATAAACCCCAATGAACCCATGAATTCCCCGATATGCCCATATAATGCGCTTTTAATTGCCTCGCCATTATTATTTACGCCTGCTTTTTCGGTTACTCTCTGTTTGTTTTTTTACTTTTTACCTTTTTTTTTTTTGGTTTTGCTTGCTTGCTTGTATTTGCGTGTTGATAATTTTTTGATGGGTTTGTTTTGATTTTTTTTTGGTGATCGACGTCAGCATTGGGTCGAGGTCCAGCCTCCGCCGGCATTTTGGAACGATCTCTCGACTCTCGCAGTCTCTTTTCTGGCAGACAGCGTTGTCAATTTAGCTAAAAAGTTTATGTATTTTATTGCATTTTTTTAGTTGAAAATATGAGAAGATTTTTTGGAATTTTTGTGAGCTGCAATATTATGGGAATTTTAAAAGTTAGAAGCAAAGTTCAAGAACCACAAGGAGGGCCCCTATATTTCTGGTTTTACTTTTAGTCTTAGAATTATCAACTGGTTTAGGTATTTTACACTGAATATTGAAGTTGCTTAGCATCGGTTACTGATAGTTCTTTTCAGAAATAGACTGCTTTTAGTCTTAATAAAATTTTAGAAATATTATCATTATACTTGGGTTTATAAGGGCTTAAAATTATATATAAAAATGGAACTTTGTGATCATTTTCTGTTGGGATTTGGTTTGTGATTAGCTTAATTCGATTGTAAGCCTTTTCCCAGGGGTTCCCTTTCCCTAGACAATTTTCATATATATTTTTTTTGAGTGCTCTCCTAGCTAGACTTTCTCGTGATCGATGGTGGGCACCACCACCACCGGCAAGAGTCAACAAACGCCGCAGAGTGACTAGAGAGGGAGAGAGGCATGCCGAGGCGACTCGTTTAGACTCTGCAGACTTTGTACTTTGCCCCACTGAACTTTGGACCGTCGCACCGAGGCGAGCGGCAAGCCAAGCCAAACTGAAACTGAATCGAGCGGAGCGGAGCGCCCGGCAAATTGCACGAAATGATTCTCTTATTTTTGTTTATTATTATTCTTTCTTTTTTTTTAGCCGCTTATTTATTCATTATGATGTGGTGTGCGCTTGTGTGTCTTCTTGTTTTTTCTTCAATTTAAAACATGGCAATTCGGTCGCTGTCGGCGGTCCGGTTCGGTCCGGTCCTTCTATTTATAATGATTATTTTTAACCGAATGCGATTTCTGACTGCGCAAATATTTGGCAAGAACACACCCTCCAAATCGCGAATGCGACACCTCATTCACTCACTTAATTCGACGATAGCAAAAAGTCTTTTCATAAGCGGCGGCCTTCACCTTAGCCCTGAATGGGGGTTTTGGGGGGGTCAGCAAACATAAGGCAAGGCCGGCAAGCAATCAACTTCAAGGGAAATCTATTTAGGAAATTTGTTAATACAAAAGAAAAATACTGGTTACCCTTTAGGGATATTAATTTGGTGCAAATGGCTTTACTCTTGTTGATCCTCATATATTAAACACCAAACGACCTCCTTTCAATTTAGGATAACTTTGTGAATTTTGCTATGATAGATGTAAAACTTGGTTACAATATTCTTAAGATATTACAATTAAATACCTAAACCCCCATACCTAATTAAATATAATTCAATCAGTTTATAAACCATATCAAATTGTTAGAACTGACCTTGGGCAATGACCACAGAAAGGGACCTCAACTGGGGCCACTGAAACCTGAAGTGATTGGTTACACTCTCCCAGAGATAAAGACCTGATTGAGTCGAGGACAATGCCACTAAAATGAAGTAATTCTTATCGAATGAGTATCAATTAGTGTCTATATATTTCCCGCGGGTAACTGGCCCAATAAGTATGCTGCGAGCATTACTAGCAACCTTTGCAATTTCACAATATTACCACCTGGCTTGAAATTGGAATCTTTCTGGGTCATAAACACGACTCACCCCACTTGATGGAGATTGCCTGCCAGCATTCCTCAGATAAGATTCGAGCACACGCTGGGCTTTTCCCAGGCACTGCTTTCGATTTTGATTTGGTCTTATCTGGAGACTTGCAACTCGATTTAAATATAGTTTTATTGATCGTATATTTTGTATTTTTCAGGTGTGTGTGATCACCGATCGGCAGTATACCTTCGCCCAGATGCGCGATGCCAGTGCCGCCTTTGCCGTGCGCCTGCAGACCCAATTCAAGCTCCACAAGCCCGATGTCCTGGCCATCTGTCTGCCCAATCTGCCGGAGTACCCCATTGCCACGCTGGGTGCCATCGAGGCGGGCCTCACGGTGACCACCGTGAACCCTATCTACACGCCGGGTAAGTCTTATAATACCCATGGGGGCTTTTTTTTAGTTTGTAGTTTAAAAATTTCGATGATAACATACATGAGGTAGTACAGAAGTGCTCGTGGCGATAGTAATTTGGTATACTATTTTTTTTATCAGAGATAAAAACTAAACTATGATAGCAGTAACAGTAATTATACTTTTAAAAGCAACCCCAAGTTGCAGTAGGGTATTTTCTAGGGTTTATCAGGTGGTTAAGGATCAAGGTTAATACGAAGATATCTTCCCTAAACTCTTGAATAATATTAAAACAATACAGCAAGAGATGGGGTGGTTTATAGGGTATTGTAAATTTAGTTAGGTTCCTTTTTTTAAAAATTAAGTAAATTAAAAATGTTTTTTTTTTGTTATGTAAAAATCTGATTTTATAATGTAAAAAAATTTTTTTTCTGGGTGAAGAAATTATTTCCGACCCTATATATCATATATATTTTTGATCAGCATCAAAAGCCCAATCGTTTAAGACATGTCCGGGGGAAAACTAATTTTTAGTCATTTTCTCAAAATTTTATAAGGGGTTAGTTACATCATTAAAATTTTCAAAAATTGACCAAAATTTGAATTTTTTAAAATTTGAAACAAAGTAAGCAGAATTGTTAATTTTATAAAAACTAACACAAAACAGTTTTCCGATTTGAAATTAAGGCCTTTTTGGTCGAGTTATGATTTTTTAATTTTTAATTTGTCTCAAAAAATTTGGATAAATTTGTTATATATTTTGTACATTGTTAAAATACAATTCTACAAATTGTACTTACCCAAAACCATCCCCTAAATTCAACTGTTTTGTAAATTACTCCTTATACTATAATTTAATTATACTTTATGAACAAAAAACCAATTTTTTCGCTAAGCTTTTCAGGCCTTTTGGTTAATTACACTGGCCATAAACTCCGGTACTTCTACTATACACCTGTCCTGACCTATAGACATAGCTAATACCCTTCATAAAAGAGTTGGCCTTCCTAATTGGGCAAATAATAAAAGAACTATTTGCGCGAAGACCGCTGTACGTACGCCTAGGTTTATTGGGGGGGCCTCTCGAGTGCGTCAAAGTCGGTGCCTTATCGGAGGAGGCGCCTCTTAGCATATGTTCTCATGGGTTCCAAAGTCGAAAGATCGTCACCACTGATTTGGCCTCTTTGACTTCGTTTCTTTCCAGACGAGATCGCCCGCCAGCTGACATTCAGCGGGGCCAAGTTCCTGGTGGGCACAGTCGCCGGCTTTCCGACCCTTAGCCAGGCCTGCAAGCTGGCCGGTAAACAGCTGCCCATTGTGGTGGTGAGGACCAGCAAGGAGGATGCCCTGCCCGAGGGCGCCATCGATTTCAGCGAACTGACCAGCACGCAGAATATACGTTACGATGACCTGCAGGCCCCCAAAGACGCCACCGCCAACGATCTGGTCTTTCTGCCCTTCTCCTCGGGCACCACCGGCCTGCCCAAGGGCGTGATGCTGTCGCACAACAACATCACCAGCAACTGTGAGCAGGTGCAGGTTTCGCTGCCTCTGGATCTCACCGGTCCCCAGGAGACCCTGCCCGCCGTCTTGCCCTTCTTCCACATCTACGGCCTCACCGTGGTGATGCTCTCCAAGCTGGGCCAGGGCTGTCGGCTGGCCACCATGCCCTGCTTCAAGCCGGATGACTTTATGCGCTCCCTGGACCAGTACAAGGGCAGCATCCTCAATCTGGTGCCGCCAATTGGTGAGTGGATATCTGGGTTCTTGGAGTTTGGATTTAGAGTAATAATTCCCCTGCATTGCTGCAGCCCTCTTCATGATCAATCACCCCAAGATGACGCAGGAGACGGCGCCCTATCTGAAGATAGTGATGAGCGGAGCAGCCCCCATTGGCCAGCACGATGTGGAGCGTTTCTTGAAGAAGTAAGTGAACATCTATAATCCCTGATTTCTGAGCTTATGCCCTCCGTCTCTCTTATCTCTCTCTGCCTGCAGATTCCCCAAGACGTCCTTTAAGCAGGGCTACGGAATGACCGAATCCTCGCCTGTGGCTCTCCTAACGCCCGATGGCAACACGCGCTACGCTTCCACCGGAGTTTTGCCCGCTTGCACGGAAGCCAAAATCGTGCCCTTGGATGGCAATGATACCAAGGGCGTGGGCCCTAAAATCACTGGAGAGCTGTGCATCCGTGGTCCACAGGTTATGGCCGGTTATTTGAACAATGAGGAGGCCAACCAGGTTACCTTCCATCCGGGCAACTGGTTGCGCAGCGGTGACGTGGCATTCTACGACGAGGATGGCCTCTTCTATATCACCGATCGCATGAAGGAGCTGATCAAGGTGAAGGGATTCCAGGTGCCGCCGGCCGAGCTGGAGGCGGTGCTGCGCGATCATCCCAAGATCCTGGAGGCGGCCGTCTTTAGCATTCCCCACGAACTGAACGGCGAGGCGCCGCGCGCCATTGTGGTGCTACGGCAGGGCCAGGAGGCCACCGCCGAGGAGATTGCCGCCTATGTAGCTGAGCGTGTGGCGCACTACAAGCGACTCGAGGGCGGCGTTATCTTTGTGGACGAGGTGCCCAAGAATCCCACCGGTAAGATCCTGCGCCGCGAGCTCAAGCTCAAGTTCTCCGACTGAGCCTAAGATTAATGCCTCCTTAGGATATATTCCGTGTGATTTCTGTTCGTTTCCCTTTGTTTTTATCTTTTTTTTTTTGTAATTGTTCGTCTCAATTGGCGGCAGGGCAGGAATCTCTGCTCGGAGGCCACAGAAACCCCGTGTATGTATATGATATGACCATCAATGTTGGTCCTGGAAGCGGGGCCGGTTCACACATTGCATTTACCACATTGAAAATATTTAGTTCGTAGGCGTAGAGATAGGTCTCGATTAGTCACTTGATTGGTCCATAGTTGGTAAGCGTAGCTTAGGCAGCAGTTAGCCGTTAGACCGATGTTAGCCATATAATAGACCCCATATACACCCCATGGATACTGGATACCATATCCCCCGACATGCGTATGACCCTCGATTAATACTTAATGATATTTAACAGGTTGACGATATTACCATATAACAATTATATATATTATTTTTTTGTCTAGTACCCTAAGCTATATCTGTTGGTTAATCGTATTGTAAAGCGGCGGTATGTCATGTCTACATATATATATTTACTATACTATTTACATATGTCATGTACGCCACGATGTTTGAGAATAAAGACAAAAAAGGAACTATATACATGTATGTTGTATTATTCTGGGTGGATAGTGAGATGCAATTTTGACCCAACAGCGCACTATAGCTGTCATGTATTTATTTTATAATTACCATAATTATAATAAGAAATAAAACCTTCAAATTTGAATTCGATTGCAATTTTAATCAATTTTAATTTTTTTTAAATATTTCTCTGATTTTTTTCTGAATGTTTTAGAATTTTTCTGAATTTTTTAGCTTTTTTCTTAATTTTTTAGATTTTTTCTGAATTTTTTTAGATTTTTTTAAAATTTAACTGCCAAAATTTGAATTTGAATTTAACGACCAACCGCTATAGTGTGCCCAGGTGCATTTTATTTAAAATTACCGGCAAAATTTGAATTCAAAAGGTTTGAGTCTCCGCTAAATCGCTTGCTCCGAAATGGTTCGAAACTTGGACTTTTTATAACAGTTTTCAGTTGCTTGCTGCTGATTTCTGTTCTCCTGGTACCCCAATTTGGGAAACGGGCAATTTGTATGGGAATGTTCGGAAACTTGGATGGGCTGCTGTAGGGATGTTGTTGTAAGAAGGTTGTTGTTGCCATCAAGCTGTTGTTGTCGGCAACAAATTGGTATAAATGCATAAAATGATATATAACAGTTTATACCAATTATTATTTTTACCCAAAAGTTTTTATAACAGTTTATACAAGTTTTAGTCGCTTGCAGCTGGTTTCTGTTCGCCTGGTACCCCAGTTTGGAAGGCGGCCAAATTGGATGAAAATTGTTGCTCATGTGCATCAGTGATGCTCACTTTCGTCAGTGATGCTCATCTAGCTATATTGCAATATTGGGTGGGATATAAAATAGCGCTTAATGCCAGTGATGCTCAACTAGCTATAATGTAAAATAGCTAGATGAGCATCACTGCCATTAAGCCCGATTTTATTGCCTCCCAATATTGCCATATAGCCAGATGAGCATCACTGATGCAAGTGAGCATCACTGATGCAAGTGAGCATCACTGATGCCAGTGAGCATCACTGATGCAAGTGAGCATCACTGATGCCAGTGAGCATCACTGATGCCAGTGAGCATCACTGATGCCAGTGAGCATCACTGATGCCAGTGAGCATCACTGATGCCAGTGAGCATCACTGATGCCAGTGAGCATCACTGATGCAAGTGAGCATCGCTGATGCAAGTGAGCGACAATTTTCCTTCAATTTGGCCGCTTTCCAAACTGGGGCCGCTTCCCAAACTGGGGCCGCTTCCCAAACCGGGGCCGCTTCCCAAACTGGGGCACCAGGCTAACAGAAATCAGCAGCAAGCAACTGAAAACTGTTATAAACTGTTATAAAAAGCCCAAGTTTCGAACCATTTAGGAGCCGGCGCAAGTAAGCGGAGACTCAAACCATTCGAATCCAAATTTAGTAGTTATTTTACAGCTGCGCCTGGGCACACTGAAACTGATCGTCGTTAAATTCAAATTCAAATTTGGCAGTTAAATTTAAAAAAATCAGAAAAAATCTAAAAAATTCAGAAAAAATCTAAAAAAATTCAGAAAAAATCTAAAAAATCAGAAAACTCTAAAAAATTCAGAAAAAAATCTAAAAAGTTCAGAAAAAACTAATAAATGCAGGAAAATTTCAGAGAAAATTTCAATTATTGGGTGAAAATGGCATCGTACTTTCAACCAGTGATGCGGATCTAGCTATCTTGCACCAAGAAAAAGACTGCATATTCATTTTTTTCTCTATATTTATTTGTTTTCAAGTTCCCAGCTACCTGTTGTTGTTTCTGCTTCCTTCCGCGCCCTTGGTCCTGGAAATCGAACTCCATAGCATACTATAAATCATTACAAGTTTATTTATTTACGACAAAATACACAAAATTTTAGATTTGATTTATTTAGGTTTTAGCTTTTAGTTTTTCTCTTAGTTCCTCTTCGGTTTGTTGTTCTTGCTGCTGCTGCTGTTATGATTCTCTTGCGCACTGCGATTACAATTAAAGTTACGTGCACTTAATATACAATATAAAAAAAAATATATATGTGGTGTGTATGTAGATTTATGTGGATGTGTGTGTGTGTGCTCGCTCGATCGTGGTTTGTTTAATTTATTCGGGTAAGGAATAGTGCTTAAACACAAATTAGTGTGTTAATTACTCTAGCGAAATGAAAAAAAGAAGGAAACTGGAATCAAAGACGCGACAAAAATTGCTTTAACTAAATTCCAGTTAAATGTTAAATATAAATAACAAAATTGATTTCATTCTTCCTTCTTCTTTTTTTTTGTGTGTTTTTTTTTACATTTTTTCATTGGCTTTTTGCTATGAACTAAACAGTGTAAGAGTAAAGTACAACAAATTGTTAAATGCATACATATATTCGTGGTATATCAAAAATAAAAGTGACAAAAATATATATTATAAAGCGAGACAGATTCATATATATATGTTTATATATGTACGGTTACATAGGACCTCGCCGAGTCAAATAACAAACAAATGTTTATAAAGTCATAACTTTGAATTGATTTCTCTCCTCTTTTTTTTTTTTTTTTTTTTTTTTTTTGCAGAAAACTGAATCCAGGAATCTGCATGTGTGTGTGTATAGTGTGCGTGGGTGTGTGTGTTTTGGGTTTCATTTTTGGAAGAGCGCTAACCTTAGAAGAAACAGTGTTGCAACGTGTCAGGTTCCAGCTATCCCACAAAACTTTTCCTTTACCAATGAATCGATGGGGTTAACTATGAGAAAATTTGGCCTATCTCACATTTTTTTTATAAATTATTTGACAAAAAAAAAAAAAAAAAGAAAAAAAAAACAATATACAAACAGCAAATAAATTTCTGGGACAAATGAAAACAATTTAAAAATAATATATGGCACGATTTGCTGAATGAGAATACATATTGAATTGTACTACAAAATGTTGTGAAACAGCCAAAAAGAAATGACAATATAGCTTTTATTTCAGCTATGCCTTTTATAGGCATCATTAAAACTGAATAATTAATTACTTTGAGGCACCCAACTTGGGATTTGCAAATTAAACTCTCAAAAGCGACTTAAATATTGCACATTTCGTTATCGATTGTTGGTTAAAAAGCCTTAAGGGGATAGCCTATCGGTGCTTCCTGTCTCGTTTTCTCCTTCTCTCTCTTCCTTTTTCTTTGGCTCCTAATTTGCAAATGGATTTGGCTTTAGTTTTGTGACAGAGGCAGTAGTTGTAGTTTGGACAGTTGAAAATTCCAGAAAAAAGCCAAAGAGAGAGAGAGAAAGAGGGGGATAACGAGTTGAAACAACACTGTTGTTGAAAAACTCCTCTTTTCTGTTGATGTACAAGGTATATATGTATATATAGTATATAGTTTATAATAGTTTGGTAAATAAATAGCTAACACTCTCTGCTTAAATGGTTTCGCTTTAAAGTTATACAAATTTCACGTTGATTACTTTCTTCTTATCGGTTATCGGTTGCTATTTGTTATCGGTTTCGTTTTCGAGAGAAAAAGGCCACAAAATGTATAAACTTTAGCTGAGATTAACGTTGGTATTTCGCGTGTGTCCAAGTTTTGCTTTATGTTTTTTTTTTAGCTTTGTTTGTTTTTTGATTGTTACGCGGGCAAAACATTAAACACACACACACACACACACAGCAGCACACACGCGTGTGTGTATATGCATGCATATACATATACAATATATATATATAAATATATAATATCGGAGTACATTTTGCTACGTTCGATTGCAATTCAAACATCGATTTGTCGATCTTTTCTATAGTTTCGATTATCGATCTTTGCTGCTGCTGCTGTCTCGCTCTAACAAATGCCTGCTCCCACTCCCCCTCTCTCTCTCTCTCTCTCTCTCTTCTTGCCTCCTCCTCCTGCTCTCAAACTGTGTATTTCCTGTTTCCGGTTTAGAATTCCTTTGCGCTGCGTTACGTTGTCATTGCCATGTGCTGGATATCATCCCACTCCATTAGATTTCACGCCTTGGCGCCAGGAATCTTGGAGAGCACCTTGGACAGATCCACTCCGGTCAGAGCGTTGATCGATGGCGGCAGCTGGGCCACCAGGCGGGTCACATCGTTGGTCACATTATCGTTGCCGCCAATCAGGACAATCTCCTCCGTCTTGGCCAGCGGGGCAGCCACCTCGGCGGCAATCTTTTGTGGTTAAGAATGGATTGGTTTGTTTTCTCCTGGATTATGTATAATAAAACCCTAACTTACCTTGGGCAGCGATTCGAGGACTATGTTCATGATGGCTGCATCGCCGTACTGCTTGTACACATGCGCCTTCATCCGCATCCTTTCGGCCTCCGCCTTGCCCACCAGCTCGATAGCATGGGCCTCCGCGGAGCCAATCTTACGGATGCGCTCTGCCTCGGCACGGGCACTCTCGATGGTCTGGCATCTAAGGAAAGAAAAGAAATTCTGGCTTAGAAGGTTTATAAATTTCGAAGAGGAGCTTGGGATACTCACTGCTTGGCCTGGGCCAGGGTCTGCAAGCGGAAGGCCTCCGCCTCGGCGGGCAGCTTAACGGTGCCAGTGAGCTCCTTGTCCTTTCGCTGCACCTCCTGCGACTCAATCTCGATCTGCTTGCGCCGCTCCACGACCTCGATTTGGATCTCCTCGTTACGTATCCGCTGACGGATCTTGGCCGCCTGCAATTCGTAGGCCAACTGCGACTCGGCCTTGGCCGTGTTGATCTCCTGATCGAAATTGGCCTTCTGCAGCTTGTACATGCGTGTATTATCCTCGATTTTGGTGTCCGTCGAGTATTTAACATCCATGGCGCTCTTCTCGCACTCGGCCTCCCTTATGCCGGCATCCCTGTTGGCCTCGGCCACGCCGGCATCGGCATCGCGCTTGACCACAGCGGTCTGAGCCTTGCCCAGCGAGGCCAAGTACTGGACATCATCATAGACATCCTTGATAGTGAACGAGAGAATCTCGATGCCCATGCGACCCACGTCAGGTGCGGCGACTTCGCGGACCAAGGCCGCGAATTGGTCGCGGTCCTTGTACACCTCTTCGACTGTAAGCGTTCCTGCAAGGACACAAGGGAGATCATTTTATATTATTTTTGGGATTGGAAGGATTAAGAAGGGTTTATAGTTTATTTTTAGATTTTTAAAAATATTTATATATATTTTTGTATAGTATTTTAATAAGTATTTCAAGAGTTAAACAAACCTATTAAAGGATATCAGTGGATTTCTTGTTATGAAAAATAATTCTTTTAATTATTAAAATTAATATTATAACGTAATTTATAATTAATATAATTTAAATAATAGAAGCAGGGTTTAAAGTTATTTTCTATATATTTTTTATAAAGTATTTCAAGGTTTAAATAAAGTTTTTGGCTAAAAAAAGCAACTTGTGGCTTTTCTTGCAATCAAAACTAATTCTTTTAAACATTTAAATTAAAATCTAGCTACGATTTATAGTTTAGTTTATAGTTTATACTTTAATTGAAATAATAAAAACACCCATTATTGCGCAACAAGTAAAACTGGTTTGTAGTTTTATAATTTCCCTTTCAAAACACGTTCTAACCACACGTACTTTTGCGAATTTTTTCGAACTTGATTGTATCAACTATTTGCCAAGTGCACAAAATATGTAAGTATAGAATTTTTGAATGCCGAACGATAAGGGTGGGGATATATATGTATGAATGTACATTTATATCCGTCGCACTAGTAATCGATGTTAAATGACCTTACCGACTGACCACCAGCGAGGTGACGCCCACTATCAGGGCCACCTTGAAGACGCCCAACCAGACATCGGACATGGTGCCGGCCAACTAATGCCACACTCCTCCCAACGGTGGTGGCTACTTATGTGGAACTACCCCGCTATCGGGGATAGCAGGTAAAACATGAAAAAAGATAGCAGCACCTGTCCAGATACTCTATCTATTTTAATTAAATCATTCCGCGCTTGTATTTGACGTCATCTGACGCAGTCTTATCGCGTTAAGTGTTATCACTAAAGGCGTCACTCCATAAAAAATGGGGTTCAAGGGGGTATATTCCGGTTTAGATCGGTCTCTATATATTTTGATCTATATATTGTTATATTAATATACAAATTGATTGAAAACACTGGTTAATATAGCTTGTATTTGCATTTGTATTATTCCCATAGTTTCGCCACGAAGGTCAAGTTCACTTTGTACTTGTTTTTTTTTTGTTATTAAATTAACAATTAAGCTCGACTGTATTCACACGCGATTGAAAACAGCGACCAGACCAGACCCATCGGCGATGCGCCCACAACTGACAGCTTGAGTTGTCCGGGGTACTTGGATTCCGATTCGGAATGGGAATCGGTAGCGGTAGCAAGTGGAAATCGCCTAGAGACCTCGAGCCTCTCGTAAACTATAACAAACCGTGGAGTAGCTACTGCCTCTCGGGTTCGATGAGCCCATAAACCCTCCGCTCGAGTCTCTGTCTCGAGTTATGTTTAATTAAAGGCCCTAGATTGGCCATCAAGGTCGCGATTCGAATAGAACCACAAAAGCTTTAGTAGAGAAAAATCACACTTTACACACTTTGGTTATATTTTTTTCAAGGTAGAATTGCATTCCCGGAAATTGAGTTTCACTTTTTAGGCGAACAACCCAGGGAAAGCTGACTGGCAAGTGAGAGAAAAATACTGGGAAATATGTATGCACTTCCGTCTTGCAAGTAATCGAAAAATACTGGAAAATATGCCTTTCTGGGAAAAACTGGGAAATATGTTTTTTTTTACTTGCAAGTAAATAAAAATACGAGGAAATGTGTATTTCTGGCTTGCAAGTAAATAAAAATACAGGGAAATATGTATTCATTGGAAGTAAATAAATAAAAATACTGGGAAATATGTATTTCTGGCTTGCAAGTGAGTAAAATACTGGGAAATATGTATTACCAGCTTGCAAGTAAGTGAAAAATACTCGAAAATATGTATTTCAAAACAAAGCAAAGCATTCAAAAGGTAAACCATCACTGGCTTGTGGGAGGCTTTCAATCAAATCAACAGATTTCCCTGTGATTTATTGGCCACAAACTTGTTTCTTTACAGCAAAAACACATCCAAGTGGCCACAATTCGATCATATATTGTAATATATAGCCATCGACGGCATTAACCATGCCAAGCACATATTGTATCTCGCACTTATTATTCACAATTATCGAAAAAAGGTGACTATTAAGTATGAATATAGCTTCCTCTGGGGTTAAACAATTTCCAAGGCAATAAACCAAGGCTGGGTTTTAGTGAAGACCAAACAGAAGGGGTCAAGAAAACTGTTTAAGAAATATAATAGTATGGGGAAAAAAGCAAGAAGGAAAATCTTGCTAGACAAATGTACCTTAAAAAGTCAATACCTCAGCCAAAAATGCATTAATTTCAATTCGGTAAGCGATCTCAGTTTTCATGGGATTAATAAATCTGCATATTCCATTTAAGGTTATTGTTTAATTTCTCTGAAAATCAATCAAGTAGGCTGTGATTTCCTGACCATCCCAGTAGGCTCTGGCTCTTTAGCTGTCGGTGAACTCCGACCTAACCCAGTCCCAGTCTCATTTTCCACTCCGACCGAAAAGCACGCACACCTCAAAATAAATAGTCTCTCCACTCTCGAAAAAAATTTATAATTCTTTCGTTCTACCTTTTTTTATGTGTGAAAAGAAAACAATACGAACTCAAAATAAGAACTGGTAATAGTTCCCTCATAGGTAATCGGTTATCGGTTTTTTTTTGTTATCGATCCCTGCTATGATTGCAACGTTGCGGCGCCAACATGGCGGCGGTCGCGACTTCCTGCAGGAGAACAAGCAGCGGGTGTCCAGAATGGAGACCAACGGCCGCTGCCTGGCGGCGGCCAGTGCCCGCCGGGTGCCCCTGTGGCGTCCCGTGGCCTTGCACTACCCGGAAAAGCTGCGACCGCATATTAACTTAGGGGGCCAGCGGCGAACGCGGCACGAGCCGTCCCAGAAAGTTGCCGGCTCCGAACTTCGCAGCGGTCTGGCTCAGCCATACACGGGAGCCGGAGGTAATAAGATAGCTCCTCCCTGTGGCCGCGAGATGAACAGACGCCAGCAGGCGGACCAGCAGGAGCAGGTAAGGCTCCAGGGCGGCTGGGTGGATCCGCGGCGCAAGGAGCGACCGGTAAGGAGATGCTGTCACCCGGAATGCCAGTGCCATCAGTCGGCGGAGGTGAGATTTTAAAATGAAGACTGTGGAAACGAAGGTGATATCTTAATCTTTCTCAAGCAGGTTCCAGTTCCTGTTTCGCCTCCCAGCAGGCAGGGCGAGGGCGACCAGGTTGAACGGTTGTCCCAGTGCCCCTCTAGGATTTCACGTCACTCTATGAGAGAAGAAAGGTCCAAGGCGGGGGAGGATAGTATGGAGTCCGAGGCTCCGTTGAGTGCTAGGAGCCGTGCCTCCACCGTGACCATCAAATCGAAGCGATCTGTCTCCCAGGAGAGCAATCGCTCGAACGTCACTGTCAAGTCCAACATAACGGTAGCCTCCAAGCAGAGCAACGCCTCCAGGCAGAGTAATATCTCCAAGCAGAGCAACGGCTCAAAGCAAAGCAACATCTCCAAGCAGAGCAACGCTTCCAAGCAGAGCAACATCTCCAAACACACCATTACCTCAAAGAGGAGCCAGTTGAGTCAAAAGTCTGGACCCATGGAGGAGATGCCGCCGCCAGAATATCAAGACCGCAAGCACCACCATCATCAGCAGCAGTCAGAGCCCAAGCCACAGGAGCCAGTCCATGGTGATTACGAGGGCTACACTCCCCTCACGGCGGACCAAAAGCAGGCCATGCGGGAGGATGCCCAGTTCAAGTATGGAAAACTAATGGAGGAATACAATCATCTGCCAGTGTCTGCACCCACTCTGCGCGTACGCAGCCGGCGGATAGCCATCGAGAAGCAGCTGGATGAGCTGGACTATGCCATCAATATGTTTGATCAGCCCCATATGGACATGTACTATAGGCGCTGAGTAAGGACACCACTACGAACTCGTTAAAAGTTTCCAAATTCAGTTGTTGCCATACACGCAAACTAAACTACACAACAAAGACAAACTGAAGATTAAGCGACGCCTAAACAAAGATTAAGCGAAGACAAAGATTAATCGCAAACAAATCGAAGATTAAACAAAGGTTAAATTAAGATTGATCGATAACAATCGAAGATTAATCAAAGACACAGTTTATCTTTGGGAAGTTGATGCAAGTAACCCTTATGCAACTAATACTACAAATATCAGTACAAAATGGTAGAGAAAAGAAACCTACACATACAGTATAACACTTCTGGGAATATATATATATATATATATCATATAAAGATACATAATGCGGCTTGGTAGGAAGAGATTCGTTTACTAGTGGTAAAAAATTAATTAAATGCAAAGAGTAAAAAGTATCTATCTGGTATTCGTTTTATTTGGGAATTAGCTTAGTTATATAACAGCTATGTATATAACAGACGGTACATTTTCTACCTTCTCATAGCTTTCTTTTATATTTTATTTTTTCTAAACAGAAATGTATTCCAATTAATCTTGACTACACATAAAAATTTGCCTTGCTTCACCCAAAAGTATGCCAAGCTAAATCTGTAAGTTTGTATCTGTATCTTTAAGGTATTTTTAGGGGGGTTTTCAATTAATTCTCTTTATAACTTCTTCCTAATTTCAACTAAATATTAAACTAATATCAAACAAAGATCGTACTCACCCAATATGGCGCGAAGGTGGCCCTCGAGGGTCTGCAGGATCGTCTGCTTGATCTCCTTGACGCTCTTGCCCAGGAATTGCTCGGATGCAGTGCCTAGGAGCTCGTCGGCCTGATGGTGGAAATAATAAACATTCATCATCTGTTCGTGTGTGTGTGTGTTGTGTGTGTGTGTGTTTGCGTGTGTATGTGTTTGTTTTTGTTTGTTTGCATTGGTGTGCATGTGTGTGGAATGGCATATTGCAGATTCGATTTTGGAGCACGGATAATTCAGATAATTCAGTTGTTTTCATTTTGATTTCGGATTATTTTGATTTTTTTTATGATTGATTGTTGGTTTTTTATTTAATTTTTTTTTTATTTTTCACCCACACACACGCACATGCACACACAGACAGGGCGACAGAGATATATATATATATATATATAGAGTATATATGTATATAGAGATATTGAGCGATACATGGAGTAACGGTAACAGCAGCAACCAGAGCAGTAACGGTAGTAGTAACGGTAGCAGTAACAGTAGATCAGTTTTTGGGTTTTTTTTTTTTTGTATTTTTTCAATTTCAATTTTGGAAATGAATGCATGTGTGCGTGGTTTTTTTGATTTTTGTTTTTGGTTAATTTTATTTGATATTTCGTATACAGTTACAGTTAGTTTTGCGGATTAGTTGTTTTTATGATGACGTTGAACGATCGGTCGCAAGGTTTTTGGTCGATTTTTTTATATATATTTTTTTTGTGGTGGTGAAAAGAAAGTAGAGAAAAAAGAGAGTAGAACACAGAGAGATCAACAAGGTTTCATAATTGATTGCTTTTTAGTATCTTAATATTTTTTTTTTAGTATTATTTTGCAGACTGTACTTTTCTTCTTCTCCTTCTTCTTCCTCAGCTTCTGATGATGATGATTGAATGACTTTTTTGATCAAAAAACATTAAAGACAAAACAAAGAGAAAGAAAGAATAGCTTGGAAAAAGGCCACAAAAAAAGCTTAAGCATGCACTGGGAAAAATACTTTCAAAAAACCAACAAATCATATGTAAAGGAAAATGTAACATGATTTTCGCTAAGTGTATGTGTGGGTGGGTATGTGTGGGTTAAGGTGCTTGTGATGCAATTTTTAATATTATTTTTCTTGTAAAAAATCAAAACCAGGCAAAAACAAAATCCAAGATCGAATGTTAAATTAAATAAATGCAATAATAAACATACCTCGTCGTTATTATAATCGTTATGCTTATACGAAGATGACTGCAAAATCGAATGGGAAACGATTAAGTAATGGAGACAAACATAATTTTGAGGCAGTCAAATAAGTGTTTTGTTATACAAAAAATCGATCATAATTGCGACCAAATAAATCTCGTGACTGTGAAAAGTGCACTATAAATTTGTTCTATATTTTCATTCATTTCGGGTGCTGCATTCACTGATTTTTGTGATCAGACAAGTGGAGTGCCAGGAATGGAGACGAAGAATGGAAGCCATTTCATCTGCCATTCGATAAGAAATGTCGTTTTATTTATTAAAATTGGTTTAAATTGGTTTAAAGTTCAACTAAACCAGTAATGGAATGAATAATCCTTCAAATGATCAGGTGAAAACGGAGAAAAGGTAAACATAATAGTGAATTGTTATAAATAGAAATTAAATATAAACAGAGAAGGATATATATTCAGATAATGAGTTGATTGAATGATTTACATTTGTTGTTAACACGTGAGTAAATATTCTGGAAATCGAATTATAAATAAAACATGAGGGATTCGCTGTCCGGAAGGTTACTATATAGTAGTAGTACGATGTCAAAACTGTTCTGTCCAAACACAATTTCAGCAAATTAAAGAACAAAACCTAATAACCAAAGAGTGCAAAGATCCAATGCTATATAGAAAACTATAAATTTAACTAGAAAAAAGAATAAATCCATCAAATCAAAGGGACAAACAGGCGCGTGTGCTCGATGAGTTCTATTACGTGGTGCTACTATCTATATATATTATTTTTTTCAAGATCTAGGTCTACGTGGGGAGATCGGCGGGTTGGATGATCGCAACTTACTTGGCGGTGTTCAGATTGAGAGCACTTGCTAGGCTAAATAGGCATTCGATGGGGATGGAGGTTGGATTACTTGGGAGTCGGGCGGGGGAGATGTACAAACAAGAGCCAAACATTGGATTAAGAAAAGTTCGATACGGATCGGTTATATATATATATATATCTAGGTGTTCAGTGCTGCCAATTTGTAATTATTATTTTGATAAATACTTAAAATATTAAAATATTATTATGAGTGTAGGCAGCACTGATGAAAAGACGGGGGGTGCAGGCAAGGATACAAACTCTCTACTCTAATATCGGCCAGGAGTATAATACTATATATATCGAGCACTACCAACAAAACTTGCATATATATATATATATATATATTTGTATACGGAACTCAAAAACAAACTCGGGCAAGCTTCAATCACTTTCGCTCAGATTCTCGGGGGTGCAGAAGAGAAAAGGGTTGCCAAGGTCAACCTAAGTCAGGGGCAATATCTATATAGGATATAACGCTGGGGGGTGATCGTACCTTCATGATCTTGCACTGGGCCACTCCGGTCACCGTCAGCGGCACACCCTGGGCGGTCTCCACGTTCTCGCACATGGGGTTTAGGGTCATCACGTTCAAGGACAGCCGTTGGACGTCCGTCACCAGCCACCAGGCCCACGCCCATCCACCCACAATGGTTCGCTTCTTTGTGGAGCCACAGCAGCCACCTGGAAAGATTTGAAATTTAAAGATTAATTTTTAATATTTCTATTTATATTTCTCTCTTAATTTAAGCTTAAGATTATGGTTTAATTAACGTATATTTCCCTTTTTCAATTTAAATTTAAATTGATAAAGCTGTACACCTCTACTCTCTCTCTTTACTTGTACTCTCTTTTTAGCTCGGAATCTCTCTCACTTGTATTCTCTCTCTTAAGCCTTTCTTCTTCTACCATAATAATGCAACGTCATGACGTCACACGCACAGTGACCCACAAAAAGGTGTTGTGGCTGTGTTACTCATTTATTCATATTTTTTTACCTTGATTTTTTTGACACTTGACCAAATAGTAAGAGTGAAAGCATTTCGCCAGCACTCACCATGCGTTGGTGTGTGTACGTGTGTGCAGTCTACGTGCCGGCAAACACGTCACAAAGTCCAAAAGTCAATAATGGAAGTCAAAAATAAAATAACAATGAAAAAAAAAAACAGGAAGCAAAATTGTTCCATTGTCCATTTACAGTGGAAAAACTAACGGAACAGAGACAACTGTCAAAAGGGCTCCACTCTTTGGACTCTCTTTCGGAGCCCCAAAGAGCGGGAATGGAGCGGCACTCTGGCACTTCTTTCTTTCTTTTCTTTCCTTTCCTTTCCTTTCTTCTTCAGCCTTCAGTTGGCCAGCGAAGCTCGCAGCGTGAGGTTGCTCTTTGGAAGCTCCCCCGCCCCACCGTCGAAGTCTCGAGTCGGAAGCACGCACGCATGCGCAAAAAGAGAAGAAAGAAAGTGCCCACAGCAAACAGAGACACACACACACACACGCTCAAGGAATACGATTCAAAACAAACGAAACAAAACGAGGAACCGCGTAGAATTTAATATTTTGTTGTTGTTTTCGCAAGTGTAAGTAAGTGTGCCAGCAAAGTATCATAAAAAAGAAATCAAAGTCTGCCCAAAAAAAAAAAAAAATACGAAAAAGAATACGCACAAAAATTCTCAAGTGGTGACAGACCGGCAAAAAAAAAAAACAGAAGTGGAACCAGAGGCTTTCTCAACGAAAGTGATTCATGGCGCTCCCTCAAATTATTATTATTCTTTTTTTGTTTTATTCTTGTTTGTTTATATTTGTTATATTGTGTCAGGCATTTCTCTTTGCCCAGTGCTAATTGGGGTATTTAGCAGCCTATTTTAAAATTAAAGAACAGCATAAAAAAGGCGTTAAAACTTCTCTTGGTAAACCTTCTTTTTTTTCGTTTGTACCTTGAACTTGATCGGTGTGGCGTAGCTCATTCAACTCTTACAACCTGTTTGCAACAACAACAACAAGTTTGTAATTGCTAAAAACAAAAACAAACAACCAAGAAAACAACAGCATCTAAAACTTACTAGACTTTGATTATGCAAAAGATTGGCAAGAGGAAATGTTTTTCCCACTCTCTTTGGCTCTCTTTCTCTCTTGGCTACTTCTTGTTGAAAAGTTCAATAGAAAAAATAAAAAAAACACCACAAATACAGTGAAACTTCTATAGAAAGAATCAGTTTACCAAAGATTTGACTTTGTTTAAATAAAGTATAATATAATAAATTGTATTGTAAAGTCCAAAGTAATCTAATAATTTTATTAAAAAATCAGAGTGAATTTCACTAACATTCTCAGCTGTTGTTAACCAAGCTTAAATTTAAAATCATATAGCAGACTTGGTACTGAGACGTTTTCTACCAAAATTGGAAATTCTAAAAAAATATAATACATATTTTCGGAGATAAGATCTTTATGTACTTGAGGCAAAGCAGTCTATCTTTTAAGAAATATCTATAATTTCATTAAAATTAACTTTTATATAAAGCTTTACTTTTATGTTTCGTTTGCAGAGGCTTGACCGTGCCCCTGAAACTGGTTGCAAGTGAGTGGAGTACGTGTGAGTGGCGAGTGTGCATCACAATTGTTGCATGCCGTTCGAACGTTCGAGTGAAAAGTTGAACATCGTCGGCTTTTTCTGTATTTTTATTATATTTTTTTTTTTTCGTTTTTGGGTGCCCAATAGAGTTTTATAATAGAGTCTCGGGAAAGATTTCACTTTTATGCGGGAGGCCCCTCAACCCAAGATGCTCGTATTACACCTGGTTTCAGCCAATCGCACACCTTTCCATTTATCATTTTTTAAGAAAACAAAAGGTGCAGCACGTGACGCGAAAGATTTATCAAAAGCAGTTGAAAAGCTGAAAAATGCCTATTAAATTATAACTTAAGTCTAAATTCGATAATGACCAGGTATAATTCAAGTTAATTAATTTTAATGATTGTTTAGAGTGCAACAGTATTTTAATTGTTGTAAAACCAGTAAAAACAGATGCTATATTTAAACGTTATTTAAATTTTCTATATATCATAGTTTATTTTTTTTCTCGATATATTACATATTTGTTATTGGACTTTTCTTCTCGAATTATTTTTATTATATTTAATTCCAAAAATTTGATAATGGAGAGGTATAATTTAAGTTAATTAAATTTAATGATCGTTAGAGTGCAACAGTATTTTAATTGTTGTAAATCCAGTAAAAACCGTTGCTTTATTTAACGATATTTAAATTTTCGATATATTCGATACATCTTTGTTATTGGACTTTTCTTCTCCTCGATAACTTACAAATTAGCGTGGCAGATCACGATTATCCAGATTTGACAGAGTTGAGAAAGGGGACCGGGAATCGGAATTGGAATCGGAATCGGCATAACAAATGCCACGATTATGAAATCGCCGCAACCGATGAGGCGTGATCGAAATATTGAGCATGAAAATCGCACCCTATAACCCGATTACATACGAAATGTGTCCAACATGTCACTCTTTTCAAGTGCCGTGAATGTGTGGACTTATCTTTCGCGGTCTTTACTTTTTACCCCAATATAATTTGTTTCCCTCGAATTTCATGAACCCAAACTTATTTCTTGAAACCTATTTACTTATTGCAGTCACATAGCCCCTGAAATTGGAAGTTGGCCAGTTATCGGGCGACCCATATAGCGCTTTTCCTCCTTCCCTGGTTCCAGAAAAAAATATGAGCTCGGCCATTGTGGGAGCCGCATCCGCCATTGGCGGAGCTGTGACGGCGGCCACCAGCAACAGCTGGTTCATCCCCATGCTAATGGCGGCGGTGGCCTACTTCCAGTACGAGGAGATCATAGACCCGGAATCCAAGCCCAGCGATGTGGGCGGCGACGATATCCTCGATCACTATGACTTTATAGTGATAGGCGCTGGGTCAGCGGGTGCCGTGGTAGCGAATCGACTCACCGAAGTGGAGAACTGGAATGTGCTGCTCCTGGAGGCCGGCGGCGATGAGACGGAACTCACGGATGTCCCCCTAATGGCTGGGTATTTGCAGCTCTCCAAGATCGACTGGCAGTACAAGACAGAGCCATCGGGCACCTCGTGTTTGGGTGAGTTTGAAGGATTATTAAATAATATATAATATAATATATATATTTTCCCCGATTTATTAGCCATGCAAGGAGGTCGCTGCAATTGGCCCCGGGGCAAGGTCCTCGGCGGCAGCTCCGTCCTCAACTATATGCTCTATTTGCGTGGCTCCAAGCACGACTACGACAACTGGGAGGCCATGGGTAATCCCAGCTGGTCCTACCGCGACGCCTTGTATTACTTCAAGAAGTCGGAGGATAATACCAATCAGTATCTGGCCAATACGCCGTATCATGCCACTGGTGGCTATCTCACCGTTGGCGAGGCTCCCTATCACACGCCGCTGGCCGCTAGCTTCGTGGAGGCCGGGGTCGAGATGGGCTACGAGAATCGGGATTTGAATGGTGAAAAAATGACTGGGTTTATGATTGCCCAGGGTACAACACGTCGGGGATCACGCTGCTCCACCTCGAAGGCCTTCCTCAGGCCAGCCAGGTTGCGTCCCAATCTGCACATCTCGATGAACTCGCATGTGACACGGATTATGATTGACCCCGTAACGAAGCTGGCCTTCGGTGTGGAGTTTGTCAAAGATCAAAAGCTCTATCATGTGAGGGCCACCAAGGAGGTGGTCCTGTCCGGCGGTTCGGTGAATAGTCCCCAGCTTTTGATGCTCAGCGGTGTGGGTCCGCGGAAGGAGTTGGCCAAGCATCGGATTCCACTCATCAAGGAGCTGAGTGTGGGTGAGAATCTGCAGGATCACATCGGTCTCGGTGGACTGACCTTCCTGGTTAACCAGCCCGTTTCAATTGTGGAGAATCGGTTCCATACCATGTCCACGGTGCTACAGTATGCTGTCTTCGGGCAGGGACCCTTGACCATACTGGGCGGAGTGGAGGGCCTGGCCTATGTGAATACGAAATATGCGAATAGCTCGCTGGACTGGCCGGACATTGAGTTCCATTTTGTGTCGGGTTCCACCAACTCCGATGGAGGATCGCAGCTGAGGAAGGCCCATGGCCTGACCGAGGCCTTCTACAGGGCTGTCTTTGAGCCGATCAACAATCGGGATGCGTGGAGCATCATACCCATGCTGCTCCGGCCACGCAGCGTGGGGAATATCAAGCTGAGAAGTGGCAATCCCTTTGATTATCCCTACATCTTTCCGAATTATCTGACGGATGACTTTGACATGAAGACCCTCATTGAGGGCGTCAAGATTGCGGTTGCTTTGTCGCGAACGAAGGCGATGCAGCGTTTTGGCTCCCGAATCTCCAGCATCCGCTGGCCGGGCTGTGAGCAGGTGCCCCTGTTCACAGACGCCTTCTGGGAGTGCATGGTGCGACGGTATACGTCGACCATTTACCATCCGGTGGGCACCTGCAAGATGGGTCCCTACTGGGACAAGGACGCCGTGGTGGACGCCAAGCTGAGGGTCTATGGCATCCGGGGACTGCGCGTGATCGATGCCAGCATTATGCCAAAGCTGGTCTCGGCCAACACGAATGCCCCGGTCATAATGATTGCGGAGAAGGGCAGCGATATGATCAAGGAGTTTTGGATCAAGAATACCATTGTCTGAGAGGAGGTAGAAATAGTAGAGTGTTACGAGTGTGGGGCCCGGTTCTCTATGATCTGATTTTTGGGTTGATTAAGGTTTTATCGTGAAGTTATGATTCCCAAATGGTTCTGGCTTCATGATTTTCTTTCAGATGAAATATGAAGAACTAGTTTTTCTTCCTAAAGATTATTTAAAAAAAATATTTAACTCCACGGAGAGTTTAAATTGTAAATCCTCTAAAAACATCAGAAATCAGATCGTGAGAATGGGGTCCCATTTCCAGTGAGTGTTTGAGTATATGTCTGAGTTCCCTAAATGTGTGAATAAGTATCTTTGAATGCCTTGCGTGTTTCTGTGTAAATGGTATAATTTTAAGAAGCCTATAATTTTTCCAAAATTATTTTTTAAAACCCTCCTTGAGCCCCATCTCCCTTTTTTTTTTTTATTATTTTTTAAGCACAACTCTGTGTATTTATTTAAATTATACAATATGTGAACGCAATACAAAGTAAAAAAGGCGAGTTCTTTATGATTTCCAGGGGGGGACTTCGATTTCTCACAATTAAATCTTTATGACACCTGTTGCTGTTGCTTTTGATAAATGGTATCGATAAAAAATCGTTTGATAACCGGCTGGCTTCGATAACTGATTCACGATAGCGATAGCATTGTAAATCAATATAAATATAAAAACATAAAACGTAAAAGCTCTTCTAGCGTCTTAACAAAATATTTATTTCTGCTTTAGTTTAATTTTAAACAAATTATTAAAAAAAAAAATACTTGTTTATATATTTTATATGTTATATTTATCTGATGCCTGTATTAACTTCATGTTCCGACTGACTTTTCATGAATATACATTTGTATATAGTATGTGCTTTTATGACTGGCAAACAGAAAGCAGCGCAAAATATACACAATAATGTACACGCAAAAAAAATTATTATAAATTATAAAAATATTATTAATATATTAAATAATATATATTATACTAACTTTCCACTTTCTGACAATAATTTATCGAAGTTTACGATATTTTTAATAAGATATTTAGCAAGATATTTTTATAGATATATAATAGCTGCACATTTTCTCTCAGTGCAGGAGAAATGTGTTTAATTTCGTTGATACGGTTATCGTTCGTGCGTCGGCAGGCCTTTAATTGTGGCTAAAAGTCGACCTGTTAGCGGTTACCGATCCCATTAGCGCGGCACCAGTTGGAATTCGAAGATGCCACCGTCAACCCTGCGGCTCTTCTGGCTCGGATCCCTCCTGCTCTCTCTGGGCGGGTTGGTATCATCCTCGCAATGGTTCACCGTGGACAGCAGTGGCCTGGGCATTTCGCTGATGGAATCGGTGGCCCTGGCCCTGAATAGCTCCAGTTTGGCGTTGGCCAACAATACCGCTTGGCCGCTGCAGCATGATCCGAGATTTACCGAGGATCTATCTGAGATTGAGACCTACGACTTCATTGTGGTGGGTGCAGGCAGTGCCGGTTCGATTGTGGCCAGCCGGTTGAGCGAGAGCTGCCATGTGAGGGTGCTTCTCCTGGAGGCGGGTGATTTGCCGCCGCTGGAGTCCGAGGCCTTTACCCTGAGCGGTGCTCTCCATCACGACCCGCGGTACATGTATCTGGACGAGGCGGTTCCCAATCCAGAGTGCTGTCAGGCCATGGCAGAGGGTCACGGCTGCTCCTGGTGGCACGGACGCATGATGGGCGGCACGGGAGCCATCAATGGTAACATCTTTGTCCCCGGCAGTCGGAGTAACTTTGAAAACTGGAATGCCACCGGCTGGGAATGGTCCCAGGTCCAGGACACCTATCGTCGCCTACAGGAACGTATGAAGCTCTCCTACCTCGAGGCCAATCCCCTCAGCCTGAAGCTGGCCAATGTGATTTACTCGGGAGCCGCGGAATTGGGTGTGCCAAGGATGAGGCAGCCGCTAATAGCGGGTGCCAGTTTCGGTTACACCCACCACGTTCCCGTGACCCTCAATGGAGGCAGAAGGGCCAGCAGCGGACGCCTTTACTTGGCCCAGGATGGGGTCAACAGGCGACCAAATCTGAAGGTGATTCGAGGAGCGCAAGTGCAGAGGGTACTCCTAAGTCCCGAGGGTAACCAGGCCATCGGAGTCACCTACTCTTTAAACGGGCAAGAGATCTCCGCATCGATCTCCTCTCCCGGAGAGGTAATCCTGAGTGCTGGTACCATCAACTCCGCCAAGCTGCTCCTACTCTCCGGCATTGGACCGCAGGAGGAGCTCAGCAGCTGGAATATAACCGTCAGGCAGGATCTGCCGGTGGGTCATAATCTCCAGGACCATGGGATGCTGCCCCTTTACCTCATTTTTGGTTCGGATTGCTCGGTGAATAGCACCAGAATGCCAACGGAGAATCCCTATGGCCCTGTGTCTGTGGCCAAGTATCTGCTGGAGAGCCAGAAGGGTCCACTTTCCCAGGGCTTCTACATGATGGGCTACATCAACTCCCGGGCACCGCACAGCTCCCTGCATCAACCCGATCTCCATGTGGTGGCCCACACGCTCCTGCCCAAGGGTAGCTCTGGTAGCTTTGGTTACCTCGGCTTTCGGCCGGAATTGATCCAGGCCCAGGTGGACATACTCAAGGAGTATGATCTCCTGCAGATCATGGGCTCATTGCTGCGTCCCGTGTCGCGCGGTCGAGTGCGTTTAGCGGGAATCGAGAATCATTACGCCCAGGCGGAGGAGGATCAGCAGACGCTGCTTCGCTTTGTGCGATATGTCCAGCGGTTGACCCGAACCCGAGCATTCCGCAAGTGCGGGCTGCGGCTCTGGCTGCCACCTGTCCAGGAATGCGATGCTTTGGCCACCGATTCCGATGATTACTGGCTGTGCCACATACGGCACTTTTACGTGGGGGCTTGGCACTCGGTGGGTACTTGTCGCATGGCGGCCAGGAACAGCCTAGGAAAGGAGGAGGTGGAGAAACAGCAGGAAGATGGCGGCGTGGTGGACGAGAGGCTGCGGGTGCATGGTGTCCAGAGACTTCGGGTGGTGGATGCCAGCATAATGCCCGAGTTGCCAGCGGGCAATACCAATGGACCTGCCATGATGATAGGCGAAAGGGGAGCGCAACTGATCCTCGAGGATCGGGGGGAAGGCAACGAAGTAATAACCGATTGCTGAGCCTTTGGTTTTGTTAACAATAACAAATACATATGGTACATATTTATGTAAAAAATGTAATGTATTGTAAATACAAATTTTAAGTTTTTAATGTAAATCACAAATGTAGATATATCAATAAAGCATGGATATTTGAATCGAAAGACGATACATACATTCACTCAGCTCCATAAATTAATAATATTACAGCAATCTATTCGTTTAAATTGTTTGTTTTTCACTTTAAAAAGTTTGTTTACAACAAGCACGTGGAAATATGTGTCAGTGTGATCTTATTGACCTTTTTATTTAAATAAATTTCGTTGCTAACACTGGCTCTTAAATATATGCAGGGGATTCAAGAAAAACCAAAAATTAAATTAATATTAATTGTTTATCTCAAAAAAAAATGTAATTATAAGCAAATATTTAAATTAAATTTAACAAGCAGTTTTATTAACTTTATAAAAATAAATAATAAAAATAACTTAGAACAGCTATTCGAATTAAATTTAATTAATTTTATAAATTTGGATTGTCTTAAAAAAAAATTTAACCTTTTCTGTAAATTTAATAAGTGGTTAAAATTATTGCACTATTTAAATTTAAATATTTTCATTACCAAGAAAAACAAATAAAATTCAAAAAGTTTTTTTCAACGTTATTTAATTTTAAAATTTTTAATTAAATATGATTAATAATAATGTACATTTATGTATTTGATTATAGCCTCTTTTTTGGCTTTTCTTTTGGTATTTTTTCTATTTTATTTTGTTTTTTACAACCTGGCAACACTGGCACTAAGCTTTAAATAAATGTGACCTTACTTCTCTTTTCTGGCATCTCTGCTGATAGCCATTTTGTAAATTTTAATTTCTGCTCTTTGATTTCAATGTAAACATTGAACTTTTCCTGTCAAGTTGTGTTAATTACTGCCTAACAGCCAAAAACCAAGTTCAAAGTCTGCGGGAACTTCTTTCTATCTCATAAAAATCAAAGGCAAGTAAAAAAGAAGAGCATTTTGATTATTTCCTGGAATTATTGGCACTGTTTAAGCAAGTTCACGTGGTCTGATTTGAATTTTTTTTTGCTTTTTCTAGGAAGCATTCTGCAACCACAAAAAACGAGCGCCTGTATGTTATTGCTACACCAAAAACCATAGGCAAAAAAAACAACCCAACTGCCACGAGGTCTAAGCAGGTCCTGAAGAGCAGGGACTCCATTTACACACCTCTCACATTTTAGCCTAAAAAAAAAACAGCGACAGATGGCTCACTACATCTCGCCCAAGAAGGGCAAATCCTTGGCTTCCAAGAAGAACCCAGCCAAGGATTCACTGGGTCTTCCCACGGATTCCATTGCCCCCGGTCAACTCTCCTCCGACTCGAGCAGCCTAGAAATTACCAACGAGTACCGCGCTTCCGGCGAATTAAGTTTCACGAAAGAACGCCTTCTTCTGAACGCCATCAACAGATCCCTAAACACCATTCTCCCTCCACCACCACCGCCGCCAACACTACCCACCACCACCACCGACAACAAGAGCAAGAAGCTTCAAAACAAAAGCCAAAAGACCATGGCTCTGGCAAGCTTCGCTGAAGAGGGTCGAACCAGCAATTTGTGGGACTTTAACGAGTTAGAAGTGGACACTTTGCCGGATCCGGAGATAGCAGCCATGCCGATTGAAAGCCAGGAGAATGAGTTGCTCTCCCAGCTGCTGTATTGCTTCACGGGCATCCGAGTGTCCTTCATTGTGCCCATACCTTCGGATCCCGACGATAGTTTGGCCAAGTACAAAACGGAATTCATGATTCACAAAGGGGTTGACACTTCCCTGGCGGAGCTGATGCGTCAAGCCTTGCCCCTGGCCTCGCACTTTGTTGGCATTCAAAAAATGATGGCCGACATGGAGGGCCAGGGGCAGGTGATTAATGCCTTGAATGCAGCCCTGCTGGATGTTAGTCAGGATTTCTATCACCTGATCAACCAGACGGACGATGAGCTGGCCAGGAATCAATTGACCATGCAGAAGCTGGTCTATTACATGCGGCCAACGATTGTGATGATGCAGGAGATCTGGACCACGCTGTTGGGCCTGAGGAAGGCTGAGCTGCGTGGCGCTGGTGTGCTAACGCATCTGCACGGTCGCATCAAGCGACTGGAGGGAGACTCCGAAATTCAGGCCGTAATTATTGGATTGATGCGCAAGGCAGCCGAGCCGTACATGCGTATGCTGCAGCTGTGGATCCAAAAGGGTGTGATCGTGGACCGCCAGCAGGAGTTCCTGGTGGTGGATTCCGAGGGGGAGCATTGCAGCCAGAAGCTGGATCATGATTCGGATGTTTATTGGGCGAAGCGTTATACTCTCAGGAAGGAGAATACGCCCTCGTTTCTTGAGAAATATTCCGAGAAAATTCTGCGCACTGGCAAGTACCTGAACGTGGTGCGTCAGTGTGGCAAGCGGGTGATGCCCACCCAGCAGATGCATCTGGAATTCGATCCAATCAGCGACCAGAAGCATGTTTCAGTGATAAACGAAGCCTACTACTTTTCGGCCCGCATGCTGATGGACGTCCTGCTGACGGAGAACGATTTGATGGGTCATTTGCAGTCGGTGAAGCGATATTTGCTGCTCAGTCAGGGTGATTTCACCATGCAATTCATGGACGCCTGCGAGGATGAGCTGGCCAAGAATGTGGACTTTGTGGTGCCGCTAACGCTGAAGAATCTACTGGGCATGACCCTGCGCATCTCCTCAGCCCGCGATGATCCCCACATGGATCACCTGCAGTGCGAGCTGTTGCCCTACGATTTGGTCACCCAAATGTCCAAGATAATGGACAAAAAGGAGACCAACTGGATGATGCTGGATGCCTTGGATTTGACTGGACTCGAATGCTTTGCCTTTTCCTACCAGGTCAACTGGCCAGTGTCTTTGGTGCTCAATCACTTGGCCATTTTCAAGTACCAAATGCTCTTCCGTCAGCTGTTCCACTGCAAGCATGTGGAGCGTCAGCTTTGCAAAATATGGAAGGAGAACTCCAATGCCAAGAAGGCTTCTATCAAGGGATCAACACAGCTGTTCCGTTCGGCATTCGCTCTGCGCCAGCGCATGCTGAATGCCATCCAAAATCTCGAATACTACATGATGATCGAAATTATTGAGCCCAACTGGTATATATTCATCAAGAAGATGCAGGCGGTGGAGAACGTTGACAATGTGCTGCAGCTCCACGAGGACTTTATCGATTCGTGCCTCAAGAACTGCATGCTATCGGAGTCTTCCCATCTGAATCGCGCCATATTCGAGATGTGCAAGGTGTGTCTCAAGTTCTGTGAGTTCATTCAGCTGGGGAACTTCCACAAACCAGCTAATAATTTCTCGGATCGGGTGAAAGGATTCGATTCCGAGTTTACCGGGAGTCTGGTTTCGTTTTTGAAGCAGATCCAAGCCATGGCCAAAGAGAACACGGCCGAGCGATTCATGAATCTCGTTTACCGCATCAACTTTAACGGATACTACACGGATTCTATGCAAGGGGTAAGCAAGAAGGATGCATGAAGGATGTCATGGTCTTGCAAGGAGAAGGAGGAGGTGCAGAAAACGTAGGCTACCAAGTATTATGATAATCTAATTTTATAAATGTCACCATCATTCACGCATGTCTCCATTTTCCACAATCTCTAGTCGACTTTGATTCTATTATTTACACTTTAATAAAGCTTAAAGCATGTTTAAAAAATAAATATATTTAAAAATAACAAATAATTATACTAAAAAAATAGATACATAACAAATACATATGTATATAAATATATACAAATATTAATATATTAATAATAATTAATATTTAAAATTAATTAAATTAATCTTTAACTAATTAATATTTTAAATATATTAATACATTTATATTAGATTTTAAATATTAATATTTTATAAATTAATAATTCAATTTAAAATATTAATATTTTATAAATTAATAATTTAATTTTAAATATTAATATTTTATATATTAATATGTTTATATTTAATTTTAAATAATATTTTGTAAATTAATATATTTATATTTAATTTTAAATATTAATATTTTATACATTAATATATTTATATTATATTTAAAATATTCATATTTTTATATTTAATTTTAAATATTAATATTTATATTCATATATTTATTTATTTATGTATGTACATATGTATATTCGCTACGCTTATCATATTTCTTTTTGTTATTGCTTACTTTTTTTTATGTTCTGTTTTGATCAAGCCATTTGTTTATGACTTTGTTTGGGGCTATAACTTTGGCATTAACCAATAAATATAAAATATAAATATAGCCAAATTATATATACAATAACCCACATTTACCCAGTGATTCTATATCTAATCGGGTTTGTTAACTTGCTTAAGGGGGGGCTATATATAAATTAGCTTGCAAATGAACTTATTCCCAATTTACAGATTAAAGATTATAATAGTAAAATATGTATTATATATTATTTATTATATATATTGCTCTCTAAGCTCTATTAACCCAAAATTTTGCAGCTCAGTGTTTTTAAGATTGGGATTGCAGAACTCCCTGTGGTCAATGCACCCTCTGGGTAACCCAGAGAAGCCCCAAGCAGGCGCAGAAAAACCCACAAAAACCCAAAGTCTGTCTAGGTCAGCACAACCTCATTTTGCTGGCTCAGCGATTCCTGAGCAATATGTTCAATCGGTTAAGAGAGCCCGAGGCCAAATCCAAACCCAAACCCACTTCCCATTTCAGTTTCACTTTAACCTTCACGATGAGCGCGATCAACACCTTTGTGGCGATGTGGCGCTTCCTGCTGACCCTCGGCCCCTCGGCCATGGTCATTCTGCTGCTGAACAAGGGCATTCTTGACCAGCGGCCGGACATTGTCGATGAGCCGCATCGCGTTCGTTCGATACACATTGAGGATCTACGTGATGTCTATGACTTTGTGGTCATTGGTGGCGGCTCGGCGGGCTGTGTTTTGGCCTCCCGGCTCTCCGAGAATCCCGAATGGAGTGTCCTGCTGCTAGAGGCTGGCGGGGATGAGCCGCTGCTCATTGATTTGCCACAACTATATCCGGTTTTTCAGCGTAGTCCCTGGGATTGGAAATATTTGACAGAGCCCTCGGATCGCTATTGTTTGGCCATGGAGGATCAGAGATGCTTTTGGCCACGCGGCAAGGTCCTGGGCGGTTGCAGTTCCATCAATGCCATGATGTACATAAGGGGTAATCGAAGGGACTATGACCATTGGTCTGGCCTGGGTAATCCTGGCTGGGAATATGGAAATATCTTGCACTATTTCCGCAAGGCGGAGGACATGCGAGTGCCTGGCTATGAGCACAATCCCTATCATGGCCATGGGGGTCCTATTTCCGTGGAGCGATATAGGTGAGGTTTTTCTTTTTTAAGAGGTTTTGTGATATTTAAATATTTTTTTAGATTTCCCTCCCCCCTGCTGAACATCTTCATGCGAGCCGCTCATCATCTCGGCCTTGTCCATCGCGATGGCGACTTCAATGGCCACTCCCAGACGGGCTTTGCTCCGCCGCATGGCACTCTGCGGGATGGTTTGAGGTGCAGTGCCAACAAGGGTTATCTCCGCCGCAGCTGGCAGCGTCCCAACCTGGACATTGTGCTCAAAGCCTTTGCCGAGCGTTTGATCATCGATCCCCAGTCAAGGCGTGCCCAGGGTGTGATCTTTGAGCATGGTCTTCTCAAGCACCAGGCCTTGGCTAGGAGAGAGGTCATTCTGGCCGCTGGAGCCTTGGCCAGTCCGCAGCTATTGATGGTCAGCGGTGTGGGTCCACGGGAGCAGCTGGAACCACTGGGCATACCTGTAATTCAGCATCTACCCGGTGTTGGTGGCAATCTTCAGGATCACATCTCCACCTCGGGTGCCATTTACACCATCCAAAGTGGCCTCAATCGACCCCTGTCCTTTATTGTACCCGAAATGATGAACGAGGAGGCGGTGGAGGAGTTTCTGGAGCGCAGGGAGAGCTTCTTTTATGCCATGCCCGTCAGCGAGGTGATGGGATTTGTGAGCACAAAGTATCAGGATCCCCGGCTGGACTGGCCTGATGTCCAGCTGTTTATGGGCAGCTATGGTTATGGAGCGGACGGCGGAATGGTCGGTCGCCGTGGAGCAGCCATCACCCTGGAGAACTATGCCGATACCTTTGAGCCGGTGCTGTATCAGGACTCCTTTGTGATTGCCCCGCTGGTGATGCGTCCCCGTTCCAGAGGTTACCTGCAGATCAAGTCGGCGGATGCCAAGGTTCATCCGCTGATTCATGCCAACTACTATGACGATCCCCATGATATGGCCGTAATGGTGGAGGGTCTGAAGATGGCCCACCGGCTCACCCAGACCCCGGTGATGCAGTCCCTCAATGCCACGATGAATATCTACGAGTGGCGCAACTGCCCGGAGGTGGAGTATCTGAGTGATGCCTTTTGGGAGTGCCTGGCCAGGTTCTATTCGCAGACCATCTACCATCCGGTGGGTACTTGCAAAATGGCTCCCGCCTCCGATCCCGCGGGCGTTGTGGATCCCCGGTTGCGGGTTCGCGGCATCCGAAATCTTCGAGTGATAGATGCGAGCATCATGCCCACCATACCCACGGGCAACACGAATGCTCCCACCCTGATGGTGGCGGAGAGAGGAGCGGATATGATCAAGGAGGACTGGCGGCACTACAGGGACGGTGGTTGGGGTTAATTTGGGGTCTTTGTATTATATATATCGAGAGGAAAAGCCCGATCATATATCGACAAAAATATCGAAATCAATGTAGAAAGTTTGATGTGTAGCATTTTTAGGTATCGAAATATATCGCTTTTTGTGTTAAAATATTATTATTATTGATAAAATATACATTTGAATTTTAGAATATCGTAAAAATATCGACTTTAAATATTACCGATTCAAAATATATACAATAAAATATATATATCGTAAAGAGTGACCTATCGAATTTTAGAATATTGGAAAATATTGTTTTTAAACTTTTAAATAAAATCGATGAAATATAATATATCGATAAAACTATCGAGATCAATGATATATTGCATTTTATGTATCGAAATATATCGCTTTTTTGTGTTAAATTAAATTTCGACATAAAAAATATCGATATTTTATGGCATCCCTAATCTAAGGATCCCCTCTCAACTTTCCCACAATAAATGTTTCTTTATAAAGTCACCTTCAATGTCTTATTTCTCACTTAAATCCAGAAAACACTGTTGGAAAATCCTCTTATGTTTAAATAAGTTCTTAAGAACCCTGACAAAAAATAGTTTAAAGTAATTATTAAACAACTCTCGGCAAAGAATACTTAAAGATCACAGAGCGGCAAGGAAATCCCTTTCAAAATGAAAACTGCATGCCTGACTAATAGGGCACCTATGGCATTGCAGGGTGATTAAGTCTCTTTCTATATAGTAAATATATATATATATATCTTGGGCGGGAACCATATATCACTTGTTGCCATTGTTGCCATTCCGCAGGTCGCAGCTAATTTGCTTTGGTAATGATCTTGGCTTTCATTTGACTCTTTGAGCCCGATGCCATGTAGCTGGCTGGCATTGCTATTTTCCCATTTTCATTTTCAATTGAATTCACGTTATTCCATTTATGTTATGTTCTCTTTTTTTATTATTTTTTTTCTTCTTTTTAGTTAGCCGCACAAACCTGATAACATTTCCCAGCGTTTGCTTCGGCGCGTTCTGAACTTTTGCAATTTTTGCCGTCATGTTTTCTTTGTTGTGAATATTTATGAATGTTCGAGCACACTCTGGGGTGTATTTTTGTGAATATGAGTATATGGGTTTTGTGTGAAAATTATATATAAAATATATTATATATTTTTAAAGAGTTTATTATAGTTTGGTTTTGGGAGAAACCAAGATGTTAAACTCATCCATTGATTATTGTTTTTTTATTCTAATTATTCATGAATATCTATTGATTTTTATATCATGGGTTTTCATAATATTTGGCAAATATGTTTCATCTAATTTCAGACCCATTTTTAGAAGAGAGTTTTCCTTCCTCTTAGAAAAATCGGTACATTTTTTTTTATATAAAAAATTTGATTCCCGGGTATCTTATAGTCGGTGGATTTGGTTTTTGGCCAATTCTTCCAGCGTTCTCACTCGTTTTCTGTACGTAATTTATGAGCGGCCACTGAACCGAAATGGCAAATGGCAGCGGTAGCCACTGAGTTTACGAGTTTGACCAGTTTTGGGTGCCTCGAATGAGTAGTGAGTGCGCGCGCCCCAGTGGGCCATGGCTTTGCCGCGGATCGGAAAAGGTTTTTACTGAGACTTTTCATGCAAGTTGCGCTTTGAGATTGCCGTTTAGTTCACGTCCGCCACTGATCGCAAAATGACGCTGCTCCCGGAGCTGCCATCCCCCAGATGGTTACTGATCCTGATGCTGTTTATCCTGGCTTTAGATCACAGCCTGGCACATCCGCAGCAGCAGTTCTTTCTGGCTGAGGATTTGATAACGGGAACGGGCACAGGAAGTGGAACGGGAACGGGAACGGGCACCGGAACAGGAGCTGAGCCCCTGATACCCGTCAATGATCCTTCGGGTAGGTTTTTTATAGGGATTTTTCTCTGAATTCTCTTTAAATCTAATATTTATTTTAATTAATATTAATTTTAAATAATATTAATTTTAATAATATTATTTAAATAATATTAATATAATATATAATTTTAATATATTATTATTATTTTCATTTAAATTTAAACTTGCAGATCTTAGGGCTTTCTTTATAATTTTAAAGTATAATTTTAATTTTTAATAATTAAAAAATAAATATATAATTTTAAATATATTATATTTTCTTGAAATTTATATTACAGATCTTAGTGCTGGCTTGAATTTGGCACCCGTTGGAAATTTAATAGCCGCCGCTGCCATTGCCGTGCCCCCTGCCCCGGTTCAATTTATACGCACGGCCATGAACAGTGGCCTCTGATTATTATAATAACTATATCTTATTTTTAAGCGACTTTTTTTTTTAAAGCACATTTTTAAATTAGTTTGTCAAGTTAATACATTTTTTTGTTTTTTTTTTTGAACTCTTTAGTTGTTGTCTTAAAGTAAGCTTGTTGTGTTTTTGTTTGTTGTTGAGCTTGCTTGCTGGTGCTATAAACATTTTTTTATGATACGAGTTTTATCTGGATATATACATTTTGTGCAATCGCCTGCCTTAAAAGCTGTTTGTTATCTAGATTTATTATCGGAACACTCTAACGTCCATCATTTCTTCTTTGTGGTTTAGTTTAAAAAGAGCTTTTTGAGATGGTTAAAATTCCAAAAAAGGTCTCTCAAAATGAGGAATTTATATACTTAGAAAAATAAACATACATTAAAGTTAGAAATATATACAAAATGTTGAAAGAAAGTTATAATTATATGGTAAAAAGCAAGGTAAAATCTGTGAAGGAAATCGAAATTTTATTTTTTTTGTAAATCTTTAACTTATTTATAAGAGTTTGCCTTTTAATTTGTGTTTTAAGGATTATTGTTTATTCATTAACATATAAAATATAATATATATATATAATAATATATAAAATATATTACATCTATGCAAGTGTGCTGGAAAAACCGTATTTTCCTCTTATTTCGATTGTGAGAGCTCAGAACTTGCTTTGTCACTTTATCAAGAGACGATTCCAATGACGATTGACTTACTCACGATGATGAGAGATGAGCAAAGACGATCAGCATTTTATAGGCACTCTGAAAAATTCTTATTTTGTCTTTCCAAGTAAAATAAAACACTGAAAAATCTAACTAAAGAAGTCATAACGTATCGATATATTGATACTAAATCGATAACAATTAAATATCGAAATAATTAAAAAAAGGTTATCCGATCTTAAATTTTAAAAGTGTTTAAATATAAACAAATAATTTCAATAATATTTTACGCTTTGTTTTCGATAATGTCGATATTTTATAGTTAAAAGCGATATTTTTCGATATTTCAAATTCCCATATCTTATACAATGATTTCTTTTTAATTTTATATTAATTCTTATTGATTTTATATTAAAAATAGATTTATGTAATGCTTGAATAGTTCCCAACATTCTGCACACAAAACAGGTTATTTTTTCCAGTGCTTATCTGACACATTCACGCGTAATACCGGCGCCTAAGTCAACGTCCTCCGCTCACAATGGTGTGAAGTGGGGGGGAGAGGATGCACTGTACCGGCTTATCGGAGCACTGGAGTAATGGAGGCTATAAAAGCGAATCTCCAGCTTGGACCGCCTTTCAGATACAGAAAAGAATACGCGTTGAGATGTCGCTTGCCGGCGACCTACATCCCCAGCCAGATCAGTGTGGACTGCCTGATGGAGGAGCAGAAGGAGCCATAGGCTTGTGGAGCGGCATGGTCAGCCTGTTGGTGCAGTCCCTACTGGCCGCTCAGTGTCAGGTGTCTCCGCCGGGTCTATGGCCTTCGGATTACAAGGGGGATCTTAGTGAACCCTATGATTTTGTGGTGATAGGAGCAGGATCGGCGGGATCTGTGGTAGCCAGTCGGCTTAGCGAGAATCCCAAGTGGCGTGTATTAGTCTTGGAGGCCGGTGGAGATCCCCCAGTGGAGTCGGAGGTGAGTTTACCCAGAGGGACGGGGTTGGTTTGAATGCAAAGAAAAAAGGTATTTCTATACCTTGCTTATCCTATATCCTATTTTCTGTATATTATATATATATATATCTATATATATATATGATAGAGATCAGATATACATAATCTAGGGATTCTATTAACTTTTTTAATAATTTTCTATATATTTTTTGTTCAGCTTCCATCGCTATTCTTTGGCCTACAGCCCTCGGAGTTCGTGTGGAACTACTTCACCGAACCCAGCCCAGAATCCTGTCGCGGAATGAAGGAAGGACGTTGCTATTGGCCGCGTGGCAGAATGTTGGGCGGATCGGCAGCTGCCAATGCCATGCTATATGTCCGGGGCAATCGACGGGACTTTGATGGCTGGGCGGCCATGGGCAATCCGGGATGGAGTTACGACGAGGTCCTGCCCTTCTTCGAGCGATCCGTAACCCCACAGGGCAATGCCACCCATCCCCGAGGCTATGTCTCTTTGAATCCCTTCGAGCGGCATGATGAGGATATACACCGTTTGATCCTAGACGGAGCCCAAGAGCTGGGAGTCCCACATGTCAAAGCTTTTCAAGATGGCAGTGAAACGGGCTATGCCCATGTCCCGGGAACCGTGCGAAATGGCCAAAGGATGAGCACTGGAAAGGCCTATCTGGGTGCAGTGGCCCCGACAAGACCCAATCTTCACATAGTGAAGAATGCCCAAGTCACAAGACTGCATCTGGCTGAGGATGAACATCATCAGCATCAGCGTGTGAGCTCGGTGACCTTTGAGAAAGATGGAAGCCAGCATAGGGTTGAGATCGCCAGGGAAGTTGTGCTCTCCGCAGGAGCCATAGATTCTCCAACCTTGCTCCTGCGCTCTGGAATTGGTCCCAGGCAGCACTTGGAGGAGATGGGCTTGCCCGTGCTGGTGGATCTGCCAGGAGTTGGCCAAAATCTACAGGATCATGTGCTAGTGCCGCTCTTCATGCGCCTGGATGAGGGCCAGGCCAAGGCTGCCACCGAGCAGGAGATTCTGGATGATGTATACAATTATTTGGTGCATCGCAAGGGTCCTCTCAGCACGCCCAGCACAGCTCCCCTGGTGGCCTTTGTCAATACGAATGCGAGCAGTGAGAGCGTGTATCCGGACACGGAGTATCATCATTTGTTTTTCCAGCGCGGTCGCCATGACTCCTTGGGCATCCTCACCCGGGGTCTGTCTTTCCAGGAGCAGTATGTGGAGCGTTTGCAGGATTATCTGAGGGACTCACATCTCCTGTGTGTCTTTGTTCTGCTCTCACATCCCTTGGCCAAGGGTGAGCTGAACTTGCGAAGCCAAGATCCAAGAGAAGCACCCATCCTGACCAGTAACTATCTAACGGAGGAGGAGGATGTGGCCACTCTGTTGCGAGGAATTGGCTATATGGAGGCCTTGGAGCAGACGAAAGCCTTTCGGGAGCATCGCGCTGAGTTGGCCCACATTCCCATCGAGGAGTGTGACCAGGTGGTGGAGAGCTATCGCAGCGAGGAGTACTGGCGCTGCTATGCCAAATACTTCACAGTCACCTGCTATCATCAGTCGGGTACGGTGAAGATGGGTTCCCGTCAGGATCCTGAGGCCTGTGTGAATCCCTTGGACCTGAAGCTACATGGTTTCACCAATCTCCGGGTGGCCGATGCCAGTGTCATGCCGGCGGTGGTCAGTGCCAATACGAATGCGGCCACTGTGATGATTGGGGAACGGGCAGCGGATTTCATAAGGGAGGAATACGATCACCAGGAGAAGGTGCCGCCGTTGGCGCCACTGCACATGCATGCGGATGGATTGTAAGATCTTGGGATTGTACTATATATATATATTCCCATCGATTCCCATTTTCATTCAAAACACAGCATGGTGTATGGATCACATTGCTAGCTGGCAGATTGTCAACAAGTGTTGTTCACACCGAAAACAAATATTGTTAAGAGACTCAAGCTTAATTTCAGCTTCATTTATATCAAATTAAGGGCCATAAATATTTTAAATTTTAGGCTGCTTCCTATTTTCAAAATGTTTTAAAACAGTTCACCTTAAAACACCTAAAACTACCTAAACTTTTCATATAAAAAATTTTATTTCAACCCTAAACAAATCAAAAAATATCAAGAAAATGTACGTACATATATGTGTAACTGTTTATTAGTTATAATTAAAATTAAGTTTTTTTTTTTTGTAAAAATGTCAGAAAACTCTACTCCAAAATTAAAAACAAGAAAGGAAGTTAACTTTGGAAAACTGATGTTTTTATAAATATTTTATTTGCAAGCTTGTGAATAAAATTATAATCTAATTTTTTATATTAAAAAACTTCTTATAGTTAGCTTAATTTTATATAAGAAGAACCCATTTAAAAATGTCATAACTCTGCCAAAAAGGCATTAATTTCCATTCGGACAACTGTTCCGTGTTAGTTTTCGTAAAGTCAATAAATTTGCTTACTTTATTTAAAAATTGTAAAAAATTGAAATTTTTGTAATTTTAAAAAATTAAAAAAAAATGGCCAAAAAATAGTTTTCCTCCGGAGATGGCTAGAACGATTCAGCTGTTGATGCTGATCAAGAATATATATGATTTATAGGGCCGAAAATGACTCCTTCGTTATGTTTTAAGTCTTTTAACGAATGCCAACAGTAGTTTCATATCTTTCAACAGAGCTTATGGTCACACTATTTACATTTTCTATGGTTAATAAACTCTAAGAATTCAAATCTAGCATATCTCTCACTCTCTTTCTCTCTTAAAACGCAGTTTCCATAAAGGTAATAAAAATATTGAGCATATCGCTGCCCAAACTTGACCCACAACCAGCCTAAACACTCACACAACAGGTTTGCCAATACCTGGTCTTATCAGAACCAGAAAAAGAAATCGAAAACGAAAAAAAATAGAGAAGAGAATCATTAATCCTACGAAGCCAAAAATAATCAAAAGCTTCTTTCTAAGCATAAAGATAAGCGAGTGCAAAAGATTCTATATGTTATATTCCCGATTTCCCTATCTCTAGAGACCCTCTAGAACTCAGTTCTGTTGGGTTATCACAAGCCTCGCACCTCGGGCACACCATGGCTAATCTTCGAGTGATAAGGGGAGTGCCACCCGGCGCTGAAGGCGGAAGGTGCCTCTAATTTATGTGAGTATATGGTGGGTATATTCGGTCGAACGCGAACGCCAAATGCAAATGTCTCCGAGCTCGTTTGATTTACGGACGCCGCTGGCATACGAAAAGCTCCACGAGCACGGCCGTACAAATTCCGGACTCATACCGGTCCCGCACACCAGTTGCCGTTCAGCGGAGAGAGCGAGCTAACGTGCGGCGGACCAAAGACTACGGGCTTGACTTAACCCGAGGATAACCAGAAAAATAACTAAAAGAGCACTAGTTAATACTTTTTAGAGGATATAACTGGTGAGTAAGTTGGAAAAATGTAGGAGAATTCGCTGGGAAAATTTCGAAATAAACAGGAAACGAGGCCTAGATTAACCAGGATTTAACAGGAACTTAACCAGGGGAGAAAAGTTTTACTGGTTACGGAGAAAATAGAAAAAAATGTCCTAGTTTTTTGTGTGTCTTTAAAAAAAAACTTGATAGGTTCAAGAGATTTTTCCCCTAATTTATTAAGGTTAATTCTATTCTGATTATTTATTTATCAGAAAAAAATAGAAAAAAAACACAAGGAAATGGTGGTTCTGTGGGAAATAATTTGATAGTTTTCGCAGGATTTTTCCTGATCTTTTAAAGAGTTAAAAGAAAGTTAAGCTGTGGATAAAAGCTGTCGTGATTAAATATAATATTTACTCCGAAAAATTCAAGGAAAATAAATATACTATTTAGGGAATAAGTTATATAGTTTTAGTTTTTTTTTTTTTAATAACTTAATAGCTTCCAGTGGATATTTCCTGATCTATTTATATATCTCTTCTTTTTTTCCAGCTCTTTAAAATGGAGTTTCTGAGCGCCCAGTGCGCCGCCCGTTCAGCGGGTCCGGCCAACACGCTCATGTCCCTGCTCCTGTCCACCCTGATAGCCAAGTTCTGTGACCTGAGTGGCCAGCAGCAGTGGCCCGAGGATCGTGGCGATTGGCTAGACAAGAACGGTGGCTTCCAGGGCGAGGACTATGACTTTATTGTAATTGGTTCAGGCAGTTCTGGTGCCGTAGTGGCTGGCCGTTTGGTCGAGGAGTCCAACTGGAAGGTTCTATTGCTGGAGGCCGGCGGTGATCCGCCCATTGAGACGGAATTCGTGGCCTGGCACATGGCCACCCAGTTCTCCGACTGGGACTGGCAGTATCATTCGGAGCCCAATGGACGCGCCTGCATGGCCATGCTGGGCGAGAGCTGCCACTGGCCGCGAGGCAAGATGCTGGGCGGAACGAATGGCATGAATGCCATGATCTATGCCAGAGGCACTCGGGAGGACTTTGACGACTGGGAGCGCAGGGGTAATCCTGGCTGGGGCTATGACTCGGTGCTGGAGCACTTCCGCAAGGCGGAGGATTTGCGTTCCACGCGGCCGGACTACAAGCCGGGGGATCATGGCGTTGGTGGACCCATGGGCATTAATAACTACGTTTCGGATAATGAGTTTAGAACCACGATACGTGCTGGCATGCAGGAAATGGGCTATGGCAGTGCTCCGGACTTTACCGAGGGATCTTTTGTGGGGCAAATTGATATTCTGGGCACCCAGGATGGCGGACGTCGCATAACCACCGCCCGCTCTCATTTGCGTAAGGATACACCCAATCTGCACATCCTGCGACATGCTCATGTCAAGAAGATCAATTTGGATGGCCAGAACAGAGCCGAGAGCGTGACCTTTGTGCATCGCGGCAGCAAGGAGTATACGGTGCGGGCCAGCAAGGAGATTATCCTGTCTGGAGGAGCCATTGGTTCGCCGCAACTACTGCTGCTCTCAGGTGAGATAAATCTTTCCCTTAAACCATTGGTTTTATGTTCTTTACAAAATTATATTTTATGAGTTTCCCATAATTTCATCTCTATAAAAAAAAAAAAAAAACTGTAGCTAAATTTATTATAATCCCTCATTTAAGTCAAGTTGTTTATAGTTTGGCTTAGCTTCTGTGTGTTTTTTGACTGCATCTAAAGACCTGGGAAACGACTCTGACTCTTGATAAGTGCGATTAGATAGTCGGAATCACCACGAATCCCGATATCAGAGAACCGGACCCGGTGTCGATGCCATGTCAAAGTCACACGCCCAAGGTCAAGCGATCACCGTCCGGATCATAAACATATACATGTATAACGAGATATTAACAACAGCACAAAAAGAGGAATAATAACTTCAACGATAGAGCGTTTTTTTCCACCCGGTACTTTCCCTAGAAGTTAAGGGTCTCCCATATTTTACCAGATGATGAGTTACGAGCTTCGCTTTCAAGTGTAGCAATTGTACATACCTGGAAAGAGAAAGGCAAATTATAACTAATTAGGAGGTTGTTTAATATATATTTCGCTTAAATTTATAATAGAAATCAAAACAAAGTAAATGTAGGCTCAAAAAGAACACGTTTTTCATGCATTTTAATAGAAAAACTATGTGACAGGTTTTTATTTTAGAATGTTTAGCCAGAGACAGGGTTTATAGTGGGAAATTATGTACGGAGTAGAATTCCCAACTGGTTTTAGAACAAGTAAACAAGTAAGAAAGCCTTAATTGTTTTTATTTTAATTTAGGAATAATTTTAATCATTTTTAGAAAGCTTTAATTTTAATTTAATTTAAAAATAATTTAAAACATTTTGAGAAAGTTTTAATTATTAATAATTAATTAAATTATTTTAATTTTAATTTAAAAATAATAATAATCATTTTAAGAAAGCTTTAAAATATTTTTATTTAAATTAATTTAATAATTTTAATAATTTTAAGAAAGCTTTAATTATTTGCAATTTCTTAATCTCCAAAAATCTCTATTTTTCTCTTCCCCAGGCATCGGCCCCGCCGATCACCTCAAGAGCCTGGGCATTCCCGTAAAATTGGACCTGCCCGTGGGCCACAACCTCAAGGATCATGCCAGTCTGCCCGTCATCTTTCAGATTGACAAATCCACAGCCAGAAAACCCACCGAGGAGGAGCTGGTGGATGCCATGTATAACCTGCTCATGGGTCGCTACAGCAAGCTGTTGCATCATGAGGCCACCGCCCTCACCGGCTTCATCAACACCACCTCGATTGAGGGTCCCAATCCGGATATTCAGACCACAAACTTCTTTAGCCTGATGCAGAGTCCCGAGCTGAAGGGCTACGTGGCTGCCACGGGCTTCAATGACCGTGTGGCCAAGAGCATTTTGTCGGCCAATCAGAATACGAATACCTACATCACCTACTTGCTCCACCTCAAACCCTTCTCAGCCGGCAGTCTGACTCTGAAGACGGCCAATTATCTCGATGCCCCCATCTTGGATCCCGGCTATATGACCGATGAACGCGATGTGGATACGTATATCAGGGCTCTCAATATCTACAAGAATCTGCCGAACACGAAGGCCTTTAGCGAACGAGAGACCACGCTCCACAAGTTGGACTTGGAGAAGTGCAACGGCCTGAAGTATCAATCGGATGAGTACTGGCGCTGTTATATCCGTCATATGACCACCACTGTCTACCATCCGGTGGGCACCACTCGCATGGGACCCTCAACCGATCCCACAGCCGTCGTAGATCCACGTCTTCGTGTCCATGGCGCCAAGGGACTGCGTGTGATCGATGCCAGCATTATGCCTGATATTGTGGGAGCCAATACCAATGCCGCCTGCATCATGATTGGCGAGAAGGGAGCGGACATGATCAAGGAGGATCATCTGGGCAAGGTGCAGCACAACGAGCTCTAAGCGAGTTATATTTTACGAGTAGACATTCTGTAGCTTTAAGTTTTCCAGTGTCATAAAGCGCTTCTTTTTTTTAGTTTTTTTTTTCTCTAATAAATATAAAATTTATATAAAAATGTGTCTAAATTTCTGTATTATTTTATTTTGTGAAGAATTTACGGGTTACTTTTTAGTTAAATTTAAAATTTCTTAAAAAACATTACAAAAATACTTCTTAGTTTGTTTTTTCATACATTCTACACTTGGGTTTCCACAAAAAACTACACGATCGCTTTGGCTGTGGTTGGTGTCCAAGCTAAAAACTTTTAACAGTGACTCCTAAACTGTGACTCTTAAAAGATGTAGTTAAATTAATTTTTTAAGCCTGTTTTTAATGCAAAAAAATTCACAAAAGTTAAAACTAAATTAAATTTTTTAACCTCTTTTTTAAAAGGAAGATAAACCAGGCAATGGGTATAAAAATAGTGAATCTAACATAACAAAATACACAAGTAAATGTTGCTAGGAAAAATGTGTGTTGCCCAACATCCATAAATGTTGCAAGGCAATTTGAGGGTCTTAATATTTTTATATTTAACCCTAAATATTACTCAAATTTGTAGATCCAAGTTTATTTTTTTATTATAAACATGTTTACTTTATATTTATATTCAACACCACAGCTCAAGATAGGTCTCCTATGGATACTTTCAACAAAAACCATTTAGTTTTCAGTGAATAATATCTCCTTTTAAGGAAATTGAACAAATTCCACGAAAATCACAAAATATTGGGTGTGATTTTTTCAATGATGCTGATAAATACGTAAAAAAATAAAATATACACAAAATAAACTGCACCATCAGCATGGAGTGGCGATTGTTTGCTATTGAGTCTGGGGCGACACTCGATGCTCGGTCGGCCTGGTTAGCTCGTTTCATTTTTGATTGACAGCTTTCACTTTTCATTTCGCCTTTATATATATATTTTATAAATTTTTTTTTTGGCAAATTGGCGCTCAATTTGTAAAATATTTGCAGACGGCGCGAAGCGTGCCAGTTTTCGGCTTTGTTTGAGCCTTTCGGCGTTCATCTAATGCATACCAAAAAACTAAACGCAATTAATTGTTGGCCAAAAGTGTTTCGGCCACACTCGCAATTATACAATAGAGGTGGGATTTGAGTTTATATTGTGTTTTTTGAAGAGAGAGAAAAGCGCAGTTCATGCCCCAACCCTCTACAATTTAATTATTTGATTTGGTATCTTCGAAAACAATTCAATTAGCCTGAAAAGCTAACTTATCCCAGCTACACACACACATTTTAAAATGGCTGGAAAATGTGCTTTTAATATAATGATTGTTTCGTAAACACACCATTTTCCATTCAATTGCCACGGGTCGCTCGCTAAGGTCTCGTAATCACTCTTCTTTTCTTTTTTTTTTCCTCCTGCACTTGACCAAACCGAACCGCAAAATGGAATCCAATTAAACGAAATCGCTCGCGATACGAGCTCGGATAGTGGTTAATGGGTAAGTGGAATACCTGACACATTCGGTGTGTCGGTGGAAAGTGGAAACATACATAAAAAAAAAAACAGTAGTGGAAGTAGGGGAAAACGGAAATTCCTAAAGTCCGAAAGCAGAAAAAAAGCACAAACAAAATTTGTACAGTTTAGGAGTTTTTAGTGATTAGATGAAAGATGAGAGATGCTCGCGCTGCGGTTTTTTTTTTTTTTTTTTTTTGTGTTGTGTTGGCTACTAAATGTCAGTCTTTTTGGCTACCAGTCAGAGGAGGAAGCCACGCCCCCACAGCCTTCTATGGGTAACCCAAGTGGTAACCTAAATACCCACGAGTATTGAGTGCGAGTAGTGCTTGGATGTCGGGCACGTCGGCCAAATCCGGCATGCTCGACTGCCGTTCAGATACACGAGCCGAGATCCGAGAGATACAAATCGGAGATGGACGTGAGAAGACCAGATCGTGAGTGGGTTTGACACTAACCAGGTGGCCATAATTAATTACTAACTCGCCACTATAAAAAGTGTCGTGCTTTTTGGAAAGTCTCATAAAGAAAAAGAGTTTTACAAAAATCATAGCATACTTCAATATAGCACTAATTAATTTCAAATCTTCAAAAAGCTGAAATATAGCACTAATTAATAGCTAATTTTTAAAAGATTCAGAAATAAAATAAAATAAATAAATACAGAAATCATAGCATACTTTTTGGCGGCAGCGAATCTTTCTTGATCTAGGCAAACAACATTTTGTTTATTAATTATCATAAATTGCTAATCTTCAAAAAGCCTATTTAAATATTTTAATTATAAAAAATAAATTTATAAAAAATAAATAATTCTATTACGAGAAAAATCTATTGTAAATGTTAAATTATTAAATATTAAATTAAAAAAAATAATAATATATTTAAATTATTTAAAGTCAAGTTTTGGATTAGATGAAGAAAAAACCCAAATGTCGTGTCACGCACGCCACCATCATTGGACGAGTTACGAGTACTCGCCGCAATGATGCCATTAGCCCATGGCTTCGTTTCTTGCATTTGTCGTTTAATGAAGTTCATTTTCAGATGGAGCCATGGATGGAGATGCGGATGACGCAGCGCAAAGATAAAGCCGGGCAGGCATTGAAAAAAAAAGAAGACTTTTGGAGGCAGTACGAATATTATTATGTCACCCTTTCTTTGGCGCCTCTTCAATTTGCCCAACTCTTTTTTATTTTGCCCCTTTTTTTGTGGCCTCTTCTATTTTCACTTTTAATTGCCCTCGAGCCAAAACTGTTTGTCGATTGGGCAATTGGGGGGACCCCTCGGAGAAATAATATAGCGTGTGTAAGAGTGAGTTTCGAGAAGTAAAGTACAAAGATCTTGCCGGAAATCGTTTGGCGTGCAGGTTAGTGTAACACTAATTGTAACTGTAGCGGAAATTGTTGATTAAATATGCACAGAAGCCTGGGAACCAACGCCATTATGAGGCATTAGTGCTTATTAGAGGGTTTTTTTTTTATGGGTAAAAGTAATGGGTTTTTTTCTTTCAGTAATATTTTTCAATTATTAAAAATGAAAGGGAATTTAGAGAATTTTTTAAATATATTATAAATATGTATTATATATTTTATTTATTATATTTTATATTTCCTTAATATTTCTTTAAAAAGGTTTCTAGTCAACACAAACCTCTAAAATGCTTGATTACAATTTTTTATCAAGTAGTTGACCCCGTTATATGGCAGAACTATCACACAAATAAAATAAACTTGAATTTGAAGCCCTAAGTGATGGTCTCTCACAGGGTCAGCAATTAAATGAAGCCTTAACCCGAATAAATTAAGCCATCCTTGACTTGTCAACAGCTTGGCTCATAAAAAACCTTAAAGAAAATACGCACAAATTCCCAAGAACGAGTTTTCAAAGTACCCACAAATATTCACAAGACAAATAAACCTTTTAATTAAGAGGAAAATGGAAAAAAGAAACCCAAATTGAATTAATTTTACTAGTATAATTTACGTATTTATACCCTTTATTTTATTTAATTATGATGCATTATAACGTTTCTCTGGGATCTTTAAGTTGAACCACTTGTCAATGGTATAAAATATATATCATTTTAATTGAATTTAATACAATGCAATTCCATTGCATTTTGGCGGAGAATAAATATTTATGCAAACTGAAATTTGGTAACCAAATACAACGTTTTTCTTGTTTAATTTCGTTTTTTTCAGCATCATTATTATATATATATATATTATATATCGTTTAAGGCAGTAGTCACGATCAGTAGTCGGTATCCCACATCTCGGAGTTTGAATCACTTGAAAACGTCTCCAGCGATTGATCATCCCGCCTGCTTTGCTTCGGCAATCCCACATCGATAAGCTATCCATTGGTTAGGGCATGCTTGTAGAAACATTTGTTACCAAAGGGACACTTGCCCTCGCCATTTTTAAAATATTTGCAATCCTTGGTGCCCAAGACATGGCGATAATTATTCAGCAGTTTCTCCTTATCCTCCTTGGTCTCCACCCAAAATACACTCGGACAGACAAAGTCCGAGGAGACGCGGCATTCGGGACAGGCTCGGGTTATTTTATGATCAAATTTTGTCTGACGCCATGTGCGAATGCACTCCAGGCAAAAGATGTGAATGCAATTGGGCAGGATACCAAAGCGCTTCTCGCGACCAGTTTTTTCCATGATCGTATCGAAGCATATGCCGCATGTCTTGTCCTGGGATCTGGCAACGGCAAAGGAGAGCTCCATCGCCTCCTCGTGCTCCTCGAGGCACTCGCGTATGTGCACCTTACGCTGATCCTGATCCGTGGGATGCATGCAATATTGCTGGCACATTTCACACAATTCCATGTGGATACGATACGGGCAATGCTCTTTCCATAGGCATGGAGTTATCCCATACGGACACACTTCGTCCACGGAAGCGGGTTCGATGAGAGTTGGGTATTGTCCTAAAAGTTCGGCCCAGGAAGCGATGGGTTGAAACTCTAACTCTGAAGGTGCCTTCATGTCTATGTCAATGTTCGTTTCCGTTTTCGCCTGGGGTTCCTGGCTGGGCACAAACACTTGTGCATTCACCCAGTTTTGGGGCTGGTCAATGCTGTGACTGCTTCTGCTGGTAGTGCTGGGCCGTGGGCTTTCTGCCGGTACAACCTCGCCAATCTCTGGATGGCCAGCATCACCCAGGTCGTGGGAGAAGCGACAAAGCTCCCCGAAGCGACAAATGCCCCGGATGTAGTACCGGCAAATAGTGTGACTCCGGCCAAGGGTCCTGTCTCTGCTGGCTGGATCGCTGTTTACAAAGGCAATCATTTTGCTATATAAGGTTTGATTTTTCAAACAAAAAGCAGATCTCAAAGCAAATATGTCTGTGAGAAGTTTATTTTTGACTAGGAAAAAGTTAGTGCTAGCACAAACATCGATGCTTATTCGGTGAAATTTTTTTTTTAATAATTTTTGGGTAAAGCCCCAAAATTTTTTAAATTTATAACTCAGCCAAAATATTAAATTAAATTCGGAAAGCGTTTCTGTCTTAGTTTTTATGAGGTTAATTTTATTTTTGTTTTGCTAATTTTTCTAACGATGTAACTCCAAAAATTGTATATGATTTATATAATTGGAAATGCCTCCTTCACTGCTTTACCATCTTTTAACTGAAATTATAATCCCTCTGCAAGGGCATAAGAAATAAAACAAAATCACATTCGCATGGAAAACTCTGGTCGAATCGCTTGATCTTGGACTTGGTCTGACCTTGTCCCATTAGATGGTGATATATCAAACGATCGTCACATTTTCGGACATTATATTGCGTGTGACTTTCGTCATTACATTAACCAAGTTGGTTAGTGGAGAAGTGGATCGATCTCAGGTGCTGTGAAATACAATTGGGAAATGTATCAAGTTTGCCACGATAATTGCCGAAAAAAGACAATAGATACGGGCTAACCTACTTAAGTTACTTAATTAAATGATAATTAAGATTAAAAGTAGGAAAAATCTAAGAGATTCTAGGTTTTTTTTCAGGAGCATTACTCATACGCACGGTTGTAAATTAATTAAAAATTACTCATACGCAGTGTGGTCATATTCTCTTTTTAACTTTCAAAATTCAAATTTAAATATGTAGTATTAAATGCCGAAATTAAATATTTAAAATAATGGCACTAATCTTTCTCAATTTCTATGATATATAGCTTATAGTTTATTAAAATTCCAACAGATTTCCTTGAAAGATAATTCACTCACTCACACCTCCTCCCATTAAAAGTTAATCCTTGACCGGATATTGCCTTGATTATACAACAATGAATGCAAAAGCAACACGGAAATCGGAACCAGAAATTGCATATAACCATATGTATATTAGGGTAAGCATCTCAGAAAACGGTACAATTTTGGCGAATTTAAATTCCATTCAATTCTGCATTCAAGTGATTCGAAAAAAAAACAACTAGTTGCGTTCAAATATCCGCCCGATAACAGGTGTAATGTGGTTTGTCAATTGCCTCTCTGAAAACCGGTTGAACCGTGGAACAATAACCAACAACAAGAAAAAACACAACCCACAAACAACTAAATAAATGCCAGAAATTTCACTTGAATCTCTGGATTTTTTTTTATATTAAACTCTTCGCTGACTTCAATGCCAAACTGGTCAATTGATTGTAATTCTTCTGCCAGCTGTCTTTTGAGGTCAATACAGGTACAGGTACAGGTTAGCTTTTTAAAAGTCAGAATTTAATGTGCACAACTTCAAATACTTTTGAATCATTTAATATGATCAACGGATAATTGTGTTTAATTCTTTTGAATTATAGGGAAATCAATTTATTGACCATTGCCTGTATGTTTTCAGTTTTTCTTCTTATATGGCTTACGTGAGCAATCCCAAATATACAAAAAAAAAAAAAAAAGACTAAAACTCAAAGTGGAACTCAGGCCCAAAACTCAAAATCAAGAGAGCGAAGAGCCAAGTGCTCATAACTGTAAACAGTGGAGCGTAGAGCCTGAAGGTCGTCTGCAAGGAAATACCAGCAAGAAGAAGAGAGCCAAACAAGCAAAGGAAAAGAGTAAATAGCAAGAAGAAGAAGCAGTGAAAAGAAACCGCAAATGTCAGATATACTATGTACATGTAGGGACAGTTAAAGGTAAAATAATAGGGTTTTTTTTACAAGATAAATATGAATATATTGTGCATATATTTTTTTTAACAAAACTTTTAAATAATTCCTTGTTTATTTAAAATTTGTAACTAAATATTTGCTTGATTTATTTCATTTTTAAATATATATTATATTTAAATATTACTTATTTATAATACTATTCATTTATTAGTTATTATTATAAACTCTACTTATTTATGATTAAAAAGTTTTAAAATTAAAGTAATGTTATTACTTTCACCTCTACTGTTTGTATTTTACAGGCATTACACATGTGTTCGAATGAGAGGCACGAGGCTGCACCGTTTCGTAAGGCAGCATCAGTACAGCGTAAGTAACAGTAACAACAACAACAATTGCAACCGCAGCGCATGTGGGCGAGAGTGCGAAAAAGAGAGGCAGAGGGAGAGACAGCTGGATAACGTTTCCCAACCGGCAAACGCAGAGGAGAGAGCAACGGATGAGAAATCAAAGAGTCCAATTTACTAAAGGAGTCATGTTGCTCTTCATTTAGTTATTTTGCCTTATTTTGCGATTTTTTTTTAACGCAAAACCTTGAAAATATTTCCCAAGGAAACAAACAAAAATCCTTTCATAATTTATAACATTATATAAAATAAAAGAAAATAAAAAAAATGTATATGAAATAAAATAAAAAAAATTTAAATAAAATTACAAAAACTACAAAAAAAAAAAAAAATTTTTAAATGTATATAAAAAATTACAAAAAAAAAAAAAATTAAATTAAATTTGAAATTAAAAAATATATAAAATAGAAAATAAATTAAAAAAATATATGAATATAAATAATTTAATAAATAAAATATAATTTAATTATATAATAAAAATTTAATATATAAATATTTTTAATATTAATTATAAAGATAATCTATATAGTAATTTTTTTTAATAAAGCTAACAAAAACTTCTCTAATTTTTCTTTTTATTTTTTAAAAACCTTCAAGGAGAATGCCATAAATAAAAGCCTGTACACTGAGCTGTCTTTTTTTTTTTTTTTTTGAGAGAGTGAGTGCATATTGGCTTGGCTGGCTTAGCAAACAAAACAAAAACAAAAGCAAAGAAAAGGCAGGGGCAACGGTGCGCATGCGCAACTGTTCGGTGGCAGCGATTCTCTGCCGGCGCTACCGCAGCCTCTGCCGGCACAGCTGCAGCGGGAAAGCAGCAGCAACAGCAACGGCGTCGCAGGCGAGTGGCTTTTGCGGCTCGAAAAACTTTGAAAAACAGAAAAGACAGAAACGCAGCGACTGCCAAGCGAGGCGGTTGGCCTAAAACGAAACGGGCTGGCGAGGCGAGCGAGTAGTTACCCGGTTATTCAAATAATTCCGGTATTAACCGATACAAAGTGCGCGTTAAAAATTAACAAAAAAATATATATTAATAATACTACACAAACATTACAATTGATTTATTTTTGTGTTTATTTATTCCGGCCTCCTTTTTGTTTTTTTTTTTTTATTGGCCTAAATGAAAGTGCTGAAAGAAGGCAAGTGAACGTGCCACAGACGGGACACTGCGAGAAAATATAAAAAAGTTTATAGAATTTTTATTTTGGATTTTTAAAGATTATTAAAATAAATTACAACACAAAATACTGTAGTGTGTTATTAATAGTAAATATTAATTTGATTTATAAGTACATATTTTTCAAAAAAAAAAAAATCCTAAAAGTCAGAGAAAAAACAATTATATAAAATATATATTAAATCTAAATTGTTTACCAAAATTAGGTATTTTATTAATTCATAATTTTTTATTAAATTTATTTTTTGAGCAAATTTGTTGACTTTTAAGAACATTTTTTTTTTTTGAATCCTTCAAAAATCAATTGTTTTAATGTTTTTGTAAATTTTTTTCTCAGTGTGCGATTGCAGTGACTGTGAATGCAAAAATCGAATGAAAGTGTTGGATTAACTCGGTTGCAATGCAGTGTGAAGCCTGTAAAGCTTAAAGTGCTACGGAAAATCCCAAACAAATTGTGGAAAAGATATAGAAAAATCTAGAAAAAATCTGGCTTTTTCTTTCCCCCAAATTCCTTCCCAAATCGAAAATATCCTACAATGGTTGTGGTTCCCGCTTTGGGCGCCGCCGCCGTCTCCGTGGGCGGACTTCTGTTCAAGGCGAGCGCCGCTTCTAAGGCGGCGGCCACCGCTGGAGTGGCGGCCATAGGCGCCTCCAAACTCGGACTGGCCATTGCCGGAGCCATTAAATTGGCCACCGCAGTGATTGGCGTTGGGAAGCTTACAATCCTGCCGTTCCTAATCGCCGCTATAGCTTATTACAACTATGACCTCTTCGATCCGGAGAATCGACCCTTCAATGTCCAGCAAGTGGAGCTGGCCTATGACTTTATCATCATTGGCGGCGGCTCAGCGGGCACTGTGCTGGCCTCACGTCTCTCGGAGATTCCGCACTGGAAGGTGCTGCTCCTCGAGGCCGGCGGCCATGAGACTGAGATCTCCGATGTGCCGCTCCTATCGTTATATTTGCACAAAAGCAAAATGGATTGGAAATATAGGTAAGGAAGGAGCTTTTAATTTTGATTGATTAATTTTGTTTTAATTTATTATTTATTTATTAAATATAAAAGAAGATGTAGCAAGGTTTATTTATAATTTTTCTTTTATAATTACTTTTACCTTTTCTGAAGAAAGAACCCTTTAAAAACCGTAACTTTCAAGGTTTTTTTGGAATTTTCTCTTAAATTTTCACAACTTCCTTCCGTTTCAAAGCAGCAAATATATTCCCAAGTGGGTCAAGTCAAGCCTAACCTTAGCAGTGGCCCAGTTTGGGTGGCAACAAACAATTTCCGTTGTCACTTTTGTTTTTGTTTGCTCGCCCCTTTTGACTTAGTCACCCAAATCGAAAAAAGCCAAACTTTGACTTCAAGCCCAATATGACTAGACGGTTTTCCAAAACCAAATTCTGGCATGCAAATCCGCCCAGAGCCCATCCATCGATGAGTTGCGTCCATCATTAGCATTCCGAATGGGCCAAAAAGACAGCTCAGCTCGACTTGTTGGCTGGTGTGAGTTCGGTTTGGTTCAGGCAAGTCAAAAGGCCGGGTTTTAGCTCGTTTAGTTAGCAACTGCCTGCCGAATTTCAGACTATATTTGCCCGCCGTCTTCACACGCAAACAGCACTCCCCGAAACAGAAAGGGAAACCAAACTGAGTAATCTGGCTGACATTTCACATGGCAGGAAATATAATGCGACATAATGTCTGTGCAAACTGAAAGATACGGGGGGGAGATAGATGATGCATTGGCGTCAATATTGAGTAGTTGCGAATTATGTTTACTGGGCATTAATGTGTGCCTAAAGAAGGCATTTACTCATGTTACTAGGTAAATGTTTGCTTATGTATTATAATTCCTAATTAATTAATAGCTAATTAATTTTTACAAAAATATTTTATTAATTAAAAAATAAGCTATGGTTGCTTTTAAATTGGTAGTTAAACTTGTTTTATAATTGTTTCATTTTTAAATTCAAAAAATTCCAACCAATTTACATTTCATGGCTTTTGTTGCACTTTAATTGTTCCCAAAAAGCTCTTAATTGTTATTTACCTTTCTTTTCTTAAACATCTATTTTATATTTGTTTCATTTTAATATTCAAAAATGCTAACCAATCTATATTTCATCTTTGTTTCATTTTGAAGGAAATAATATGCCTTTTGTTCCACTTTTATTGTTCCCAAAAAGGTCTTAATTGTTATTTACTTTAATTTACAGTCAAAACAAGTTAAAAGAACTATTGTTATATGATAATTTTTCCATATAAGACTGCACTCTTTTGGCTTCTGTTTAAAGTTCCCATTTCTCAAATCTTTCACTTTCCCCCAAAAGACTTTCTTCCCCTGTTTCAACCTCTCTATTCCCCCCAGAACGTTCCAATTCGATAAAGATAAAGTTAAAGACAAATGCAAACGATTAACCATTTAACAACCAGTATCTTCTCGATGGATAATCTTCCTCTTATTGTTGTGAGTCGCTTTCGAGCGGCAATTAAGTGCTTTGGGTTTCAAGCCTCCATTAGACAACAAATGGAAAATGGTTAATGCTTCTATGACTGATTCGAATTAGAACGGGCTACCGTTAGACAGGCCTGCCCTGCGGATAAAGTTTTGATTTTTGTTTTTTCTTTGGGCGGGCCTGGCGTTTCATTAAGATCGTTTTCTATCTCACGGCAGCATTTCATTAATAACAGCTGATGATCACCGGTGGCCGCCGCCACCTGTGGACTCCGAACTGCTTAATTATTCATGAGAGCATTGGCATTTTTTGTGGAATTTTGTTCGAGCGTGTTACCAATACCGTAATCCATTTAACTGTTTAATGTGACAGGGGGATTGGTTTTCGATTTGGTTTTGGGTTGGGTTTTAGGCCTAGCGGCGATCTTTGGCTTTTTGGGGGTTTTCTTTTGGGGTCTTCTTCGCTTTTGGCTGGGAGTTTCACTTTCAGAATTCCACATTCATTAGTATTCCCATTCCGATTCCATTTATATTTCCCTCCATTATTGTTTCTATGCCATTCCATTCCGCTTTTGCGTAAGTGAATGCAATCAACTGCTAAAAGCGCATGCGAAACGAAACAAAAAATGGAACAAAAGAAAAGGAAACACCAAGAAAAAAATATTCTACAAAGTTAATAATGAAATTATATTAAAATAATAATTCATAATATCTATCTGATAATTGTATTATCCCAATAAACATATTTTCTTTAAATTTACAACTACTCAATGGGTCTTAGTTTGGTATTATTTATTTAATTCATTTGAAATAACTTTATTTTTCCCATTTAATAATTAATAAACCTTCTCAATAGTCTTGATAAATACTACAATTTCTTGCCGTGCAACTTAAAGTTCGTGCACTGAGTGTGGCAATATAATCGAGTGTGTTTCTGAATCATTGCATCATTCGCAAAGTCGCGAGAGTCGCGTATCTGTATCTGCATTTCTTGTCCATGTATCCAAGTATCCGTGTATCTGAGTATCCAGTCAGCTGGCTTATGCCAACGAAATACGTTAAAAAAATGAAAAGAGTGAGTGAATTGTCCGGTGCCAGTTGCAAGAGTGTTTGTTTTGGGTGCACTGTGTGTACAAATCGCCACTCGAAAACCGCTTTGCGGAGGCAAATTAAGTCAATAGAAATTGCAGCGGTCTTAAAACTGAATTGAAAAACAACAATATAACAAAAAACCACCTATCACTCTCACGTCAATCACCGGCTTTAATGGTAATCTTGATTGACCGGCGCGAAAAAAAGTTTCACCCTGTCTGAGAAAGTGCCAAAAATCACGTCGTCGTCGTCGCCGTCGTGTCTCCAGGGGTTCAAGGTCGTGGAAAGGCGGTTTTCTTGTTAATTTTAAATGGGAAATGGAATGAAAGCAACATACATTTGAAACTGTTTGGAATAAGGAATTTATTTGATTTTGAAACATAGAAAATGGAACAGGGAACGATGACAAAAAAACAACATTAAACGAATTCTAATTGGAATATTGGCAAGGATCCTTTTTTAAATTTTATTGTATCAAAATCCTTACTCGCTACTCCGTACTCGTTACTTCTCACATGTTAGTCAAACATAACTCAAATAAAGCTTCGATTACAGGATAATTGCTATTAAATTTACGACTTTGCCGACAAGTATTTCATAAGCCTTGCCATAAGCAACTTTTCGCAAAAGCCATTTGAAAAGTATTCAAATTTTTAATGGGCCACACAGTGGGCGCCAGCTATAACCAACAATGGTTCTGCGTGGAGTAAATATTTGTAAGTTGTAACCACTTTTCCTCATTTTTACGTAACTCCCCCAACGGGCCAACAGTTGACCCCTATTATCCGCTGGCTGCATCATTAAATTCCCCGCGACTTTGGGACGAATATTTTTTTTTTGGCATCCCAAAAGGTGAGGGAGACACGCCCCTGACAGATTCGGGTTCGCATTTAAAATGCAAGCTACAGGCGGGCATCAAGCTTAATTGCACTGAGAAAAAGAGTAGAGTTGTAGGGTATTATAAATAAAATAATTAAATTATTTTTTTTTTTATTTTGTATAAACAGTACTTTAATATTTTTTAAAATTAATTGTGCTTCTTTTTCTTTATGTCAATTAAGAAATATATCAAAAAAGTCTCTTGAAATTATTGCTATTAATATAAATTTTAAACTTGTGCCCAATTCTGATTTCCACTGTTTCAAATTCCATTAATTTATGTGTACGTTCTGAGTTATCGGGATATCCTACTTTAATAATAATCTTCCAAGAAAAAACCGGATCGGATCGCGGTGCTCCAAGGCGGAATGGTATCAATGTATAAAGTGGGTTAAGCGGCCTACAGGTTTTATTTTGGAAATGGCACGGAACGGAATGGAGCGGAACGAGTGGAAACGAAACGGCATCGACACTTGGCGATTGCACCTGAATATGACCAAAAAGACCGGCCCCATCCGACGATTGCCAATCATCGGCCAAAGCCAAAAGCAAACGTGAGCCGGTTAAATGGACAGGCTTCGGTGGGTTGGTCGGTCGGTCGGTCGGGCGTCTTACTCGATTCCGTGTGTACCAAGTACCGAGTATCGATACTCCGAATTGTGTCAACTGGGCCATAAACGAGAGAGACACTTGTCCACCATAAAATAACAAAACAAAATCAACTGCATAACAAAAATAATAATAAAAAGAAGGGTTAGCAATAGATGATGAATAAAAAAATGTCGTTATTCATAAATGTTATTTTTACCCAATCGAATGGAAAAATATTATGACACTCCATCCGATTCCACCTAAAATGCTGTTAATCTAATTAACACCAGCGAATTAGTGGGTTCCTCACTAATGATGATGCAAAATGGAAAAGTTTTCTTTACTTAAATATTGGTTAAATAACATTATAAATGTAATGGGAAAGTAGAAAACTATTATCATTATTTACCTAAAAATGATTTGCGAAATAGAACAAAGAAGTGTTCATCTTTTTAAAAAGAAAAGGAATTTGAAACAAAGGAAACGAAACATTGAATGGCTTCGTTCCTAGGGGAAACAATGACAAAGAACAAAAAACATAAAGTGCTTCCCAAGGAGAACGATGGCAAGGATCCTTTTCTACGAATTATAATAATTTTGTCTATAACTTTTCTTTACTTAACTTTTCTGTCAAATCTTTATCAAGGCAAGCAATAATTTTCCCACCCATCATCCCATTTTATTGGTGAATCGGTGCCCGTTTTACAGCTTAATGCGACTGCTAAGTGATTTTATATGGCAATCAACGGCGGTTCCATCCCAATGCGTTTCCCTGCTCTTTTTTTCGTTTTTTGTTTATTTTGTTCCATGGCTTGGGGAACTCCAAAGACCGAGAGGCCTTAACCAACTTTCGGTTAACGAGCATTAAACAATTACGAAAAATAATGCAATCAACTCAAATTTTCGGCATGCATATTCATTTCATAAGCGCGGCAATTATGATTGCTGGCTTAGTGAATGTCCCTAATGCGTGTGTTTCTAGATCCACGAAAACTAAATCGCTTTTGGGATTATCTTTAAATCTTTAAATATTATGTCAGTAATGAGTTTTTCATACAAGGTTGCACAGTTACTTTTGCAGACTTCAAGTTGAAAGGCTTTAACTTTAGTATTTCTTTATTTTAGAAATTATTATGATTTATTTTTTAAGAGGTTATTATTATAATTTTCATTCGAAATTGTAGTTGTACCTGAACCTTAGCCTAGTTATTTCTTTAAAATATTTGTAATAATTTTTATTTGTTCAACTTTGACTTGACTTTAAACTAACATTTAGTTTATTTTGCAAATTTTAATTGCCGTTTTTAAGTCTTCAAAGGAATCTTATTTTAATTGGTTTAGGTCCACGCACTTCCGCATTCTTAGCTTTATTTCCGCCTGTATTTTAATTGTTTAATTGTTAAAAAGGGAAAAGAGATTTACGCGAACAAAAAAAACGTCAAATAAACTAAGCGAAATGAGTTAATAATAATTGGTTACGTTTATGTGAGTTAACTGTTAAATGGCTAATAAAAAGCAAACAAATTGCGTCAGTTGGGCGTCGCACAGAGTCAGATGGAAGTCCAAGTTGAGGCCGAGCCGAAGCTTGGGGCGAAAGTTTTTTCTCTACTTTTTTTTCTTCACCAGTTCAGTTGGTTTTATTTTATTTTTTTTTTTTTTTTTCTGTTCACTAGTTTCCTTTACTATTTTGCTGTCTGGGCCCGCGCACGTAGCCAATAAGTCAGTATGCCAAACAATGTGCCACAGTGGTGGGGTTACGGTGGCGCGAATTGATATTAATGGCTCGTCATTGGTTCAAAGTGTTAAAGCCGTTGAAAATAAATATCTAAATTTAAATATACATATATATACAGCGTGGACGACGCCTATCTGGGCAGCATAAATCATAGAAATGTCGCATGCTAATTACTATTACGATTAACCCGAAAACCCTTGGCCCTAGACATAACCCTAACCCTTGGTTAAACCACGAAATGTCAGAGGTGCCAGGTGAATATCGTTAAAGATAAAATCAAAGGAGAGATGCAAATGCATCCCAAACAAGCGAATGATGGACCATGGGGAGACATCAGAGGGACAGGCCAACCCAACAGCTGCAGTCGTCCCACAGCTGGGGTTTATATACGCTAGCTGAAGGTATATCCATTATTATTTAAGTCCCATAATTTAACTTGATTTAGGAAGTAAATATCGTAGATATTTCGTGGGTAATAAATTCTAGAAGGCACAAAAAGTATTCTAAATTTAGTAGTTTTAAACGGGGATGGCAGAAAATATCGATAAACCATATAGGTTTATCGATATTTAATTGTTGCAATTTGCAGATGTGCCATAAATCGATATTTTGTTTGATATTTGGTAAGAATATTATCGGAAAAAGAGCCAGATTAATTTAAATAAAATTCTTCTGATATTTCTTGATAATATCGAAATTGTATCGATATTTGAAATATCAACACATCAAAGCTTACGATAGTATCGACATGTTATTGAGCGATAATATTAATATTTTAAAATATAATGCATTATTTTCTAATATTTTTCAATTTAAATACAATATCAAAAAAAATTCACGATAATATTGAAATTTTATCGATATTTAAAATTTTAATATTTAAAAGCTTACGATATTTTTGGCATAATATTGAGCAATAATATCAACATTTAAAAGTCAAATACGATATTTTTCAATATTTCAAAATTCGATATATAAAAGTTTACGATATTTTCAATACAACATTGAGCGTTGTTATTATTTAAATAGCTAAACTATATCACACTTTACTCCATTTACAATCCTAGTTTAAAGTTTTCAGTTAGGATATATATAAATATATTATAGAGTATCTCAAGCCAAGGTTTAGTGCTTTTATCTCCCTTGGCTTTGGCACGCTTATCCCCCCGTCACCATGAACCATGTTAGAAAATAGTAAAATCATTGCTGGCCAAGTTTTCCGCAACTGGCATTCGATTTCCGTTTTGTTTTCATCGTACTTTTCTCAGCTGAATGTGGTTAAGTCTCTCCTAGTCTCTGGTCTCTTGATTGTTGCCTGTCACTGGTAATTTGTGTTTTAATTAACGACACAAAAAAAAAGACTTCCTATATGTTTAGCTCACCCAAAAGAAACCGATTTGGTATCGGATTCAGCTCAAAAACTTAACTTGCTGAGATTTGTCAAATCGTTTTGTTTGGCCAATTTGCCGGGTGGTTTTATATTGACTGCACTCACGGAATAATGCTGGGAATTTGAGAGAAGCGAAGGAGAAGATTATTATCTTAACAAAATGCGTAGCTACGGGGGCCTGCGATATATCCGTTAATATTCGTAGAGCTTGAAATTGTTGCCTTAATTGAGTTTACTCTCCGCCTCATGGTTTCCATTTCCCGCCAGCAATTATTAGTTCCAGAGAATTATATTTGGCTGGATTTCCTGCTGGGTTCAGGCACCTTTTCTGGTTGTTATATATATTTTCTTCACTTAAAATGCCACTTGTAGATACACAGATACATAGATACAGATACAAGTATCTCGTGGATGCCGAGGGACAAGCGTTTAAAGGGCACAAGTGCTCTGGGGAGGTCGGTCGTGTGGTTCATTGCCTCATGAATGTTATTTTTATTTTTGTATTTTTTTTTTCCTGAGCTTGGCCTAATGAGCGCTTAACACCAGCGCTGGCTGTGTTGTAATTCACTTGGCCACTGGGCAATTTGGTTTTTTTCGAGGTGTGGGCGTGGCATTTTTTTTGCTCATATTTTTTTTACTAAAGCGCTTTCATTGTCGCTTTGTTTACTTGCCCGCAAAATTAATGGATATCTCTTTTTCAGCCCGTTTTGTGGTGAATTACGAAGTCAAGCCAAGATTCGCTAATTGATTTTTCACAGATTTTCTTTACTTAATAAAAAAACAAAAAAGAAAGTATGTTTATTATTATTTATATAACTATTTTTTAATTTTATTCCCAGAACCCAACCACAGCCAACGGCCTGTCAGGCGATGAAGGACAAGCGCTGCTGCTGGACCAGAGGCAAGGTCCTGGGCGGCAGTTCTGTGCTCAACACAATGCTATATATTCGTGGAAATAAACGAGACTTTGATCAGTGGGCAGAGTTTGGGAATCCAGGATGGTCCTATGAGGAAATCCTGCCTTACTTTCGAAAGTCTGAGGATCAAAGGAATCCGTATTTGGCCAAGAACAAGCGATACCATGGAACAGGTGGGTGAACAAGCAAGTCAAGGAGCATTATAAATCTATATAATATATATATGTATATTATTTCCCTAGGTGGCTTATGGACCGTGCAAGACTCTCCATACAATACACCCATTGGTCCCGCCTTCCTGCAGGCCGGCGAGGAGATGGGCTACGACATTGTCGATGTGAATGGAGAACAGCAAACGGGCTTTGGTTTCTATCAATTCAATATGCGACGCGGTTCCCGCAGCTCAACGGCCAAGTCTTTTTTGCGACCCGCTCGGCTGCGACCCAATCTCCATGTGGCTTTGTTCTCACATGTGACCAAGGTGCTCACGGATCCCAAGACGAAACGTGCCACCGGTGTGCAGTTTATACGGGATGGACGCCTTCAGAATGTTTATGCCACCCGAGAGGTGATCCTCTCTGCGGGAGCCATTGGCTCGCCACATCTGATGATGCTCTCGGGCATTGGACATGGCGAGGAGCTGGCCAGAGTGGGCATACCTCTGGTCCAGCATCTGCCGGGCGTGGGACAGAATCTACAGGATCACATAGCCGTCGGTGGGATAGCCTTCCTTATCGATTATCCCATTTCGATTGTGATGAAACGAATGGTGAATATCAATACGGCTTTGAGGTATGCCATTACGGAGGATGGTCCCCTGACCTCCAGCATTGGTCTGGAAGCGGTGGCTTTCATAAATACCAAATATGCCAATGCCAGTGATGATTGGCCGGATATGAACTTTATGATGACCTCGGCATCGGTAATGTCCGACGGTGGATCACAGGTGAAGACTGCCCACGGATTGACCGATGAGTTCTACCAAGAGGTTTTCGGGGAGGTGAACAACCGTGATGTCTTCGGCATCTTTCCCATGATGCTGCGTCCCAAGAGTCGGGGCTACATTAAGCTGGCCTCAAAGAATCCCCTGAGGTATCCACTGCTATATCACAACTACCTAACGCATCCGGACGATGTGAATGTCCTGAGGGAGGGCGTCAAGGCGGCGGTGGCCATGGGCGAGACGCAGGCAATGAAGAGATTCGGTGCGAGATTCTGGAGCAAACCGCTGCCCAATTGCCGGCATCTCACCTTGTTCACGGATGACTACTGGAACTGCTTTATACGGCAGTACACGATGACCATCTATCATATGAGTGGCACGGCCAAGATGGGCCCACCCACTGACCCCTGGGCAGTTGTGGATCCCCAGTTAAGGGTCTACGGCATCCCGGGTCTGCGGGTGATTGATGCCAGCGTGATGCCAGCAATAACCAATGGCAATATCCATGCCCCGGTGGTAATGATTGGCGAAAAGGGCGCCGATCTTATCAAGCAACTATGGCTGACGCCCACCACTGCCCCACAGGGTGCGGGGGCGTATGGTCAAGGTCAGGGCCTTGGCCTGGGCTTGGACGTGGGTCAAGGTCAGGCCCCGCCGCGAACCCAGTGGCGCAGCAAGCGTTCCCTGAACTCCAGTGAGGCGGCAATATCGCCGGTGCATCAGTGGCCCTTGCCAAGGTCATAGCGGGTTCTTAAATCAAAAGAGGGGGTTGGAACAGGGGGGTTTTTTGGTTAGGTCAAAGGGGTCAACGACAAGGGGTCAATTAGCGGGGGCAGCAGGGGAGTGTAGTGGGACGCGGAATATCTTAGCAAAAACTTTCGCCAAACTACAGTTTTGACTTGGAACATAAAGGGAATGTAGAAAATAGCGATATATATCGATATTGGTTCGATAACTGACGCGAAAGCGATATTTTAATTTGAAAATAAATATATATCGAAGCAATTCCCGATGAACAAATATATTTCACCCTGTTTTCGATAATATTTTAAAATATTTTTAATTTTAATATATCAAAATGTGAAACTTTCAACATGATTTTGGTCCGATATTTTATGTCAATATAACCTATAAATTTTTTTTATCGATTTTCAGTGCTGTGGTATTGAGAAAGACTAAGAAGTTAAAATTAATATTTATTTCAATAATATATATGAAATATCAAGCAAAAATATTATTTTTATTTAAATTATCGATTTCTTAACCCTTAATCCTTGTCAACTGTAAAATGGCTTCTTTAGTAAACAAATTTAATTTATTAAGCTCTTCATTAAGCTTACCCTATTCTTTCTTTCGCGCTGTAGCTTCTAAAAAATATATATATAAAATAAAAAAAAGTACAAAAAAATAGCAAAAATTCCACCCTGATCCCCAATAATTGCCCCTGCTGACACCCCGCCCATGAAATTAGTCAATTAAGCGCTTCATGTAAATATCGAGTCATTTATGCTAATTCATATGTATTTCTTTTTTTTTTAGTTTTGTTTAATGTGTATCTAATCTAAATGTGTATTTTTTTTTTGTTGTTAACTTTTATAGTTTGCTTGACGCCGCGTACACTGGGAGTACCTCAATTAGTTTGTAAGTCGAGGATTGCGAATGTAAATGTTTAATTAGTTTTTTAAAAAATGTAAACGAAACTAAATAAATCGAATAAATAAATAAACAAAAAATATATCTATCACCAAGAGCATTTATTTTTTAAGGAAATAAATAACACTAAACTATGTTGGTAGTACTTTGGTAAGCTTGTTTTCTTCACACCCTTAAATATTTATTAATGCTATAAAAATATACAAATATTTTCTCAAATTAATTTAAAATTTTACCAATTTCAACACGACTTTTTTACACATTTAAAAAAGGTTTAAAACTTGAATAATAAACATAGATGACTTACAGTTTTACGCTTTATAGTTTAAGCCACGCTTACAGCTTACAGTTTGATAGTTCCAAAGGTTGTGAATTCATTACAAAAAAGCTTAAGCCAAGCTTACCTGCAAAGGAAAGAAATTGAGAAAATTAATGTAGGAAATAGTTGGGCTTAACGGGAAAGCTTTAGGTGGCCAAATTTGGACATAAGCCTGGCCAAGAGCCATCTTAGAGCTTAAATAAAGCTTAAAATTAATTTAAAAATAGTTTAAAGGTGAAATTTAAATTTAAAGGTGGTAAAAGGTAGGAAAAATATAGTTATAGGATAAAATTAATAATATATAAGAATTTCTCGTCTAAGAAAAATTCAAGAAATTAATTATAGACAAAAAAAATGGCAATTTAAAAATCTTTATAATCTATCAAATTTATAGATCTATAAAATTTTTAAAATATATCAAATCTTTTAAAATTATAAAATCTAATAAATAATATGGTTAAGTCATAATATTTATGAGAACATCACATTTTCTTCCTATTTGAAGCTATTTAAGGATTTATGTGTTTTTATAACTCTAGACTCCCCTTAATCTCTACAAAACATCTACAATTATTATTATTATTTCTACGAATTAATTAAGGAAGTATTTAGTTTTTTTTTAAGCCAATTGGAAGTTCCTCATTTTCTCGGCGGATGGACTCCAGCGAATCTAACTAATCCGTTGCGGTTTGATGAGCCTCAAATGCTAAGTAATACTAATGCCAATGCTATAATCCCGATAATTTCCCTTTGAGCAAATTAATTTCGCTTTGCCAGTCTCAATTTCAATTGAAACTACGAATTACGATTGCGATTACAATGGCCCAGCAGTTACAGCCTATGATGATGATTGCAATTAAGTACACATTAAACTCGCTTAACGGTGCGTAGACCGAGGGGATAATAAATAATCGCATTGAATAATGCATTTAATTTGTTAACAAAATGCACAACAAATCAAGGCGGCTAATTGCTAATTTTATTTATTTATTTTTTTTGTTTTTTGTTTCTGTTTTCTGAATTTGTAGCCTCGGGTCGCGGAAGACGGCCATAAATCTGAGCCATCTCCAGCGTTAAGTCCGATTCCGATTCCAATTCCAATTCCAGTGCTCTCAAGTGCAACGCATAAATATTTATACTGCAAAAGCAATGACCGTCCACAAAAAAAGCAAGTAAAAAAAAACCAAGAAAAAACCAAGTAAAACCCATGAAAAAAAAAACAAAAAAAAACTAAAAAGAGCGAATTAATTTGCAGACATCTGAATGAAAACGAAAGTTGCCCCCGCTCCCGCTTTGTGAGTGAACTCTTTTTGCATATTGCCTTCTCCCACTGGGGACACTTGGGGAAAACACTAATTAATAAATAGTTAATAAATTAATCAATAAGAAGGAAACTAATTAATTAATAAAGTAATTAATAAATAATAAAGAAACTAACTAATAATTAAGAAAATAATTAATAATTAAGAAATTATTTAATAATTTAGAAATTAATTAATAATTAAGAAATTAATTAATGGTTAAGAGATTAATTAATAATTAAGAAAATAATTAATAATTAAGAAATGAATTAATAATTAAGAAATGAATTAATAATTAAGAAATTAATTAATAATTAAGAAATTAATTAATAATTAAGAAATTAATTAATAATTAAGAAATTAATTAATAATTAGGAAATTAATTAATAATTAAGAAATTAATTAATAATTAAGAAATTAATTAAGGGGGGGTAAGGTTAATTCGGTGCAAAAAAGGCCACTTTTCAAAAAATTATTGTGGCGGAACGGCTTAAGTTAGCTTAATGAATTAAATACCATATAATAACACAACATTTGAATAATTTTTTATAAATTTTGTATTGAAAAATATTTAGAGGTAGAGAAGTTATAGGGAATCTCCCGAGTCGCCTCAAAAAAAAGTTGTTTTGCGGTGTACATCCTAACAGTCCACAGGATCATCCGATCTAAAAAAATTATACCTCATTCGTTAAAGGATAAGTGTCTCGAGGTATTCAGGAAGCGTTTTATTTTTTTTAGTTTTTTTGTGATTTTTTAGGAAATTTGAAAGTCAAAAACCCGATTTTTGACTAAAAAAAAAAACGTTATTTCTTAATTTAAAAATATATAAAAATTAAAAATTAAAAAAAGGCCGACGTGAATACCTGAGGAATTAGTTAAAGAATGTGTGTGCCAAATTTCAAATCGATCGGTCCAGTAGTTTTTCTGTAATCGTGTACACCGATTTGAAAAATTGAATTTTTCAGGAGAGCGCTTTAAAAATTGCGATTCTCATGCATTTAACACCAACCGACCTTCGTTCAACTCCGCATAACTTCGTCAATTTTACTATGATCGATGTAAAACTTGGACACAATATTCTTAAGATATTATGCCTTAAAAAAAAAAAAATAAAAAAAAAAAAAATTAAATACCTTACCCCCCCTTAATAATAAAGAAATTAATCTAACTAATTAATAATTAAGAAATTAATTATTTATTTAAAAAAAAGGTATTTTCTCTTGATTTGTCTAATATTAAAATTGTATAAAAATCTGTTTTCCAAAATAAATACTTTTAATTATATATTAGTAAACATTTTCCCCCAGTGCCGTGTCAATCTGGAAGTGGTCTTTTTTTTGGCCCCATCTTTTTTAACCTGATTGTCGGAAGCCAGCGCAATGGCAAAGATATACAGTTGCGGCAAAAAAAATAGCACCATGACATATATTTTTCATTATTGATTAATTGTTTTATAACTATTCATATATTTAACTTGTTTAAGGCTTTTATTTTTACTTTAGGCTCTAATTTATCGAAATACACTGCAAGTGTCGTCGATAATAACATGAAATTGAAATATTTACATTAAGAATGTGAACGTTGAACATTTTAGGCGGCAACAAAAATAGCACTATTTCAAAAATAACTTAAGAAAACGAAAAAAAACGAAAAAAAATACGGGAAGTTCTGGAATATTTGTATTCATTTGTATTCCTTATCGATATAGTGTATTAATATTTCGTTGTAAAAGCTTTGGCAGCAATGACAGCAGCACAACGTCTCGGCATAGAATTGACCAAGTTTTGACACCTTTCCCGTGGAATACTGCTCCATGATTCTTGAATGGTGGCCCAGAGCTCCTGATTAATCCTTGGTTTTGCATTGGAAACATATTTTTTTACATCAGACCAAAGATTCTCTATCGGGTTTAAGTCTGGAGACTGAGCAGGCCAATCCATTAGGTGAAGGGATCTGTCTTGAAACCACTTAGGAGCTTTCTTGCTGGTATGTTTAGGGTCGTTATCCTGTTGGAAGACCCACAACAACGGTATTTCGTATTCTGCATAAGACAGCATCACTGTTAGCAAAATATCGCAATAGACATGTTGATCCATAATACCTTTTATCCAATGTATTGGACCCACTCCGTAATAAGAAAAGCATGCCCAAACCATGATACTCGTTCCACCGTGTTTTATGGTCTTGCAGGTGAAACTTGGGCGGTATTCCGAATTGGGGGGTCGCCGTACATAGGATCGAGATCCTCTTCCTCCAAATAGCACGATTTTGCTTTCATCCGACCATAGGATGTTTGGGCATGCTTTTCTTATTACGGAGTGGGTCCAATACATTGGATAAAAGGTATTATGGATCAACATGTCTATTGCGATATTTTGCTAACAGTGATGCTGTCTTATGCAGAATACGAAATACCGTTGTTGTGGGTCTTCCAACAGGATAACGACCCTAAACATACCAGCAAGAAAGCTCCTAAGTGGTTTCAAGACAGATCCCTTCACCTAATGGATTGGCCTGCTCAGTCTCCAGACTTAAACCCGATAGAGAATCTTTGGTCTGATGTAAAAAAATATGTTTCCAATGCAAAACCAAGGATTAATCAGGAGCTCTGGGCCACCATTCAAGAATCATGGAGCAGTATTCCACGGGAAAGGTGTCAAAACTTGGTCAATTCTATGCCGAGACGTTGTGCTGCTGTCATTGCTGCCAAAGCTTTTACAACGAAATATTAATACACTATATCGATAAGGAATACAAATGAATACAAATATTCCAGAACTTCCCGTATTTTTTTTCGTTTTTTTTCGTTTTCTTAAGTTATTTTTGAAATAGTGCTATTTTTGTTGCCGCCTAAAATGTTCAACGTTCACATTCTTAATGTAAATATTTCAATTTCATGTTATTATCGACGACACTTGCAGTGTATTTCGATAAATTAGAGCCTAAAGTAAAAATAAAAGCCTTAAACAAGTTAAATATATGAATAGTTATAAAACAATTAATCAATAATGAAAAATATATGTCATGGTGCTATTTTTTTTGCCGCAACTGTATGCACATATACATATAAAAAGAGTTTGGCTTATGCGCTCTGCGCTCTGCTGGCGAAGTTCAGCCATTTATTTCATCTCGTTAGCCGCTTTTGCATAGATAGACCGTGTGCCTCGAGTTCAATGAGGGTCAATTGCACCTGATTATGCTGCTTAAAGAGTTCGCAAAGAGTTCATGAAGCTGTTCAACTTTTTGACTCACCTAATGAATGAATGGAAACGGAATTTTGAGTTGTGTGAATTTATTTCGAGCAGTTTGAGCTTTTTAAGGTGGTTAAGGGGCATCAATTTCAAGGTTCAGACTCAATAAATTGGGTATAGTTTGGCGGAAGAAAGGAGTAAATTAAGTAATTTATTTAAATTAAAGAAAGTCTTAAATTTCAATTTTTGTTTATTAATAAATTTAAAAAAATTTTAATTTTTAACTATAATAAGAAACTAACCTAGAAAACCCTAAATTTCGAAAAGCTATCTTAGCTAAGCCAAAAATTCATTAATTTTAAATCGAAAACTGTTCTGTGTTGGCTTTTTATAGGTCAACAAAACTGCTAACTTAATTTAAAATTAAAAAAAAATTTTTTTTTAATTTTTTGATAATTTTAACGATAAAATTTTGATGCTGATCAAAAATGTATATCATTTATGGGCTCCTTCACTGCATTTCGATCTTAATGTATGCGCGTTAAGCATCTTATTCAGCGTTACATTATTCCGATTTTTTCTATACCCTTATTAGTAACACATTTAATTAATTAATTATAGTTATTATATAGTTTAAAATAAGCTAGCAAGCCCTGCATTACTTGATCCAACTATCAAAGGCAGCCGCCCAAAAGAGAAACTATCGATAATCAATGGTTTGAGGTGACGAAACACCCAATTTTTTTGTACTCTTCATTGTCCTCATTTTTTTTAAATTGTTGACTTTATCGCACAATTTGGATTTACTCCCCACAAGTACTTGGAGTATCAGTCACTTTTACCCTTCGATCGCCAATGAAATCGAGTGCAAGCAAACAGGAAATCTCCATCTCCATCTCCACCATCGACTTCGTTTCGATTTCTATTCCAAACTTTACAATGAGCCACACTTTACCTTTATGGCTTAAACGCTTAACATTGGTCTTGGATTTGGCTTTGAGTATTTGGGGATTGATATTTGGTATTTGGTATTTGGAGTTCGGGAATAATCATGAATAATAAAACGGTAAGTTGATTGCCAGACTGGTAAATCGTAGCAGAGTTTTGGCTCAGCCAAAGAAAGCCTCCAAACCGGCCAAAGTCTCTTGAGCCTCGCCTCGTCTCTGTCTTCGCTCAGCGATTGAATGTATTCCCGAAAAGCTTTCGCGTTTAAGCCATGGCTTAAAGACGTTGGACCGAGCACGTAGCTTAGTGACGAGGTCCGAAGACAGGCCGAGAGACAGGCAGAGCGACAGTCTCAAAGAAATGGAAACGAAATCGAAAGTGCAGACGGCTTAGGAGGTTTGCACTTGAAAAAATAGGGATATATGTATATATTAAAAATTCTTAATATTCAATATATCGATATTTACGGATTATATCGAAAAAATTTAAGGGAAAAATCACAGTTTTCGAAACAGTACTATTTTTCAGGAAGGTCATATATTTTTCATTTCTCAAGAAGTTCCTATTGAATTTATTTTCAGTGTAACAATAAGCCACCGATATTTCTCCCTATATATATCTCTTTTTTCACTCTCTCTCTCTCTCTCTCTCTTTCTCTTTGACTTGGCCCATGTGTTGTTATCATCATCATAATCATCATCATCGCGGTCTTCAGTGAAAAAGCTTCCAAAGGCCATCCGAAAAGCTGCCTTGCTGCTTGGCCAGGCCAGCGTCCAATGTGGCCAAAACCAAAGCCAAAAAGCGAATTGCTCATTGAACAAGTCGAGCTCGTGGCGTGCGTTTCGCAGCGAGCGGTGAAATATATATATATATAAATAAATATATATAGATACAGATATCGAGAGTGAAACGCAAACGCAGTGACAATTATTTATCAAAATATAAAACAAAGCGCACAAAGCAATTACCGATCGAGCAATCAATTCAAGTTTGTCGCAGTGTTTTTTTTTTTTTAGTTATTATTATTATTGTTATAATTTTTTTTGCTGAGATGAAAGAGAGCAACAGCAGTCATGGTAATCGTGTGTGAGACAAAGGAAAGTGGCAGGCCGTCGCGTTCAGTTTGAAGCCGCCACACCACGAAAATCCGCAAAATAAAAAATAATATCAAAATATAAATAAATAAATAAAGATTAAGCAAGTCTGTACAAAAACCACAAGGCGGCAGCAGCGGCTACTGGGGAGCAGCAGCAACAAAATAACACAACAAAAACCAGAGGCAAGTGTAATAAATAAACGTAAAGGGTAGGGTTAAAAAACTAAGCTCAATAAATACCTTTATAAAATAATTTAAAAATAAGGAAAGAAGTATATGTATAAGATGTATATAAATTTGCATAAAATCAGTATAACTTTAATGATTTTTGTAGAATTAAAAAATGTATTCATAGTCAAAGATATATTTATGAGGTTATTGATAAAACGATTTCTTAAGTGTATTAGTTCATAGAGAACTATTTTTAAGATATTTTTAAAGGGTATTATTTCCTAAAGAACTTCTTGTTTTAGCTACAAAATAAATAATAACAAGCTAACTATATCCATAAACCATCAATCTGTATTTCTATAGCTCTCTTTTTAGCCTTTGAAAGATTATAAATCAAACAAGACTTATTTTTTACATATCTACATCGAAAGTACATAAAAAAATTCAGTAAAATTGCAATAAAAATTCCATAAAAACACAAATATGATCCAAAAACCAACCCGCTGCAAGCTGACAACCAACAAACATTAGCCTCTTAAATATTTGCCAAAACAATAATTAAAACCGGAATAATATTGATGCTTGACACTAAATACCCCAAAAACAAATAAGATTGCTTATTAATTAAAAAAGCAAATATTAGCGGGTTTAGAAATCTCAGCTTTAAAATGTACGAAGTAATGCATCATAATAACTATGTTAGCATTATAAATACTATAACTATTAAGCCAAAAACATTAACACCCATTTGCATGCGCTGTCGTAAATATTTTTGCGCTCATTTTCACTTTGATTTTATGTAACACAACTTGGCTTGCATGACCCTTGGTCGAAACGAGGGCGCCAAAAAATACAAAAAAAATAAAACAAATACAAAAAGAAAAACCAAAATCATACGAAATAAAAATGCAAAATACAAAACAAAATAATAATAAAATCAGGAGACGTTTACAAGTGAGCCAGATTCTCTTATGTAAGAGACTCCTCCCGGCCACGCCTTGCCTTTCGGACGATTCACACTTTCTACCGGTGGCACCGGCGGCTCCACCAGATCCCACAGAGATCCACTATAGCCACCGAAGCCACCGAACTACCTCACACCTCTGTGCGAATTATTATCAATTTGTGCACGTCGCGGCCATAAAGAGGCAATCATGGACCGCGCGTGTATAGCCACCGACGGCACTGCATATGCATACGAGTCCGGCAATTAAAAGCCAAGCCAAGCCAAGAAAGTGCTGCTATGTAACCATAAAGCAATCGGATGGATGGTCAGGAGAAAGACTCCAAATGCAGGGGCATTCGCTGGGCAGCAGTTGCGAATACAGAGTACCCTTGAAAATTGCAAAGATTCTTGGAAAGTATAGAATTCAAACAATTATCAATATTACAGAGAAAGAAAAATAATGTTAATATTTTTGCAGATTATTTATCGAAAATATGCAATATATAAAATATATTTCTTATCGAAAGAGCACATATTAATTGCTTAGAAAAATTCTAGATCATATTATTAGTAATATATCGATATTCAAACAATTATCGATATTACAAATATTATTAAGAAATAATATATTCAATTATCGATATTAAAATATTACGATATTATCGATATATTAATAATAATATGATCTAGAATTTTTTTAAGCAATTAATATGTGCTCTTTCGATAAGAATTTTCAAAATATTGAAAAGAGAGAGAGAGAGATATTGATAAATATATTGATAATTTAAATATAAAAAAATGAAATATATAATGAAATAGTTTAGTGTTAATTTAATATATAAAAAATGTAAAAAAAAAAAAAAAAACAAATAGCAAAGTAAAATAATAATGGGTATCATTTTGATCTAATAAAAATAATTAAAAACATGTAGAAATAGGAAACCTAAGTATTTTCAAAGTAATCAATTTAATAACAATAAATTATGGAAATTTTCACGGTAAACCATTAAATTTGAAAGTGATAACTTTTTTGTTTTTATAAAAATATCACTTTAAAGTTAGACCCGTTACATCAAATCATAAATTTCAGTTAGATAAATGTACTAATTAATTTTCAGGTGTCACTCAAAAGCAACTGCACTCGCACACATTGTACGGAAATGTGCCAGGGATTTTTTTATAGTTTTTTGTTTTGTGGTTTTTATTTTTTTATGTTTTTTGTATTTCGTTTTTCCTTGTTGTTGTATGTTAGAGCTTCTTTTTTAATGTGTCACGGTACCGTGACTCAGCCGATTGTCGAGAAAGCGTTGAGCCGAAGTGAAGTAGCTGGAATTACTTGGATTTATGTGCGAGGCGACCCACAAAGGGCTGGGCAAATAACCAAAAAAAAATATATATATGTATAACTCGAGAAAAACAGTAAAGAGAAAAACCAACGAGCACATGGAAATCCGTGTAAATGTCATCAATTATGGGGCATAAAGTCTTGGCCATAATTAAAAGCTGTCAAATCATAATTGACAGGCAGTTGAGGCCGAAAACTGAGGCTCTTCGTCTGAGATTTCGACTTGCTGGTTGTTGCTAACAATGTGTGAATTGCATAATGACGATGAATGAATCGACATCACTGTGATGTAAAAATATACAAAAAATGCCCGAGAAAACTTGGCCCAGTATATATTTGTTTTCGGGTATTGCGTCAAAGAAATTTACAAAGTAAAAATGCTTGGAAAAGCAAAAATGCCTGCGAGGGTTTTTCTTTGTCACTCCGCCCAAGGGCGTTGCATAAATTAGCGGTCAGCGTTGATTGTTTTTTTTTCCCCCTATTTCTATTTTTTAACCGGCTGCGTCTGACGTTAACGGGGATTTGAGTGAATGAATTCGGATTTAATTTTTGCCGCTGGTCGATGTTTGTTTTTCCAGTTACATCGCAACCGTCGAGCCGTTCAAATCGCTTCGCTTTAGCGAAATTGCCGGGCAAAAAAAAACAAAGCTATATATATACTAAATATATAACAATTTGGCCAACAGCAAACGGCTAAAAATAGACGGTTATTTTTGGTGTGCTGTTAATTAATCGAGAGCAATTCCAGTTACATTTATTTTTTTGCCAGTGCGTTTTTGTTGTGACAGAGAAAGGTACAAGGGAAAAATGAAATATAATATATAACATATATAACATAGTGTATGTGGTTTATGTAGGAAGCCCGATGTCGTTTGGCTTTCACTGCCTCGAATCGGGAGCGAGAGAGATGATGGCGGGGTGAAAAACTGGAAAAACCGCAGGAGCGGCGGCTGGCTGGACAGCAATTAAAGCCACCGATGGCCAAATGGACAAACAAAATAACGAAATTGCATTTTACAGGAGGAGACATTGAGACAAGAGACACAAGAAAAAATAGCAACGCTTTTTTTCTTTGCTTTTTCCGCCTGCCAAGCGGCATTGAACTTGAAAAACTAGCCAAGAGTGCAAGAGAGAAATAAAAGAGATAAAGAAATATTTATATATACAAAGATATCTGTATATATATACGAAGATGGAGAAAGACTGAAGAGACAACTTCATAATGAAATGCAGCTGACATCATTTGAATATTTATAAAGCAATTCAATTTCTATACGATTTGATAACGTTTTTTTTTTTTTTCTTTTTTTTCTCTCTCTCTCTCTTTTTTGCTTGCGAAAAGTGTAAACAAGTTCGTTGCCTAAGTCTTTTGTTTGGCAGCGCGTGTGACAGCGCCATCTGTTGGCTGACTGCCCGACGATTGGCCAACGATTGCCAAACTCCAGTGTTTTCTTCTCTTTTCGTAGGCTTCCGCTTGCATGTTGCTGATTTTTTAAGACCAAAAAAATACAACAACAAAAATTCAAAAATAAAGCCCTGCAACAATGGCAACGAAGACGAAACCACGAATGCCCATTAATGATAACACTCAATTATATTTATCCGCCATTCATTCAGCTCCCACGCAGCCAGATTGTCATCATTATTCGGTAGCCAAGTTGTTTGCAACGCGTGTAGTGGTTGCTACATCGACGAATGTCTTATATAGTTGATAATATTGACATTAAACCGAAATAATGCCGGTCCAAAAAGCGGTCACTCGAATTAATTTGGATTTATAGCCGAGAGACTCGCATTTGGCAATCGTTTTATCGTTTATCGCTAAATAGAGATTTTCATTTAAAGTATTCTCCATCTTCGTATATAACAAACATAAGGTGGTGCAGCATTCCTTGAGGTTGAGCTTGGTTAAATGAGTTTTTAAATTGAGTTTAAGATTTAAAACTATACCAGAATTGCAAAGATTTTGAAATAAATATATTAGAAAAAAAATCGAAAATATCGAGTAGTAATATAGCAATTATCGAATTGATCGAGAAATATCGATATATTATGAAGCTTATATTTATTATTTATTATTATTATTGATTATTTAAATGTAATTCTAGAAAGGTATCTAAGGAGTACAATTTCCTTTTCTGTAAATTTCTGTAAACAAAAACATATATTTTAGTGTTAAATAAAATTGTAGCTTTCTTCCTGCTAAGCATTTCTTGAAAGTTGTAATTTTCCTAATCATTATTCCATTATTTCCTTACAGTTCTGTTCATATTTCTGTCAAAATATGGGCCAGGAGATATCGCAACAGCAAAATCAGCAACAGCAACAACCACACCAGCAGCACCAACAGCAATCACCCCACAAACGACAGCCACAGCAGCGGAAAAGCTTCAGCGGCATCAGCACTAACAATACCGGCAATCATCAGGCTATTTACACACCCAGCAGTCACCTGTCCACTTCCAGCAGCTCCACCAGCTTCTCCTCCTCAGCCACCAGCAAGAATAACAATAATAACAATAGCAACAATAATAGTAATAATAATAATAACAACAATAATATAAATAGCAATCAAAACTACCGACTCCGTCACAAGTACAATTTGAGTAAACAAACCTACGAGCGGAGCAAGATCCCCATACCGGCCAGCCAATCGGACTCGGACTCCCACTACGCCAAGTTGAATCTGTTGAGGAGCAGCTCCCAGAGCTCGGATAGTGGTATATACAACTCATCCTGCCACTGCAGCTCCGTCTCCTCGCTGTCCATTTCGAGTAGCAGTCGGAGCAGCAGCAGCACCTCCTCCTCAAGTCGCGGCTGTCCCAGCTCCTTGGTCTCGAGCAAGTCGAGCAATCGATCGCTGGACAAGCAGAAGCACTATCTGCACCATCACCTGTACATCAAGTCGTATCTGGACATCTTGGAGGAGGACGAGCGGGCAAGGGCACATTTCAAGTCCGCCCGACCCGGTGGCATTCGCAACTATACACCCAAGATACTAGCCAGCGGCGGTGACTCCACCATATCCACCTGCAGCTCCACAGCGGGCGGACTCTCATCCAGTGCCCCGGCCCATTGTTACGGAGCGTCGGGAAAGCGCCCATCATCGGGAGTATCTGTATCTGGAGCTCCGGGAGCAGGTGGATTCGGAGCTGGAGCGAGCAAGCATTCGTCAGAGGATCCGTGGATTTGACAATTACTGAAACATGGCGTTTGGCACAATGACGTCTTTGCTTGGCATGATCCCGCTGCTGGCGATCGGCATGAATTTCTATCGATATCAAAGCGTCGATCCCGAGAACAAGGTCCAGGAGCCAACCGTCGTAAGTAAAAGTGAAGATAAAGATAATACAAAAAAAATATCAGATGCATAACGCGCATGCAAAATATCTTTCCCCTTTTTATCTTACAGATACGTCGTCAGTATGACTTCGTGGTGATTGGTGGCGGCTCCGCGGGCGCTGTGGTGGCCAATCGCCTTAGCGAGATCCGTAACTGGACCGTCCTGCTCCTGGAGGCTGGCGGCGACGAAACTGAGATCTCCGATGTCCCAGCCCTGGCAGGCTACCTGCAGCTAACGGAGCTGGACTGGAAGTACCAGACGACACCCTCGTCCACGCGTCAATACTGTCAGGCAATGAAGGGCGACCGTTGCTTCTGGCCAAGGGGCAAGGTCCTCGGTGGCAGCTCCGTTCTCAATGCCATGGTCTATGTGCGCGGCTCCAAGAATGACTACAACCACTGGGCATCGTTGGGTAATCCCGGCTGGGACTATGACAATATGCTCAAGTACTTTCTCAAATCGGAGGATGTACGGAATCCCTATTTGGCCAAGACTCCCTACCACGAAACCGGCGGCTATTTAACCGTCCAGGAGGCACCATGGCGGACGCCCCTCTCCATTGCCTTCCTCCAGGCCGGCATGGAGATGGGCTACGAGAATCGGGACATTAATGGGGCCCAGCAGACGGGCTTTATGCTCACCCAAAGTACGATACGGAGGGGCGCCCGATGTTCCACGGGCAAGGCCTTCATACGTCCAGTAAGAGCGCGCCAGAACCTAGACGTTCTGCTTCATGCGGAGGCCACCCGCATCCTCTTCGACAAGCAGAAGCGAGCCATCGGTGTGGAGTATCAGCGCGGTGGCCGAAAGCAGCTGGTCTTTGTCCGACGGGAGGTGATCGCCAGTGCCGGAGCTTTGAATACACCCAAGCTACTGATGCTGTCGGGTGTGGGACCGGCGGAGCATCTACAGGAGCATAACATACCGGTGATATCGGATCTACCGGTGGGTAATAATATGCAGGATCATGTGGGACTCGGTGGCCTTACCTTTGTGGTGGATGCACCGCTGACTGTGACCCGGAGTCGCTTCCAGACAATACCCGTTTCCATGGAGTATATACTGCGTGAACGTGGTCCCATGACCTTCTCGGGCGTGGAGGGTGTGGCCTTCCTCAATACCAAATACCAAGATCCCTCTGTCGATTGGCCCGACGTTCAATTCCACTTCTGTCCCAGTTCCATTAACTCGGATGGCGGTGAGCAGATCCGCAAGATATTGAATCTACGGGATGGTTTCTACAACACCGTGTATAAGCCACTGCAGCACAGCGAGACCTGGTCCATATTGCCACTCCTACTCCGTCCCAAAAGCACCGGGTGGGTGCGTTTGAACTCAAGGAATCCACAACAGCCACCGAAGATTATACCGAACTACTTTGCCCACCAGGAGGACATTGATGTGTTGGTGGAGGGCATAAAGCTGGCCATTAATGTATCGAATACCCAAGCCTTTCAGCGTTTTGGATCTCGACTGCACAACATCCCGCTGCCAGGATGCAGGCATTTACCCTTCCAGTCGGATGAGTATTGGGCCTGTTGCATCAAGGAGTTCACCTTTACCATATACCATCCGGCGGGCACTTGCCGGATGGGTCCCAGTTGGGATGTTACCGCCGTTGTGGATCCCCGGCTAAGGGTCTATGGGGTCTCAGGTGTCCGGGTGGTGGATGCCAGCATAATGCCAACGATTGTCAATGGGAATCCTAATGCCCCGGTGATTGCCATCGGGGAGAAGGCTTCGGATCTGATCAAGGAGGATTGGGGCGCTAGGAGGGGGCTAGGGTCCTAGTCGGTCCCCAAAATGAATATGTATATGTTTCAACTAGTCAAATTGTGTGGATTAACTGAATGTAATATTATCGCTATGAGTTCTTGTTTTGTTGTGTCCTCAATTCCTCGTTTTGTTTTTGATTCTAAATTTAGGCTTAACTATTGTTACTTTAACTGTTACTTTTACTCTTACTTTATACACTTTTTTTTGTTATGTTATCAAGCATTTTATTAAATATTTATGTACAACTTTGTTGTGGTTTTTACTTCTTATTTCGATTACAAACGGCAGAAAATGTAGAATTAATGATAGAAATTGACGTATAAATCGATTAAAATCGATAACGGTGGGATATAGGTTTAACAAGTCAATATTCTATTTGATAAATCGAACTAATTTAACTGTTAAACAAAATCAAGAAATTTAAAAACATTTTCTTTTAATTTCTTGTTAATATTGAGATTTATCGATTTTATCGTAACATTTCGATATTTAAAAACTCGATATATCCAAGTTTATTTGTGATATGTGCAATACCATTTTCTTGTTGATATATATACATATTTCTCTCATTTTAAAAATCTAAACTCGATTCTGTAATACATGTCGGCTACTTAATATTATACAAATTGTATATATAATATTAACAGAAATAATCATCACGTTTCTGTTAAAATGTATGTATTTATGTACAAATATATGATAGAATCTTCAATTTTTGTTTTAAATTTACCAATATATTCCATAATTTAACACACTTTACACGTAATACGTGTCGGCTACTTGATATTTTCAAGATTAACCTGTGGAATCATGTATTTTAGTAATTATTTATCACATCCTATTCATATTTATGTGCTTTTATGCATATATACGATAGAATCTTTAAAACTGAACTTCATTTTGTAAAAATATTAGCTTTTTAAGCTGATTTTACTTGCACTTATTGGATATCTACATGTTAAACCCATATTTTAAGCTGCGCCTTTTGCTTAGGCAACACTTTTTTTTAAATTTGCAATATATATATTCAAGTATATATTTATTTATTTATTTTATCATTACAAATGCCTAGAGGATTTTTCTAACGTTAAAGGAAATATTTAAAAATTTGCATATATGTATTTCCTTTCTGTAAATTTTTTTAGCCAATACAATCACCAATTACAGTTACTCCGAGTTCCAAGTTGCAAACCGCAGTGAAAGTGCAGTCACGAAATTCGCGTTTTCAATTTGATTTTTATTCGATTTTGCCTTAAACGCTGGGCGTTATGGGACCACGCCCCTTTTGGCCAGCTCTCTGGTCAACCTGGTCACCGCCCACTAAGCTAGCTTTTGAGTATAATCAAAAATTCGCCCCGAAAACTTTGAATTTATGATCGGTCGTTTCCGTGTTTTCTCTCATTTTTTGAATTTTTTTAAAGTATTTCTTTTTGGTGGTGAGAAGGCGTGGCTTCCGTGTTTTGCTTAGCTTTCATTGAGGCGTTCAAGTGTGCCAAGGTTACCGACAAAAAACGGTGTGGCACGTTTTATTTCGTAGGTGTCAGTTTCCAGATAGTTTGGGCAACGGCCGACCGTTGCTTGTCGACAATTATCGCCTGCCAGCTAAAAGCGGACAATTGCGAATTTTGCATGTTACCCTCATCGAAAAAAGAAGCCCACAGCAAGTGGTATTAGTATTGCCAAAATAATAACAAAGAGCTGAGACTATAAACCACCCAAGGCGATATGACCAGACTTCTTACATAAGGCCCTTTTCTGGGCAGGGAAGGGGAAAGAAATAACTAATAAATAAATGCAAACAAAAGCCCGGGCAAATATTTGATTTGATTTTAACGAAACGACAAGTCATATAGCCAAGACCGCATACAAATGGAAAGTGTTATGCCGCCGTAGAGGGCAAATGATGATGACACACTCTGACGGCATTATAGGACGGCCGGCGCGCTATATTATAAAGATCGGGGGGACAACGGCGACGTGAGGCACATATAGTATCTGTGTCTGTGGTCAGTGAGACACGAAATTGGGTCATTAAACCGCCGAGAGTTCGTTTGCTCGTTCGTTCGATCGATGGAGGCCTCTTCAAAACGAAGATGATGATGAGATGAAGTAACATAGGAAATGCATATAGCAGATTTATGGATTTATATGGTGGGTGGGGATATTCGGGTGTATTCGGTAGGAGATACTACACACAATATAAGCAATTTGATTGAAGTGATGATGGGGAAATCATTGAAATACCCGAAAATGTATAAATAATAGCTTATGATCTTGAAATTGGTTAAGTGCCGTGAGGCTTTGTGGAACTAAATATCAGTTTCAAGTGGGAGAAGCTATCAGTAAAGTTCAATCTTTAGATATAATTCAAATTTACCAAAACTCGGGAAAATAAAATTAACAAGATGAGATATATAAACTAAATAAATAAAAACAAATAAAAAATAGCAGAATGAACAAAATGAATAAAATGAATAAAACAACCTAAATGAAGAGAATGAACAAAATTAACACAGTAAGTAAAATTCCTAAAATGAACAATATTAAGACAGTGAACAAGATGAGAATTATAAACTAAATAAGTAAATAAATAAAATAAACAATAACAATACAAGCAATTAATAAAACTACCAAAATAGACAAAATGAACACAATAAACTAAATTAACCCAAGAACAAAATGAACACAGGAAACAAAAATTACCAAACTAAAAAGAAAAACAATTTTAATAACTATTATTTAATTAATAAAAAATAAAACAAAATGAACAATTTACAATAAAATGAAGCAAAGAAACCATATAAACATAATGAACATAAAAAAATTAAATGAACTTTCAGAATATATATGTAAATAAATCTACGTCTGTTTTAACATCACTAAATTATCCATCTACTCAACTGTATATTCACTGATTCACTCGAAAATAACTCAAATGAACCACTTGAGTCACTCAACTGTAATCTTTCCGTGTATCGAAATTAATTATAATAAATGTGAAGAGGGATTTGCATTCCCTCAATGGCCAGCTGTCTCGCCCAACCCCTTTACCTCTATATTTTTATATCTATTTCTTTGATTATTTACCCTTCCTTTTATTTTGTTTATTTTTCACCTACTTCTTCTTTTTCTCTCCCACATCTTTGGTTCATCTTCTTTTGCCCAACAGTGCAAACAAAGGGACGTGATGTCGAACACACGCGACAATTGGCACAAGAAACGCCAACAAATCCAGGCTTTACTTTACTTTATAATTTTTCTCTTCTTTTATTTATTTTTTGGGGGAGTTACGAAGAGGGATTGAATAATCTCTCTCTGCTTAATTTCGGTCAATTATGCCGTGCCTCAGTCGCAGTCCCAGTTGCAATTGCAACGAAGCCCAACCAAACTCGAAACTCGAACCCGAATCCGAATCCGAAAATCGTTCAAGGCATGTAATTTCAATTGCAAACTGGAAACATTTTCGGCGGGGGAATCTCGAGGAGAGCGGGATGCATGAGAGCATTGTTAACAAGAAAAAAAAGATATGTATATATATATCGAAGCCGCCACCGCTTATGTCATAGATGGCAAGGTGTTAGGTGCCGCGCCTCACGTAGGCAATCAACAAAAAAAAAATCCAAATCAAACCGCAAACAAGCCGGGAGCCCGGGTTATCCGGAGTTAAAGCCACTTGCCGCCCTTTTAATTCGAGCGGTTATATAGCAGAGTCTCTCTCTTTCTAACCAGGTATATATATCTCTCACATTCTGATACCCAAAAACAACTGAAAGTGACGCAAAGGAGTCTGTGATTTAGAGAAAGTGGTAATACCCTTTTGAAAAAGGGCATTGGCACATCTAAACAAGAAAAGGTAAACCTCTTAACTTCGATAAGGTAATATTTAATATTTTTAATAGGAAAATATCACAAAATATTTATAGATTTTTTTATCAATAAATTTTTAGAGAAAGAATAAAATAGAACTATGGGTATAAATAAGAAAATGTAATATAGAAAATAGGAGGAAACAAATATAAAAATAACTAAATTAAAAAAAATATATATTATAATAAATATACAAAAAATAATAATATTAAAAAATATATACAAAAAAATATATAAAAAAATATATAAAAAAATATATGAAAAATTTATATAAAAAAATATATAAAAATATATATAAAAAAATATATAAAAAAAATATATTAAAAAAAGATATATAAAAAAATATATACATATTAAAAAAATATATATATATAAAAAAAACACATAAAAAAAAATATATAAAAAAATCATATAAAAAAAATAATAGCAAAAAAATAATAATAATATAATAACAAAAAAAAATAATAATAATAATAATAAAAATAATAAAAATTAATAAATAATTTATACTGCCAAATTAAAATAATAACAAAATAATAATAAAATATTAATAAAGTATATTTATTTATAGTTTAATACTGAATACTTTCTTCCGTAATTACATTTTCTACTATTATAATTGCAACTACAATTATATTTAAAGTTTAAAATCGCACCCTTTCCTTTTCGGCATCTTATCTCTATCAGAGCACCACCCTTTTTAACGTCCTCTCTTAAGATATATGCATATATATATATGCATATGAATAATATAATAATAATACAGTATATATGCGGATATCTGTACATGGAGATCCCTCTTCCCTGAGCACTAATTGCACTTTAACACCCCAAACCACATACACACAGAGAAACACGGAGAGCTGAGAAACGAAGCGAAATGGGAAAGAGACAGCAAATGAAATATTTCAACAGCTTACCTAAATCATGTTGTTGCTGTTTACCGTCGCTGTGCTGTTTTTGTTTTTTCTTAGCTTTTTTTGGCTCATGATTACATAAATTATACCCGTTGACAAAAAAAAACAAGCCGGGCTATGCCAGGCAATTGCCACAGAGAGATGCCTGACAAAAATCCAAGAAATCTCCAAGGGGAGAAGGAAATAAGCAGGGAGAGAGACAGAAACAGACCGATTTTTCTCAGTCTTGTTTATGGGTTAATAACTTCATTTGAACATTTTGGCATGCGCGGAATGCGGCCGAAGAGAACTTCCCACCGAAACAATTTTTTTTTTTTTGAGGCGGAAGAAATATTTCTATAATATTATAATAATGATTTATATTACAAATAACTTTATAAATGAATTTTTAAAGAGAAACTGTGCTTTCTCACGCCAATTATAAACTGTAAAGTTAATTCTTATTAACCAGTTTAATGGTTATT